TCCAACCCCCTACAATACAGGACTCTCTTGCCCCATGTGGGACTCGAACCCACAACCTCTGAGATTAAGATGCTCCAGCGCCTCAGCCAAGAGAGGGGGCCCCGTGCACCTGTCAGTGCCAACCAGTTGGCAACCCCGGACCACAAAGAGAGAAGACCCTTCTGAGCGCTGGCTTCTGCTGCAGGAGGGCAAGTTGCATCACTCTGCTGAAGGATGCAGCGCTTTGAAATAAGCGCTTGCAACTTGTGGCACGAGCTGATCTCTGGCACGGTCCATCCCCCCGTTTGCCGCCCCCTCTGCAAGTTCAAAGACCAGCTGACTGAGCAAACTTAATGCCAGGAAGGGCATCAGTTCACGCTTTGATGGCCGGTGGAACATTAACCGCCGTTAACCTGTTTGGCTGCTTTTTCCTGGCACGCACGCTCACCTTGCGAGATGCAAGTCTGTTCAGGGGCAGACTTTTTTTCTCTTTAAATAATTTTTTTATTCAAAATTAAAACAAAACACATTATTCAGAAACATATCATCCTTACTTCCCCCCATTTTACCTCCCTCCCCCCCCACAGAACCCACCCACCCCCCGACTTCCCTCAGTTCCAGTCTTTGATTTCTCTAAAAATGCTGTTTTCTGCATGTTACACAGTTGTATAGATCCTCAAACTATTTAGCTGATTATTATCAATTAAAAGTTTGTGAATGTTTATTCAAAACCAGCCAAGGAGTCCCGTTTGCTTGGTTGCGTCTTCAAATACTTTGTAAAGGGTTCCCATTCATCTTTAAAGTCACAGTTATCCTTGTCCCGTAGCTTGTATGTCAGTTTTGCCAGTTCTGCATAGTCCATCAATTTTTCTTGCCATGATTCTTTAGTTGGGGTTTCTTCAGTCTTCCATCCTTGTGCTATTAAAACTCTCGCGGCCGTTGTCACATACAAGAAGAGGCAGATTATAGAGCCACTGGCTCCACCTTGTCTGCTGTCCCTCAAAAGCCCCAGAGATTAATCCGAGAGCGGGTTTCATTTCCCCACCTGCGTCTTAAAACAGGGAACGCTGATCACAGCTGCACCTGTAAGGAGCTTTTGCGGCGTCAGCACTCTTTGCGCTCAAGAGCCCTGTGAGATACCTTCCTATTGCAGCAAAGAGAGAAAGGGACCTGCGTTTCCCTAAGGCCACCTAACCAGGCAATGCTTGGGGTAACATGGAGACAGTGTGGTGTAGTGGTTAGAGTCTCGGACTAGGACCTAGGAGACCAGGATTCGAATCCGCCCCCGGCTATGAAGCTCAGTGGGGTGAGACTGTGGGCCATTCACTGCCCCTCAGCCTAACCTACTTCACAGGGGTGTCTCAGGGATTAAATGAGATGAGGGAGAACTAGGTCTGCCACCTCAAGCTCCTTGAAGGAAAGGTTGGGGTATAAAAGAAATACGTTTGAATTAAGGACCCAACACAAATCTTCACATATCTCAAGGGCTGACACATGGAAGAGGGTAGGAATCGAACCAGCAGCTTCAAATTACAAGAAAGGAGATTCCAACTAATTATTATTATTATTATTATTATTATTATTATTATTATTATTACTATTATTATTTTATTTATACTCCTCCCTCCCCGGCCAGAGCCAGGCTCAGGGTGGCTAACACCAGTAAAATTACAGTAAAAACATAATGGGGGGGGGACCCAATTTAAAATTCAGGTTAAAATGCAATTTAAAATGCAGCCTCATTTTAAAAGTAGCCCATAGATCAAAACCATAAGGGTAGAGAAACATAAGGGTCAGACTGAGTCCAAACCAAAGCCCAGGCGGAACAGCTCTGTCTTGCAGGCCCTAAGGAAAGATGTCAAGTCCCGCAGAGCCCTGGTCTCTTGTGACAGAGCGTTCCACCAAGTCGGGGCCAGTGCTGAAAAGGCCCTGGCCCTAGTTTTGACCAATCTAACCACCTTGCGACTTTGGACCTCCAAAATGTTGTCATTTGTGGACCTTAAGGTCCTCCACAGGGCATACCAGGAGAGGCGGTCCCGTAGGTACGTGGGTCCTAGGCCAGGATGAACTTTCTGACAGTTCGACCGGGAAACGGTCTCCCTCGGGCTGTGGACTCTCCTTCCTTGGAGGTTTTTAAGCAGAGGTTGGGTGACCACCTGTCATGGATGCTTTAGCTGAGCTTCCTGCCTTGCAAGGGGTTGCACTAGATGATCTTTAGTGGCCCCATCCAACTCTACAATTGTATGATTCTATGAACACCACATCCTCTGCGTCTGTGCACCATGCCAACTCCTATTAAATCAACAGCCCTGCAAGGTGGTGTCACTATTATCCACATATTGCAGAAGGAGGGCTAAGAGACAATTCTCTCTAGCCAGCTTACCAAGTTCGTGGCCAGGGTGAGATTTGAATAACGGATTCCCAGAGCTGAGAGGGACCATCCAGTCCGATGATGGAATTTTCGGAGCTGCCCGACCTGACTGGAAGAGTCCGTGACCAGAAGGAGGAGGATTACCAGGAAGAATGGAAGAAATTTAGATGGACTATATGGAATTGGCGGAAATGACTGGCAGAATCCGTGACCAGGGAGAAGAGTCGGTGGAAGAAGATTGGAAGAAATTTAAAGACTATTTACAGAAATATTGCAAAATTAATGAATGTTAGAATGATGTTGGATTGAAGTTAAGTGGTTTCTAGCTGTATAGGTACAAAAGAATATGGAAAAATTGGTTTTTAATATGTAAAAATTTAATGTTATAATATATCAAGATTAAAGATTAGGATTAAAAAGGAGGGAAAGGAATTGTTGGATTAACAAATTGAATTGGAATACAAAAGAGGGAGGTATGAGGAGGTCCGGGAAACAAGTAAACGTAAAAGAAGTGATGAAAAGATGGAATTGTTTTTAACTGTTTTTTCTTTTTTTTACTTTGTATTTTCCCTTTTTATTGTTAATTTTTTTTTATTAATGTGATTTTTCTTCTTTTGAAACTTTAATAAATATTATTTTTTTAAAAAAAGAAGAATGGAAGAAATTTAAAGGCTATTTAGTTAAATATGTTAAGTTAAATTACCGTATTTTTCGCTCTATAAGACGCACCAGACCACAAGACGCACCTAGTTTTTGGAGGAGGAAAACAAGAAAAAAAATATTCTGAATCCCAGAAGCCAGAACAGCAATAGGGATCGCTGCGCAGTGAAAGCAGCAATCCCTCTTGTTGTTCTGGCTTCTGGGATAGCTGCGCAGCATGCATTCGCTCCATAAGACGCACACACATTTCCCCTTACTTTTTAGGAGGGGAAAAGTGAGTCTTATAGAGCAAAAAATACGGTAATTGGAAAAGCTTGCAAATACCAGATAGGCTTAGGATTTAGATATGTAATGTGATGAATTAATATGTTTAATGCTGAATTGGAAAGAAAGAAAGATGTGAAGTGTTTAAGGTTTTCGAAAACCGTTAAAATGTCATACACCGAAATTCAACCAGGGGGATACGAGGAGGTCACTTAACAATGATACAAAGTTTGGTTTAAATACAGTTGAGATTTATGTTTGTTTGTTTTTAAAATTTTTTGGAAAAACAAAATTTTTTTTGGAAAAAAAGGAATCTTTTGCTCCATGTGAGGCTTGAACCCACAACCCTAAGATTAAGAGTCTCATGCTCTAGCGACTGAGCCATCCCAGCTGGTCAAACACCCTGGCTTCAATCTCCTGTTAAACAGTACTGTGCCAGAGGGATGGCCGGTCCAACTCTGTATAAGGTACGGTAGATTTCCTTTATTCCAAAGCGGCAGGTGCCGTCTGGAAAGACTTCTCTGTCTGAGATCACGGAGAGCCAACACCAGTCAGAATAAATACCAGTCATATTTAACAAGCTTGACTCAGTCTCAAAGGCGGATTCTTGGGCTCTTGGGACCGGTTACACACACACACACACACACACACACACACACATATGTCCCTTTGCGGTTTTGGTGGAGCCACGAATCTGCAACCTCTTCGCCACCCACTTCCTGCCTGATGCATTCGCTCTTCCTTTCTGCAAAGGTTCCTCATTTTTAAGAAGAAGATGTTGCTACAGGGGAAAAAAATATTTACTGCATGCATATATATATATTTATATATATACACACACACATATAATTTCATCTGTATATCATTTCATAATATCTTGCATCCGCACACAAAATGTCAATTGCGGTTTAGGGAACATTACATAACTTATTAGGTGTCCTTGGTAACCATTATATTTTAAGCAGAAGGTCAAATCATACGCGAGAAAATAATAGATAAGGTTGAGCGGTCACAGAACTTCACCTTCTGATAAATAACGTTTCCCAATACAGTGGTACCTCGGGTTAAGTACTTAATTCGTTCTGGAGGTCAGTTCTTAACCTGGAACTGTTCTTAACCTGAAGCACCACTTTAGCTAATGGGGCCTCTCGCTGCCACTGCGCCACCGCCGCACAATTTCTGTTCTCATCCTGAAGCAAAGTTCTTAACCTGAGGTACTATTTCTGGGTTAGCGGAGTCTGTAACCTGAAGCGTCTGTAACCTGAGGTACCACTGTACGTTCGGTGCAGGTCTTACCTCTTTATTCTGACTCTTGAGACTTGGGGTGCATATTCCCACCTTATTTCTGTAATTTTTAAGTTGTGCCAAACTGTTTTCAATACAGTGGTACCTCAGGTTACAGACGCTTCAGGTTACAGACTCCGCTAACCCAGAAATAGTACCTCGGGTTAAGAACTTTGCTTCAGGATGAGAACAGAAATTGCACGCCGGCGGTGTGGCGGCAGCGGGAGTCCCCATTAGCTAAAGTGGTACCTCAGGTTAAGAACAGTTTCAGGTTAAGAACAGACCTCCGGAACGAATTAAGTTCTTAACCCCGAGGTACTACTGTATTGCGTTTTGACTGTTGCAACCTGTCCTAAACAACAACAACAACAACAACAACATCTCTTTTATAAGATTGGCCAACTGTGCTATTATTCCCGGCATGTTTTTACACCATTGCAAGATGCCAGCTGCCTTATCAGATTCCCAGCTTCTTGCTGGGACTAGACTGGATGTGGCGATAATCCCTGCTGCTGAGCGCCAGTTCCTCGCTGCCTTGCCACAGAAGAAACCTTCCTTGGACTCTCCTTGTTGCTGCAACCAGCCATCGCTCCAAACAGAACCGCCAGACGGGAACAATTCAAGAGACAGCCTCGGCTTCTGCGCCTTCTCCTCCACCCTCCGGCATTTAATATTTGGCTTGGACCGGCCCCAAAAGGCCGCAGCTGCCTCTGCGCCGCTGCCCCACAAGGCGTCGCCGTCGTAGTGAGAAGTTCCAGACCTCGGCACGTGCAGGACTGTGGATTGGCAAAGCTTGCCAGCTCCTGGCTGGCACCCTTCCTTTCTCTCTCTGCTCTTTTCCCTCCTACGCTCAGGCCTGGCTCCAGGATTTTGAGGACTGCAAATCCCTCCCTACCCAAAGCCCACTCTCTCTGGAACAGAGTGGCCTGAGAAAATCAGAAAGAGTTGGCCTTCGGACACCTTGCTATTAGGAGGTGTCCATCCCATTAGGAAACCCGGCAACAAAGAAACTTTAAGGAGCTGAAGGAAGCTGCCAGAGGCTTGTTCTGTTTTGAAATAAAACGAAGGTAGCCTTTTCTCCCATGGGCTCGATTCAGTTCCCCACTCAGACCTTGTGGGGGGCCGGATTATATTTTTTTGGGGGGGAAATGAACGAATTCCTATGCCCCACAAATAACCCAGAGATGCATTCTAAATAAAAGGACACATTCTGCAACACCAGGCAAGTCCCACGAGTACAGTGGTACCTCAGGTTAAGAACTTAATTCGTTCTGGAGGTCTGTTCTTAACCTGAAACTGTTCTTAACCTGAAGCACCACTTTAGCTAATGGGGCCTCCCGCTGCTGCACGATTTCTGTTCTCATCCTGAAGCAAAGTTCTTAACCCAAGGTACTATTTCTGGGTTACCGGAGTCTGTAACCTGAAGCGTATGTAACCCGAGGTACCGCTGTAACCCAGAGAGACATTTTAAATAAAAGGACACATTCTACTCATGTAAAAACACGCTGATTCCCGGATTGTCCGCGGGCCGGATTTAGAAGGCGATTGGGCCGGATCTGGCCCCCAGGCCTTAGTTTGCCTACCCATGTCATAGAATCATAGACCACAAGGATCATCCAGCCCAACCCCCTGCAATGCAGGAAACTTTTGCCCAACGTGGGACTCAAACCCACAACCCCGAGGTTATGTGTCTCTACTGAATGAGCCTACGGTCAGGGAAGGGTGAGACATCTTGGGGTGGAGGGCACAGGGGACACAAAGACCTGCATCCCTGGAGGGTGGGAGGCCTTGCTTGGCTACACAAGCTGCTCACTAGAATCTTGAGGACTAGAAAGTTGGTCTTCCCTGCCTCCCTTCTTTTAAAAAAACCTCCCAGCACTGAAGGCTTTTGGTGGTGGCTGGTACCCCTTGGCGTGGAAGGCCGGATAGACAGGGCCAGATATTTTTCTTCCAATGGGTGTTCCCAGTTTTCGTCTCTACCCCGAGTGTCCCATTTGTTAGGGCCTCAGCTGTGTTTTAAACGCATCTGTTGTTTTTGTGTTTCTTACAGTCTTTATGTGGTTTACCTCGGTCAGTAGAGCATGAGACTCTTATCCTCAAGATTGTGAGTTTGGCCATGTTGTGCGGATGCCTGATGATCATCTTCCAAAGCAACTACAGTCATACCTCGGGTTGCGATAGCTGCGGGTTGTGTGTTTTCGGGTTACGGATGCGCCGAAACCCGGAAGTACCGGAACGGGATACTTCCAGGTTTTGGTGCTCGCGCATGCGCATAAGTGCTAAATCGCACTTTGCGCATGCACAGAAGCACTGGATCGCGTCACGCGCTTGCGCAGACACGGCAGTGCAGGTTGTGGATGTTGCGGGTTGCGAACGTGCCTCCCGCACGGATCACGTTTTCACTGTACTCTATTCCGAACTTAAAAATGGAAAGCGTAATGCTGGTGGTCAACAAAAGAGCTTTAAAGACTGTCTCAAGGCAAATCTGGAAAAAAAATGTAGTATAAACACCAACAATTGGGAAACACTGGCCTGCGAGCGCTCCAGTTGGAGAACAGCCTTTACCAAAGGTGTCATGGGCTTTGAAGACACTCGAACTCAGGACGCAAGGGAGAAACGCGCTAAGAGGAAGGCACGCTTGGCAAATCCACACCGTGATCAACTCCCGCCCAGAAGCCAATGTCCCCACTGTGGAAGGACGTGTGGATCCAGAATTGGCCTCCACAGTCACTTATGGACTCATTGTTAAAACCGTGTTTATGGAAGACAATCTTACTCGGCTACGAGTGATCGCTAAAGAAGAAGGAGCGAAATATTCCCACATTGCAGAGGGTTGGACTAGATGACACCGGTGCCCCTTCCAATTCTACGATTCTAACAGCAACTATTATCTTTAAGCCTCTATCAGAGAAAAAAGGTGGGATATAAATAAATATTGTTATCAGTGTTGCAGCCTATTTTCATGGCAGGATTCCAGTTGTGCCTTTTTAAAAAAATAAAAGCTACATGGCAGGTGGTAGCAATTAAAGGGTAAAGGGGACCCCTGACCATTAGGTCCAGTCGTGACCGACTCTGGGGTTGCGATGCTCATCTCGCTTTATTGGCCGAGGGAGCCAGCATACAGCTTCCGGGTCGTGGCCAGCATGACTAAGCCGCTTCTGGCGAACCAGAGCAGCGCATGGAAACGCCGTTTACCTTCCTGCCGGAGCGGTACCTCTTTATCTACTTGCGCTTTGACGTGCTTTCGAACTGCTAGGTTGGCAGGAGCAGGGACCGAGCAACGGGAGCTCACCCCGTCACGGGGATTCGAACCGCCGACCTTCTGATCGGCAAGTCCTAGGCTCTGGGGTTTAACCCACAGCACCACCCGTATCCCGTGGTAGCAATTAGACTGGGATTATTGCTTCCCGGCATGGAGATGAAATGCAACAGCAAAAGCTAGACCCGTGGAATTCCTGCCTGCCACACAGCTGCCAAAGGCATGAGAGTCTTGCTGGGAAAGCGCAAATGAATGGAAACCGCAACGGCCTTGCAAGCTGCGTGGCTCACGGCCCCTGAACGCCCACCCTGGAGCCCTGCCAGTGACAAAGCCCTACCTGCTTAAGAGGAGAAAGAATAAATGTGTTGTGTTCAAAAGTAGGTGCGGCGCCACACCTTCAAGCCACAAAACCCCACCCACTTCGCACAACCCACTGGTGTCGCAGCGAGGCGTTGGGGCACTGCCAGGAGCCGCACCTCGCACGAACCATTTTCCCCAGGTGTCTCGGCGCTTTTAAGAGTCCTCTCCTGAGTTATCCTGGGGCTGCGTGCAAAAAATCAGAATTCAAAATGACCTAAACAGATTGGAGACCCAGCCAGGCCCAAGCTCACAAAATGAATTTCGACGGGGACAAAATGTCAGGTTCTGCACTTAGGCAGGAAGAACCAGGTGGACAAACCTAGGACAAAATCCTGGCTTACTAGCAGTGCATGTGAAAAGGATTTAGGGGCAGAACAGAGGTTCTGGACGTTATGCTTCTGTTAATGCAGCCTAGAATAGAATTAGCCGCCTAATAGCAACAAGGAACATTCCTCAGTACAGTGGTACCTCGGGTTACAGACGCTTCAGGTTACAGACTCCGCTAACCCAGATATAGTACCTCGGGTTAAGAACTTTGCTTCAGGATGAGAACAGAAATCGCACGGTGGTAGTGAGAGGCCCCATTAGCTAAAGTGGTACCTCAGGTTAAGAACGGTTTCAGGTTAAGAACGGACCTCCAGAACGAATTAAGTACTTAACCCGAGGTACCACTGTACCAGGAATATATATATAAAACTCACTCCTATTTTACAGAAATTGCTTAAAAGCCTTTAAAGCCCTAAACGGCCTCGGTCCAGTATACCTGAAGGAGCGTCTCCACCCCCATCATTCTGCCGGGACACTGAGGTCCAGCTCCGAGGGCCTTCTGGCGGTTCCCTCGCTGCGAGAAGTGAGGTTACAGGGAACCAGGCAGAGGGCCTTCTTGGTGGTGGCGCCCGCCCTGTGGAAGACCCTCCCACCAGATGTCAAAGAGAAAAACAACTACCAGACTTTTAGAAGACATCTGAAGGCAGCCCTCTTTAGGGAATCTTTTAATGTTTAATAGACTATTGTATTTTAATATTGTGTCGGAAGCCGCCCAGAGTGGCTGGGGAAACCCAGCCAGATGGGCGGGGTATCAATCACTGTATTTTTCGCTATATAAGACGCACCCGACCATAGGACGCACCTTGTTTTAGAGGGCGAGAACAAGAAAAAAAAAATCTCCCCCTCTCTGCGCAGCGCCCCTTCAGCGAAGTGGCAGGAGAAACGGAGCCCCTTCCATTTCTCCTGCCGCTTCGCTGAAGGGGCGCTGAGCAGAGAGGGGGAGAATTATTTTTTTCTTGTTCTCCCCCTCTAAAACAAGATGTGTTCAGTCGCCTTCAGTGAAGGCAACCCGAAGCCTCCGGAGCGTGGCGGGAGTTCCCACTGCGCTCTGGAGGCTTCGGGTCCCTATCAACCTGCTCTTTGGGGCTGGCTTTCCCCCACCGCCAGCCTCAAAGATCCCTGAAGCCTTTGGAGCGCAGCGCAAGTTCCCACTGCGCTCCGCAGGCTTCGGGTTCCTTTTGCTGAAGCCGGGCTCTCCCGGCTTCAGCAAAAGGAACCTGAAGCCTGCGGAGCGCAGCGGGAACTTGCGCTGCGCTCCAAAGGCTTCAGGCGGCTATCCCTGAAGCCTGGAGAGCGAGAGGGGTCGGTGCGCACCAACCCCTCTCGCTCTCCAGGCTTCAGCGAAAGCAATGCGAAGCCTCCGGAGCGCGGAAGGAGTGCTCCCTCTGCGCTTTGAAGGCTTCACGTTGCTATCGCTGAAGCCAAGGAGCCTGCATTCGCTCCATAGGACGCACACACATTTCCCCTTAATTTTTGGAGGGGGAAAAGTTCGTCCTATAGAGCGAAAAATACGGTACTTTTTTTAAAGGTACCTGAACATTTTGATGCATAACTTTCTTTCTTGGAGGCCTAGACTTGCCCGTGGGCATCAGGTTGGCAATAAACAACCCATGTACAGCCTTTGCCAGCCTGATGCCCCTTCAAATGTTTTGCACAATGGAGGCTGATGGGAATTATCAGCCCCAAACATCTGGAGGGCACCATGTTGGAAACTGGGCGTAGGGAGAAAACGGTGTCTCGGGTTTTGTTTTTTGAAATGCAGCCTGTTGTTCTGAGCGTGTTTTCCCTGCGCTGGCTAAGAGGGTGCCCAAATTGCAGTCCAAACCATCTGGGCACAGGGTTGCAGGAGGCGGCTGACGAGGCGATGCAATATTTCCCTCTCAACAGCCGAAGAAACAAACAAACCTCTCTTTTGTTATGTTTAGAAAAGGGGAAATGAAAACCTGTTGACAGCAGCACATCCGCCTGGCAGCTCGCTGGTCATTGGTGCTAAGTCCCAGCTGCACCTCACCTCTTAAATTAAAGGGGAACAAAAAAAAGACTCTGCGGACGTCACAAGCGGGTTAAGTCACAGGAGAAAAGCAGAAATTAATTGCCCCTCTCTTCCCTTCACCCTCCGTGAGGATCAGAGCTGCCCCGAAAGAGACTCTGCCAGAAATTGTGGATATCTTCATATTGCACATGTAAATGGCTTCCCCCAGAGAATCCTGGGAACTGTAGTTTAAGGGTGCTGAGGCTTTAGGAGAGCTCCTCCTTATCCCCTCATAGAGCTACAATCGCAGAGTGGTTTAACCTGTCCCTCTTCCTAGGGAGCTCTGGGAATTGTAGTTCTCCGAGGGGAATAGGGGCCTCAGCATACATTTCAGTCCTAGAATCATAGAGTTGGAAGAGACCACAAGGGCCATCGAGTCCAACCCCCTGCCAAGCAGGAAACACCATCAGAGCACTCCTGACATATGGTTGTCAAGCCTCTGCTTAAAGACCTCCAAAGAAGGAGACTCCACCACACTCCTTGGCAGCAAATTCCACTGTCAAACAGCTCTTACTGTCAGGAAGTTCTTCCTAATGTTTAGGTGGAATCTTCTTTCTTGTAGTTTGGATCCATTGCTCCGTGTCCGCTTCTCTGGAGCAGCAGAAAACAACCTTTCTCCCTCCTCTATGTGACATCCTTTTATATATTTGAACATGGCTATCATATCACCCCTTAACCTCCTCTTCTCCAGGCTAAACATGCCCAGCTCCCTTAGCTGTTCCTCATAAGGCATCGTTTCCAGGCCTTTGACCATTTTGGTTGCCCTCCTCTGGACACGTTCCAGTTTGTCAGTGTCCTTCTTGAACTGTGGTGCCCAGAACTGGACACAGTACTCCAGGTGAGGTCAGACCAGAGCAGAATACAGTGGCGCTATTACTTCCCTTGATCTAGATGCTATACTCCTATTGATGAGGCCCAGAATTGCATTGGCTTTTTTAGCTGCCGCGTCACACTGTTGGCTCATGTCAAGTTTGTGGTCAACCAAGACTCCTATTCCACGGCTTCCCACAAAGCATCCTGGGAGCTGTAGTTTGTTATGAGGGTGCTGCTGAGAAGCCCATTCCCCTCATGGAACTACAACTCTCCAAAGTTCCTTGTGAATTGGGATTGTTTAAGCCGTTTTGGGAACCGTAGCTCTGGGAAGGCGAAGAAATCTTTGCGGAAAGCCGTTCACCATTTAAAACGGCACCTTAGTGGTTCAAATGAGGGGCGAAAAAGAAAACATTCAGGAAAACAGGCATTCCCTGGTCCCGTTGTTATGGCACGAAATGGGAAAGTCGGAATTAACAGGGGAGGTTGCAGCCTGGAGGAGCTTTGGCCCTCCAGATGTTGCAGGACTACAACTCCCATCAGCCCCAGCAAGCCTGGCCAATGGCCAGCGATGAGGGGAGTTGTAGTTCAACAGCGCCTGGAAGGCCAAGGGCTCCCCAAGCTTCCTGTAGGCCTTAAGTCAGGGAGCACAACATGTGGTGGGAGTGTAAAAAGGTGAAAAACGTCTGGGAAATGATATATAATGAGATGAAAAAAATGTTGAAATATACATTTATTAAAAAACCAGAAGCATTTTTACTAGGCATTGTAGGAGATGATATAACTAGAAGTGATTGTAAGTTGTTTCTGTATGCAATGACGGCAGCAAGAATATTATTGGCACAAAATTGGAAGCAAGAAGAATTACCGACGAAAGAAGACTGGAGGATGAAACTAAGGGACTATGCAGAACTAGATAAACTAACGGGAAGAATTTGAAACCGGCGGGACCAGAGATTCACAGAAGATCGGCGTAAATTTACGGACTATTTGAAAAGTAGTTGTGATGACCAAATTACATTTGTAGGTTTACAGGAAGTTTTGTAAGCTTAATAACTGGAATTATTGCTTTATTGAGTGAAAAAGGATGGTGTTAGTTATGATAATTAAGGCAATATGAATTTAAGAAATGTAGAACAAATTATAAAAATGGAAGATCATCAGAAGTGCTGATGGAAGTCCAAAAAGCTTGTATACGAGATGAAATTTTGTGGAATGCATGATAATTAATATGCTTGAAAATTAATAAAAATTATATATATATTAAAAAAAAAGTCAGGGAGGGCAGAACCCGTAGCCTTGCAGGTGTTGTCAGATACAACTCCCATCAGCCACAGCAGGCGGATGATGGGAGTTGTAGTCTTGGGCAGTTGGGCGATCACAGCAAAGGTGGAGAGCTGGCTACAATGGCACTTGGTGTGATCCGAGAGAGTTTCCACCGTCTGTCAAGGCTGAAATAGGGAGGGAAAGTGAATAAAAGGAAAACACAGAGCAGCCAAGAGAGAGGAGAGGAGTGAATTTGATGGGCAGTCCACGGCCCGTAATTCCACTGGGACTGAGATGACTTTGACTACGGTTCCCATCACCCCCAGACGTCAGCCACGGCGTTACAGACCAGCACATCTCCTTCTTTGGAGGTTTTAAAACAGAGGCTGGACGGCTGGTCATGCTTTAGCTGAGATTCCTGCATTGTAGGGGGTTGGACTAGAACATGGGTAGGCAAACTAAGGCCCGGGGGCTGGATCCGGCCCAACCGCCTTCTCAATCCAGCCCGCGGATAGTCAGGGAATCAGCGTGTTTTTACATGAGCAGAATGTGTCCTTTATTTGTGGGGCCTGCCTGGTGTTTTCATATGAGCAGAATGTGTGCTTTTGTTTTTTAGTTTTTTTATTAACAATTTCAACATATCAAAATATCATATCATATTCATTATTACCCTTTCCCCCCCATCAAATCCTCCCTCCCTCCCCGAAACTTCCCTCAGCTCCTCTCTCCGATTTCTCAAAACCTATTATTCTCTGCATACTGTAAAATTGTATAAATCATTACATTATATTATCTACTCTGTTAACAATCAGAATGTGTGCTTTTATTTAAAATGCATCTCTGGGTTATTTGTGGGGCCTGCCTGGTGTTTTTACATGAGCAGAATGTGTGCTTTTATTTAAAATGCATCTCTGAGTTATTTGTGGGGCATAGGAATTCATTCATTTTTCCCCTCCAAAATATAATCTGGCTCCCCACAAGGTCTGAGGGACAGTGGACCGGCCCCCTGCTGAAAAAGTTTGCTGACCCCTGGTCACTAGATGACCTATGGGGTCCCTTCCAGCGCTACAATTCTATGATATCTGGCGGGTCCTGTAGCTTCTCCCCCCTCCCTCGCTTCTGAGGCCTAAACCCTCCACTGTGACCGAGATGCCGGGCGCTGGGCTAAATAGCTGCGTCGCACAACAGCCCTGCAGAGTCTCCTGTACGTCCCGTCTGCTGCTTTGAGGGAGGAGCCGGGTGCATAGAATTAACCACCTCAAGGGGAAAGTTGAAGGGGTGATGAAGTGACGGCCCCTGCCATATGTAAACGAAGCTGGGATCCACTTAAGTGGAGCTTTTCGATGACAGTCATACCTCATGTTACGTCCGCTTCATGTTACAGTGGTACCTTGGGTTAAGTACTTAATTCGTTCCGGAGGTCCGTTCTTAACCTGAAGCACCACTTTAGCTAATGGGGCCTCCCGCTGCTGCACGATTTCTGTTCTCATCCTGAAGCAAAGTTCTTAACCCGAGGTTCTATTTCTGGGTTAGTGGAGTCTGTAACCTGAAGCGTATGTAACCTGAAGCGTCTGCAACCCGAGGTACCACTGTACGTTCTTTCAGGTTACGTCCCCTGGCAATCCGGAAGAACTGGAAAGGGTTACTTTTGGGTTTCGCCACTCGCACATGCGCAGAAGTGCAAAATGGCATCACGTGCATGCGCAGAAGCGGCGAATCGCAACCCATGCGTGCGTAGACGTGCCGCTGCGGGTTGTGCTCTTTTTCTGTTGCAAACAGGCCTCCGGAACGGATCCCGTTTGCAACCAGAGGTACCACTGTACGCTGAATTTCCACAGCCAAGAAAAATGGACCTGGTGAATGTCTGCCTGCCGCGTGGCTGTTAAGAGACAAAGAAGGAAAAGAAGCTACAGAAGGGAAAGCTACAGGAAGTGTTGCGCTTGAAGAAAATAACCACTTGAATGACAAATGTAAGCCACAGCCTTGTATTTGCTATTCACCTGGTCGCCTGTGGAGAGTTGGAAGAGTCTCTAGGCGACCAGCAGGCAAGTGCGCCCCCCAAGTCTTAATTTGGACGCGGGTGGCGCTGTGGTCTAAACCACAGAGCCTGGGGCTTGCCAATCAGAAGGTTGGCAGTTCGAATCCCCGCGACGGGGTGAGCTCCCGTTGCTCAGTCCCTGCTCCTGCCAACCTAGCAGTTCGAAAGCACGTCAAAGTGCAAGTAGATAAATAGCTATGGCGGGAAGGTAAACGGTGTTTCCGTGCGCTGCTCTGGTTCGCCAGAAGCAGCTTAGGCATGCTGGCCACATGACCCAGAAGCTGTACGCCGACTCCCTCGGCCTCAAGATGAGCGCCGCAACCCCAGAGTCGTCCGCGACTGGACCTAATGGTCAGGGGTCCCTTTACCTTTTATCACAAGGCAAGTGGGCCAGCGTAAGACTTGAGGGCTTATCTGTAAGGCTGATAAGACGAACCTCAATGAAGTTGGAATTTCTTTCTCTCTTTTTTTTGTTTTAAATAAGGAAAAATCACACAATTTTCATGAAGGCTAGAAAGAAAAATCATTTATTTTTATTTTTTAAAAAACAGTTCACTGAAGTGAGCCCTTGTTTGTAAAGATTAGGGTGTTCCCCCACCCCGGGAACCCATAACCACAAGACACGTCTGAATTTTCCCCAACCTGAAAGAAAAGATTCCAAAAGAAATTCCAGCGTTAAATGTACAGTACATTTGCATATGCAGATCAGCATCTGATAAACACACCCCTCATTTTGCTAGTCAGGGGGAAGAAAGAAAACATAATTTTTTGCGGGGTGGGGTGGGGGATGAGGGATGAGGAGGGAACCAAGAAAACCCCAAAGACAAACCCAATGTATTCCAGTTAAGACAGCTGCAGATTTGATTACAAAAAGTACCTTGTTCTTCCGTTCAGGAACTGAGAAGCCCTTATTGACATCGCAGAAACCCTCCCAGATATTTTCACACACATCGTTCCCTCCCACCCGCAAGAAATAAGAGCACCTCCGTGCCTCCGTTGTGCGTGATCTGGGAATTATTTTAATGTGACTACACAGGCAGAAAAACCCGCAAAACAAGGGAGGCAGGGTAAGAGTGACTGAGCAAGGAGGTGGGAAATTAAGTGCCTTCTTATATCATCACCACCGACACAGAACTTTCCAAGTCAGGGGAGAAGTGCATTAAAACATGTATCCTAGTGGCTAAGATCTCAGATCTTCGCCAGCAAATTAAGGCCTGGTCCACCCAAATTAACCACTGCCTTCCAGCTTAAATTTGCAGCCATCTGTGCCCTAGAATCCGCAGAGACCTGGCTGCCACATTCACTCTACCCAGGTGTTGGGCTCGAAAAGCTTTGTTTAAGGTGGGTTATTTTTCATCATAAGGTGGGGGGGGCAAACAATGATGTCTTTCCACCTATTTCTTTGCAAGGTAAAGCACACAGCTTCCCCCCCCAAAAAAAAAACTCGGGGGAAACAGCCAAAAGCAACATTTTACTTTGAAGAAATGAAAGGGAGGCAGACGATATCTGGGAGAGAGAAAGAGGCCAGAGGTTTTATTCCAAAAGCCTAAATTCCCATCACACAAATTCCCGATGACGTCCGCGGTCACACACGTTTCGTGCCAGCGGAATTGGATTATCTCGGGACGCCTAACCAGATGGCGGTCACCTGACTTTTAAATTCTGTCTCGTTCCGACGCGATCGCCCGGGAATCCGACTGGCGGATCCTGCCCCCCCCCCACAAAGCAAAGCAGATCCGTTGGAATGTCAGCAAGATTGGGGGCGGGAAGAGACGTGCATGGTGCGATCGGGTGACGAGTGATTTTGGAAGCAAGGGGGGGAAACATACAGCGCAGGAATGTTAAAGAGTTAAACTTCCCACCCCGTGAAATACTTTCAAAGCGTACTTTTCAAGTGCAGTTTCTAACCGTGGTTAAATGCAGCTTATTTGGGGGAGAAAGAAAGATTGCCATCAGGAGCAGAAGGTGGGGGCACACCTGGTCACCCCCTCCCTCCAAAAAAATAATAATCCCCACTATTCAGGGATCTGAGCAAAAATCAAGGGTTTTAACAGGCACAAAAAAACAGCGTCAAAACTTCTGTTCTGTAGGGTAGGGGAAGAGAGGTGCATTTGCACAAAATATTGCCACCATGAAATTCAGGCACAGAGTTCTGCATCCAAGTCCCACACCGGTCTTGGTCCTGGGTGCAAGGGGGTTTTTTTGGGAGGGGGGGAGGAAGAGGCACAGATCCCTTCGCCGCCGCAGGTTCAATTTGGGAGGGGGCCAAGCAGGCGAGATGTGGTTGCCGCTCTATGGCTGGCAAGGAGGGACGAAGAGTTTGCTGCAGATGTGCGTTAAGAGCTCGCTGAGCTGTGCAGAACCGCTCCCTCCCCCTACTGAAAAGGGGGGGGGGAGAGAGGAGAACGAACACTCCTTGTGGGAGTTATGAGTCACGCTTGCTCAAAAAAGATCACGCCCAAGCAGAGCAGGCTGCGGTGTGGGAACATGGCGCAAAGGACAGCGGGCAAGACTTCTCTGTGGGGACAGCAGGAACACGAGGCCCGATAGGTCCCAGGGAGGGGTGGGTGCGCGGAACGACCCTACCCAGATCGCTTGGTACCTTCCGTACAATTCCACCACCACGAGTCGGTGTTTTCCAGAAAACGAGCCGTTTCCTTTCTCCCCAAAGCACAGAGGAACAGGCTCCCGATCCGTGCCCCCGTGCAATAAGCAAAAATAAAAATCTACCTTAAGATGCAGCTTGCAGTTGGGGACCCCTGTGCGCATCGAAACAAGGGGTAACCAGAAAAATCAAGGCCTGAGCCATGTGGCCATGCAACGGCTGCCTCTTTTTCATGGGGGACGAGAGAAGAAAGCTTTCTTCCCGCTGCAGTGCCAAAAAACCATTCACACTGAGAATTTGCCCCTGTGACATACACACACGGTCCTCACCTGTTAGTTCAGGGGGCGAAAGGAAATCGGGAAAAACTAACCGGATCTTGTGTCAAAGAGAGGGGAGGTTTCTCACCCAGCAAGGCATTCAAGCAAGAAGTTTGCAAAGTTAAACTGAGATCTCCCCATTGTGATCCTGGGCAGGAAGGGGAGGGAGGTGGAAATGCCCGACTACCTGAGTAGACCCATTTTGCTGGGTGGGTGGGGTGGGGACAGAGGACGAATCCATTTCAAGTTCAAAAGCTAGCAATTTGGAAGGGCGGGGTCATTTGCGAGTCCTCCCTGCCCAGGGTGAATCAAGGGATGACAAAGAGAGATTCCGCCCCAAATTGGTCACTGCTTCTTAAGAATCGGCCTCAAATGCAAAGGGGGGTGGGGAAATAAAGGGAAATACGATCTCGAGTTACAGCAGAAGTGTGAAATCAGGGCAAAGTGATTCATGGTCCCTGAAAAGAAGCCTCTTCTTTGTTCTGTGCCTCGGATCCTGCGCTTAGTTTAAGCTGCTACGGACCAAAAATTTCACCAACTTTGTCGGTAAGATTAGGAAGCGAGGAGAATCCGCACCCACCTGGAAAACAACCGGTGGAGCACATTTCTCATATCGAACACACACACACAAACACACCCCGGTAATGAACACGTAGTTCCCAACAGCTGGAAGACGGTCTCAACCACCGCTGAAGCGGAGTTAAATCAGCCTTGCGTACCTGGCACCCCCCAAATGCAGGGGATGCTTGGAGTGGTGGTCCAAAAGACCTGGAGGGCACCAGGTTGTCAAATACTGGGTCCAATGGTCCTTTCTCTAGGATGAGAAACTTGGCAAGGCAGATCTTTAGCCAAGGCTGTGGCCCAGAGATGGGAAAAGAGAGAAGGGGGTGGCGTAGGCGATTCCCCGTTTGGGGAAACAAGTTTTGCAGAAGGATGGCATCAGAACAGGACAGAGGAGCAAAACAGACCCAGATCGATTCAGTCCGGGTAGAAATCTGGCCAGGTTGGAAGCCAGGAACTCCCCAACCCAAAGTCAAGTGGAAAGCCCAGGAAGCTGTCCAGATCTGTAACACCCCCCCCCCAAAATCCACCTGTCCCTTGCTGAAAAAGTGGAGGGAAGCTCCAGCTGCCTCCGTCAGGAAGATCTACGCTCCGGCGAGAGGGAGCCAGCCCTAGCTCTGATTAATGGTTCCTTCAATTCCACCCACCTTGCGGTGGGGGAACTGGTTCGGCCGGGCGTTGGCCTCGCACATCCTTGCCTACACCAAGCAAGCAACCCCGGCAGGTTGAGCAGGTCAAGAGAGAGAGGGGAGAGGCAGGGAAAGAGAGACGGGTGTTCCCAGCAAAGGAAGGACAGGGCGCAGCCTCCAGCAAGCAAGGCATTCCGGAATGTGAACCTCCATCGGCTGCACAGGATAGCACCAGGACTTGAACACGCCTCGTCTCGGGGTGGGGGAGTGTCTCTCTCCTGTGCCCACCTACCCACCCTGCAAAAATGAGCCAAGGGGAGTCTGTCCACTTGCGGCCCTTGAACCCAAGGCTTGCGGAAGGCAGGAACGCTAAGCAAGGAGACCAGAATCCATCCTTCGCTCTCAACAAGGTGCCCACCTACCCAAACATACTGCCATTATGGCATGGGCAACGCCAAGCTCTGCCCACAAGGCAGCTCAGCTTTCAGGCTGAGGACACCACAGTTTGGAGAACCACAGGAGTTGGGGGGCAGAGAGAGAAAGATTAAAGGGGTGGAAACCTAGCAGACCTAGCTTTCGTATATAGGGTTGGGGCTAAAAGTCTCCCCACCCCCAACCCTTTGCTCCCATCAGAATATATCCAATGCCGCCATCTCCCAGGACAGAGAAGGAGGCGAAAGAGAGTAAGAGAGAAATCTCTTGTGGACAGACTTGCTGCCACGTCCCTTTGCTGAGAAAACTCTCCGCTTCTGCCACAGCAAAGCGATTTGCCGAGAAAACTCTCCGCTTCTGCTAGAGCGAAGAATCCGTTTCAAATTTTTTGTTGAGGAGGAACGGGGGGAGGAGGAAAAGAGAATATATATATGTTCTAGGATTCATTGGTTAGAGATTCTTTTTGTGTGTGCGCGCGTAAATTATATATATATATATAGATATAGATATATAGCCCTAGAATTATGATTTGTAGTTGGAAGTAAGCCACATTAAACCTTCGTAAAGTCCTTCTCCCGACGTCGCGCAGGACGGCTGGACGTACCAATTTCTGTCCCTAATGCGCGTGAGGCCCAGTTTCTCCTGGATCTCGTGCGGCTTCATGGCGTCGGGGAGGTCCTGTTTGTTGGCAAAGACGAGGATGATGGCGTCTCGCATTTCCCGGTCGTTGATGATGCGGTGGAGCTCCTGACGGCCTTCGTCGATCCGGTCGCGGTCGGCGCAGTCCACCACAAAAATCAGCCCCTGGGTGCCGGTGTAATAGTGTCTCCACAGAGGGCGGATCTTGTCCTGCCCTCCGACGTCCCAGACATTGAACTTGACATTCTTGTAGGTCACCGTCTCCACGTTGAAGCCCACCGTGGGGATGGTGGTCACCGGCTGGCCCAGCTTCAGCTTGTAGAGGATGGTGGTCTTGCCAGCGGCATCCAAGCCCAACATGAGGATCCTCATCTCCTTGTTGCCAAATATCTTTGATAGCATCTTCCCCATGGCTGCAGGCAAGCGCCACAGTCCATACAAGGCTGAAGAGAAGGAGGAAACAGGAGAATATCAAAATTAACAAGGCCCTCCATGCTCTCTACTTCAGGTTACAATTGGCCCCATGCAATACAGAACAGAGTACAGTGGTACCCTCGGGTTACAGACGCTTCAGGTTACAGACTCCATTAACCCAGAAATAGTACCTCAGGTTAAGAACTTTGCTTTAGGGACGTGGGTGGCGCTGTGGGTTAAACCACAGAGCCTAGGGCTTGCCGATCAGAAGGTTGGCGGTTTGAATCCCCGCAACGGGGTGAGCTCCCGTTGCTCGGTCCCAGCTCCTGCCAACCTAGCAGTTCGAAAGTACGTCAAAGTACAAGTAGATAAATAGGTACCACTCTGGTGGGAAGGTAAACGGCATTTCCATGCGCTGCTCTGGCTCGCCAGAAGCGGCTTAGTCATGCTGGCCACATGACTCGGAAGCTGTACGCCAGATCCCTCGGCCAATAAAGCGAGATGAGCACCGCAACCCCAGAGTCAGCTACAACTGTACCTAATGGTCAGGGGTCCCTTTACCTTTACAGTGGTACCTCGGGTTACAGACACTTTAGGTTACAGATGCTTCAGATTACAGACTCCACTAACCCAGAAATAGTACCTCAGGTTAAGAACTTTGCTTCAGGATGAGAACAGAAATCGTGCTTCGGCGGCGCAGTGGCAGCAGGAGGCCCCATTAGCTAAACTGGTACCTCAGGTTAAGAACAGTTTCAGGTTAAGAACGGACCTCCAGAACAAATTAAGTTCTTAACCCAAGAATTTACAGTGGAAGTCGAACGGAATCCATTCCAAAAGTCCACTCGACTTCCAAAACATTCGGAAACCAAGGCCCGGTTTCCGATTGGCTGCGGGAAGCTCCTGCAACCAATCAGAAGCTGCGGAAGATGTTCGGGCTCCGAAGAATGTTCACAAACCAGAACACTCACTTCCGGGTTTGCGGCGTTTGAAAGCCAAAACGTTCGACTGTAGCTGTGTTTGAAATTGGCCAGGCATGTTTTGCTACTGGTGCTGGTCTGATGGCAACCGCGTGGAGATTTCTGGGCGCCAGGTTTAAAAAGCTCTGCCTTACTCAATAGTTAATGCCATTTCCAACGTGTGTTTCTCCCTCTTGAATACTGGGACCAGTGAATTGTTGTAAGAGCAAGCGACAGTCAAGCCATGTAGCTGAGATTATAGAACTGTAGCGTCGGAAGGGACCCCTGAAGAGTCATCTAGTCCAACCCAATGGCGAATAGGCATTCCGTTGCGGCAACCGCAACCTAGATTCAAGGTGCAATTTGGCGCTGGCTTATATAGTATAAAAGGAAAGGGACCCCTGACCGTTAGGTCCAGTCGTGGCTGACTCTGGGGTTGCAGCGCTCATCTCGCTTTATTGGCCGAGGGAGCCGGCGTACAGCTTCCGGGTCGTGGCCAGCATGACTAAGCCGCTTCTGGCAAACCAGAGCAGTGCATGGAAATGCCGTTTACCTTCCCGCCGGAGTGGTACCTATTGATCTACTTGCACTGGTTTGCTTTCGAACTGCTAGGTTGGCAGGAGCAGGGACCGAGCAACAGGAGCTCACCCCGTCGCGGGCATTTGAACCGCCGACCATCTGATCGGCAAGCCCTAGGCTCTGTGGTTTAACCCACAGCGCCACCCGCGTCATAGCTTATATAGTATACCTAAGTCTTAACAGGGCTGGATTGGGAAAGCTCCACAACGGGCGACTGTTTGGGGGAAGCGGGGGCTAGGGAGATGGACGGCTGCAGACGTACTGGTTGTGAGCCAGATGCTGGGGGGGACGACCCTCAAAAAGGCTGATCAACGACATCTCAATGACATCTCCCACAAAATTCAAGGGTGATCGCCGAAGAATGGATGCTTTTGAATTATGGTGCTGGAGGAGACTCTTGAGAGTCCCATGGACTGCAAGAAGATCAAACCTATCCATTCTTAAGGAAATCAGCCCTGAGTGCTCACTGGAAGGACAGATCCTGAAGCTGAGGCTCCAAGACTATGGCCACCTCTTGAGAAGAGAAGACTCCCTGGAAAAGACCCTGATGTTGGGAAAGATGGAGGGCACAAGGAGAAGGGGAGGACAGAGGACGAGATGGTGGGACAGTGTTCTGGAAGCTACCAGCATGAGTTTGACCAAACTGCGGGAGGCAGTGGAAGACAGGAGTGCCTGGCGTGCTCTGGTCCAGGGGGTCACGAAGAGTCGGACACGACTAAACGAGGGGATAAAAGACCCTTTCTGATGATAGGAGTTGTTTGAGAGAGGAACAGTCTCCCTCGGGAGGTGGCAAACTCTCCTTATTTGAGGTTTTTAAGCAGACGTTGGTTGGCCATCCGTCATGGATGCTTTAGCTGAGATTCCTGCATTGCATTGCAGGGGGTTGGACTAGATGACCTGCGGGGGTTCCTTCCTACGATCCTCTGATCTGTGTGCCCCCATCTTAATCAGCCTCTCCCCAACCTTCCCCAGGGCAACTTGAGACCTGGGCACCCCAAGGAAAGGCAGCCAGCCAGCGCGGTGTAGCGGTCAGAGTGCCAGGCTGGGACGCGGGGGACCAGGGTTCGAATCCCCGTTTGGCTACGGAGCTCACTGGGTGACCTGGGGCCAGCCACTGCCTCTCAGACTAATCCACCACACAGGTTGTTGTGGAGATGAAATGAGGTCCCTTATGCTCCTTGGAGGAAAAGATGCGAGATCAATAATAGAATTGTCGAGTTGGAAGGGACCCTGAGGGTCATCCAGTCCAACCCCCGGCAAGGCAGGAATATGCAATAAATAAATAGGGTGTTCTGGCCTACATTTCATTTTACCATATTCACCCTTACACGCTACAGCTGCTGCCTACTCCAGCCACTTTCCTCCAGAATCATTCCCCCTTTTCTCCTTTGGCTGGTCCCATCACCATGTCCTCTGGCAATTTGTACCCAGACAATGACACTCAAGGTGGCAACCGATATCAGGCAAAGCTTATATAAAACAGTCGTCCGCTTGGTCGCCTGTGGCGAGCTCAGAATTTCTGGCGGGTGACCATGATAGGAAGAGTTGGTTCCTTCCTTTCTCTCCCCGCCCCCACGCACACAACTACAGTATTTTTTGCTCTATAAGACTCACTTTTCCCCTCCTAAAAAGTAAGGGGAAATGTGTGTGCGTCTTATGGAGCGAATGCAAGCTGTGCAGCTATCCCAGAAGCCAGAACAGCAAGAGAGATTCCTGCTTTCACTGCGCAGCGATCCCTCTTGCTGTTCTGGCTTCTGAGATTCAGAATATTTTTTTTCTTGTTTTCCTCCTCCAAAAACTAGGTGCGTCTTGTGGTCTGGTGCGTCTTATAGAGCGAAAAATAGGGGCAACTTCTTTTGGGGCAACTGATTCACTAGAAAGAGGTGAATGCACACAGGATAGCCATTGCATTGAGGACTAGTCACATGCGAGGACTCGATTCTCAACAACGGCACCACGGTTCCCCCAACCAAACAGCAGCTTCTGAACAGGAACAGGAAGTGAGGACTATGTAGCGGCCCTAGAGGCAGAAAGACTAGACTCGCACCATTCTCTGGGGCTTGAAGTTGACCTGGTTTCCCACTAACTTCCTGTGCGAAGGGTAGATTTATTTACTTATTTACCCAAAGGGATAGAGCATAGTCACCCTACACCCACAGAGATCCAGGGTTAATGACAACTTCCATTTCCGCCTCTGAAAATGTGGGCTGCGCGTCACTCTAGCGCAGGGGAGGCAACACGCAGGGAAGCATCCTCTTGCGGGACTACAATTCCCATCATCCCCAGCCACGCCGGCAGGGACTGATGGGATTTGTAGTCCGGAACGACAACCAGCCTTTCTCAACCTGTGGGTCCCCAGATGTTGTTGAACTACAACTCCCATCACCCCTAGCTAGCAAGGCCAGAGCTCAGGGATGATGGGAGTTGTAGTCCAACAACATCTGGGGACCCACAGGTTGAGAACCGCTGATTGGATGGCCGTCTGTCATGGATGCTTTAGCGTTGCAGGGGGTTGGACTGGATGACCCCCGGGGTCCCTTCCAAGTCTAGGATTCTGTGATTCTACTCCTGCCCTAGCGACTCTGGCTCTCCCGATTTAATTCCTGCCTTTTCACCCTATTTCTCTCGGGCGCCTTCTTGCTTTGGAACAGCTTCTCCCTCCCCGTTTTTCAAACCACTTCCCCTTCCTGCACCTTCACCCCCTGGCTGCCTTCTCCTCCACTGCTTCTCACGGTCTGACATTTAACGGTCTCGCTTCTCCCATTCCTAGAAGTGGCTGACCGACGTGCACAGGGAGCCCCCCAGATTTGGGGTGTGGGGGTGTGCCAGCCTCAAAACGCTCCATCTGTCGCCGCCAGCGCTATGGCAATGCGAAACAGGCCGGCGGTCGGGTCAGAAGGGCGGGGTCTGAATAATAAAATTATTTTCGCTGCTGTTGTCGTTATCAGCATTATTGCAACAGCGTTCCTGAAATTTGCAGAGTTGCATGATTTGCACGGCTAGTTCTACTTGTTCTATTCAAGGGGAAGAACAGAATCCCCTACTACTATTACACCCCCACTGAAAAGTCCTACCAATCTCACTTCTGCCTATCTGAAAGGAGCACCCCCCCACACACACTTTCAATCTGACCTGACTGTCACAGTCATAAGGTCCAGAACCTTGCGGGGCTTTTTTAAAAATCAAGATTTCCAGAATGCCAAATCTGGCATTCGGTTTTACGATCCTTCTCCCCATACATCTGAGGCCTCGAAAATAGTAGTTGTAGTAGCACATGGGTGGGGGAATTTGTGGGCGTCCAGATAACGGCAGGCAGGCAGTGTGGTGTAGTGGTTAGAGTGTCAGACCAGACCTTGGGAGAGAGCAGGGTTCCGGTCCTCACCCAATCACGATGCTCACTGGGTGACCTTGGGCCAGCAACTGCCTCTCAACCTAACCTACCTCACAGGGTTGTTGTGAGAGTAATATTGGGGAGGACCATGTACTTGAGCTCCCTGGATGAAAGGTCACAGAATTCTGGAGTTGAAAGGGACCCCTGAGGATCATCCAGTCCAACCCCCTGCAATGCAGGAATCTTTTGCCCAACACGGGTCTCGAACCCTTGACCCTGAGATCAAGGGTCTCTCAGTTCTACCGACTGAGCTATCGCTGGTGGCTATATTTTAACTCCAGGATCAGAGGGACGCTGCCTATGGATTGCGGGCCCCAAGAGACAGCTAGAGCATGAGACTCTTAATCTCAGGGCTGTGGGTTCGAGCCCCGCATGGGGCAAAATAAGCATTGCAGGGGGTTGGAATAGATGACCTTTGGGGAGCCCTTCCCACTCTCCAATTCTACTCCTCCTGTGCCCGGCTTGTGAGCACCCCATAGACATCTGGCTGGACACTGTGCGGGCAGAATGCGTCCCAGCAGTTTAGGGCAGTAGGAGTAAACAAACACAGGTCTCTCTTTCCTATGCCCTTAATTTGACATGGGCTCAGGTACAGTACTGAATTTGCCTTCACAAATCACCCCGAGAGCCAGTGGTTAAATGCACCAGATTAGGCCCTGCGAGACCCGAGTTCAAATCCCCACCGGGCCACACGAAGCTCACCGGCTGACCACCTCTCAGCCTAACCTACCCTTGTCGCACGGAAGAATTAAATGAGATGGGGAGAGCCACGCCTGCCACTTTGAGCTCCTTCGAAGGTGGGGCCAAAATGCAGAAAGTAATAATAAAACTAGTGCTTTTTTAAACCCATTTCACAGAGAGGGGAAGTGAGACTGGGAGGCAGCGGGGGAAGCCCACAGGAGGTTCAGAGTCCTGTTCGTTCCAGCAGAACGTCGATACACGTCCTTTGCTCTGGACTGTGGCCAGCGAGCTGCGCGAGGTCATGGAAGGATTCTGCGGCGGGGTGGCACTTGAACGCTGACCCTCCTCAAAGCAGCACAGAAACCAGGCAATAACACCTCCCTCCCCTTTTCTCTCCAACCCAGAACAAGCAAGGACTCCTGGAGAAGTCCTATTCTAATCCCCTAACAGGGAAGTACAGTGGTACCTCGCAAGACGAATGCCTCGCAAGACAAAAAACTCGCTAGACGAAAGGGTTTTTTGTTTTTTGAGCTGCTTCGCAAGACGATTTTCCCTATGGGCTTGCTTCGCAAGACGGAAACGTCTTGCGAGTTTGTTTCCTTTTTCTTAACACCGTTAATACAGTTGCGACTTGACTTTGAGGAGCAACTCATAGAACGCGGTGTGGTAGCCTTTTTTGAGGTTTTTAAAGACTTTGGTGATTTTTGAAGCTTTTCCAAAACTTTCCCGACATCGTGCTTCGCAAGACGAAAAAAATCGCAAGACGACAAAACTCGCGGAACGAATTAATTTCGTCTTGCGAGGCACCACTGTATGGGTAACTAAGAACACCCCAATTTCCCTAAGTCATGGGTGATCTATCCCCTTATATCAGGGGTCAGCCACCTTTTTCAGCCGGGGACTGGTCCACCGTCCCTCAGACCATGTGGTTGGCCGGACTATATTTTGGCAAAGAAAATGAATGAATTCCTATGCCCCACAAATAACCCAGAGATGCATTTTAAATAAAAGCACACATTCTACTTGTGTAAAAACACACTGATTCCGGGACCGTCCGCGGGCCGGATTGAGAAGGTGATTGGTCCGCATCCGGCCCCCGGGCCTTAGGTTGCCTACCCCTGCCTTATATTCTGGACACTAAGGTCCAGCGCCAAGGGCCTTCTGGCAGTTCCCTCACTGTGAGAAGCAAAGCTACAGGGAACCAGGCAGAGGGCCTTTTCGGTAGTGGCACCTGCCCTGTGGAGCACCCTCCCATCAGATGTCAAAGAGATAAACAACTACCTGACATTTAGAAGACATCTGAAGGCAGCCCTGTTCAGGGAAGTTTTTAACGTGTGACATTTTAATGTATTTTTAATCTTTGTTGGAAGCTGCCCAGAGTGGCTGGGGAGACCCAGCCAGACAGGCGGGGTACAAATAATAAATTATTATTATTATTATTCTCACAACACCCTGCAAGGCAGGCAAAAGGCCTCCCAGTGTGCTTTGGGGCTGAGCAAGGATCCGAAAAAAGGATTTCCCCAGCCTAAAACCCGCCTCAACACCACACCAGATCTCAGCGAGGGGGGTGGGATTCTTCCACCGCAAACCTCCCAAAGGGACTGGCAGCGGGGTCACAAGGCCTCGTTTCGGTGAGCCTGCCTAGGTTCCAAATCTGTGATCTGGTTGTGTTTGTGTGCGTTCCTAATTTCAAGAGTGTGAACTTCCATTTTGATTCCCAACTTCTCCCACATGCAAAAGCCACATCAATAGAAGCCAGCATCTTAGGAGAACACAGGACAGGTATGAAGGTCACTCTCAAGTTTACAGAGACTCCTAGACGCATGTACTCCCCACGCTCATTTCAAACCTGGGGTTTTGATTTCAGTTCCTTGCTAGGGCCCAGCAGCCGAAAAAGTTATTAATTGCGAGTGGGTGGGTATCTGCAAGGCTACTACACTCACCCAGTTTGCAATCCTGAGCGTTAAGAACTTTCTACGTTGACGGAGACTTGATTTTATTGCCACGCTACTTTTCCAGGTGTCTGTCGTTCTCCCCACCCCAAAAAAAAAATTCTCCAAAAATTCAAAATACTTTGGGACAGGGGAGAAGGAAGACACACAAAAAAAAGAGGCATGGCAGAAAAATAATTCTCAGCCAAGTTGAGGAACAGGTGACAAAAGTTTTAGACACAGACGCAGAGGAAAGTTTCTCTCCTCCATACTGGAAGTAACAAAATGAAATGAAAATCGCATTTCAAAATCACGCCAGGACTTTTTAAAAAACGAAAACCAAGGCAACTCCCCCCGTTTCAAAATGGCAACCTCCAAGAAGCTGAAGATTTCTCTCCCCCCCCCCTTTTTTTTTGGCAGACAGATATGGAAAAGAATGAAACACACAGAGAAAGATCTGAATGGAAACAAAAATGAGTTCACACTGATTTCCTCCGCGGCTCAACTCCTTCCCCCTCCCTCGCTATTGCTACAGAGGAACTGGGTCAAAGAGCTCTACGTGACCGGAGTGGGGGAGGCCAAAGGGCACCATCCAGACGAGAGCGCAAAACTCACACGTGTCTTTTGCCTTTATTAAGAAGTTTTCGCCTGCTCTGAAGAGAGCAGCTGTAACAAAGGGAAAAGCGCGGGGCGGCGAGGGAGAGACGGGTCCCTAGATAACTGGAAGGAAATGAGATGTCCAAGCCTCTCTCCACCCCCCCAGGGGAGTCTCAGATGAATTAGATCTCCCCCGCCCCCCCCGAATCCCTCCAGATCGGAGAGAGTGCCCCAATTCACACAACACGCCAGATCCGACTCTCTAGGGCGTCTTCTGAACGTGGCACCGATTCAAATCTAGCAAAGTACTGTCCAAGCAGGGAAAGAACGGGGGGTGGGCAGCCCCTCCCCACATTAAAGATTTGGAGAGAGAGAAAGAGAGAGACCCCCTTGCTTGCTCCGGTCAACCCCCGCCCCACCTCTTTCAGGCAAGCGTGCGCGCCGCTTCCGGAAAGCGAACACGCGTCCGCAGCCGCCCGAGCGCTCGCTCCGCTTGTTCCTGTCTAAACGGCAGTTTTAATTCAAACCCCAGATGTCCCACCCAGGAGAAGTTTCCAACGTCGGTGGGGTGGGGTGGGGGGAGGCGAGACCCACACCCGCCTCGCTTCTCTTTACAAGGAAGTTAAAGCTACCAGATTTGTAAAATCAGACCCCACCCCACATCCCCCCGAAATCGAGTCCTGTAGGCGCTTCTACGAATCTGTACGGAAATCAAACAGGAAGGCAGCCGGGGTCGTGAAAAAGCCACGCGCCCCTCTTCCTCATCGCGACGCCCCCACTTCAAAGATTTGCAAACTTTTTTTTTGCAAGGATTTTGGGCAACTTCTGGAAAGGCGCGTACGTTGAGTGGAGAGGCCGAAAGAAGCGAAGCAGCTCTAAAAACCCCACCCCAAATTTCTGTCAAAATCGGTTTGTGGGGGGGGTGTACAAATCAAAGGGCCCGGCGCCGTCTCCCCCCACGCCTTCAAGTGAGCGTCGACCGAGAAAAGTGCGTTCACACGATCGGTCGGGCAAGAGAGGTTCCGAGCGAGCCCCCGACCCACGCTCGGGCTTCTCCTCGTTACGGGGCACACGTGTTGGAACCGCCGCCGCCCCCAGTGGGGAGGGGAGGGGTTGCTCCGGATAGGAGGGTGTGGGGGGGGGGAGAAACGTGCGCGCACCCACCCAGGGGAAATGAAGGGAGAAGCCTCCCATCAGCGCCACACTCACCTTGGAAGAAGCAGCGGGAGAGGGGGAAAGAAAAGTAGCCGCTTCCTCTGGCCGCGGGGGGAGGAAGGGGGGGTCCTTTCTTTTCGAGCGAGGGAGCCCAGGAGATCAAAGGCGAGCGGGCGCGCCTTTCGAACGCTGGGACAAACTTTCCACTTCCGAAGAACGCGACGTCACAATGGGGGGTGTTTTCCTTCCCGGCGCCTCAACGTTCCACGGGGCTCCCGAGCTCGCCGGCGCCGCTGCTGCTGCAACCGCAATCGCCGCCGCCGCCGCCGCTGCCTCCTCCTCCAGTTGCTGCTGCTGCTCCTTCCGCCGGCTGCAAAGTCATCCGCAGCTTCCTCCCCCAGGGCCACTTACTTGGCACTCCCCCCCCCGCAACACACACACCCCAGAAAGCTCTTTTTGGGGTGCCGGGTGAGTTAGGGCGCAGCTGCAGCAGCCGCCCCGACGGGAAAAGCCCTACCGGAGAAAGAGGGGAGTGGACTGGGGGGGTGGGTGGGATCTCCCTTTGCTCCGTTTCCCGGGTTGCCAAAACCCCGCCCGCTTCGGCTGGCTGGCGCGCGCGCGCGCTTTCTCAACAGCCCCCCCAGCCCGCCTCCGCCTCGCTTGCTCGCTCGCAAGCCTGTCCCGGAATAGGAAAGGGCGCGGACGGAGAGAGGAAAGGGTCCTCCCTTCCCTGCTGGCGTTAATGCGCATGCTCTCCGGCCTCGTAAAAGGGGGAGGGCCTTTTCTCTTTTGCTGCTGCTGCTCCCCCCCCCCCCCATCCAGCGTGGAGCTGCCGTCTGACTTGTCAGTCCGGGCGAAGAGGACAGTTGCCAACTTCTGATGGCTGATAATGACATCTGGCCACCTCCATTATTCCTGTATCTTAAAAAAGGAAGGGCGTTTCAGCAAGGGAAGCTTTTCCTAGCAAGGGAGGGGGGGAGCCGGGGGGAGGAAGCCTCGCGATTCCCAAGTTACTTTTGCTTCCCTCCTCGGGACACAGGAAACTCCTTGTATCGAGTTAGATCAGGCGTCCCCCAACCGGCAGCCCTCCAGATGTTTTGGCCTACAACTCCCATGATCCCTAGCTAACAGGACCAGTGCTCAGGGATGATGGGAACTGTAGTCCAAAACATCTGGAGGGCCGAAGGTTGGGGGTGCCTGAGTTAGACCATTGCTCTATCTACCTCAGTATTGGAAACAGAATACAGTGGTACCTCTGGTTGCGAACAGGATCCGTTCCGGAGCCCCGTTCGCAACCTGAGCAGAATGCAGCCCGTGTCTGCGTGGGTCGCGATTTGCCGCTTCTGCGCATGCACGTGACGCCATTTTGAGCGTCTGCGCATGCGTGAGCGGTGAAACCTGGAAGTAACCCGTTCTGTTACTTCCGGGTCGCCGCAGAGCGCAACCCGAAAACGCTCAGCCAGAAGCGTCTTTAACCTGAGGTATGACTAAAAAAATTCCTTCCAGTAGCACCTTAGAGACCACACAAAAGCTCATACCAATAACAAACTTAAAAAGGTAAAGGGACCCCTGACCATTAGGTCCAATTGCGGACGACTCTGGAGTTGCAGCGCTCATCTCGCTTTATTGGCCCGAGGGAACCGGCGTACAGCTTCCGGGTCATGTGGCCAGCATGACTAAGCCGCTTCTGGCGAACCAGAGCAGCACACGGAAACGCTGTTTACCTTCCCACCAGAGCGGTACCTATTTATCTACTTGCACTTTGACGTGCTTTCGAACTGCTAGGTTGGCAGGAGCAGGGACCGAGCAACAGGAGCTCACTCCATCGCGGGGATTCGAATCGCCGACCTTCTGATCGGCAAGTCCTAGGCTCTGTGGTTTAACCCACAGCGCCACCCGCGTCCCAATAACAAACTTAGTTGGTCTCTAAGGTACTACTGGAAGGATTTTTTTTATTTTGTTTCCCACACTGACTGGCAGCAGCTCTCCAGCATTTCAGATCCACAATTTCCCCCAGATATACCTGGACACAGCAGAGAAGGAACCTGGGACCGTCCGCGTGCAGAGCAGATGTGCTGCTACTGAGCTATGACCATCACTGCGTGGAGGACAATAGGGGCACGCTGTTGGGACCCCAATTCTTAATTTGTCAAAGGGCACTGTCTACTCCCTCCCCAGTTGCAGATTGTTCTGGGCTATGCTCAATAATTATTATCCGTTACATTTTTGCACCAAGGTGTCTCAAAGCAATTTCCCCTATATACATAAAAAGGAAGGCTGTCGTCACGCAGCCCTCGTTGGAGGATTTGTAGCACCTTGTCGAAGTCCTGGATTTGCACGGGGTCAGGGTGGGGGAGTGGAGTGAAAGAGAAGGCAGGTTTTAAAACAGTGGTCTTAAACAATAGTAGAATTTTGAATAAAGCGGGGATTGCGGGGGGACGAAGAGGAGCTGTGATATGGGGTTTTGATGGGGGTAGGTGGGGCTGGCAAGCCGTGTGAGAAGGGGTGGCAGCGCCCAGCACATAATAAAAAGTAGAAATAACATAGATATTAGCCCCAGTTAGGAAAATAGCAAAAACTAAAATACTCTGCTGAAAATACTAGACAGTGGACGCTCGGGTTGCGAACGTGATCCGTGCGGGAAGTACGTTCGCAACCCCCAGCGCTGCATCTGCGCATGCGTAGGTCGCAATTTGGTGCTTCTGCGCATGTGCAAAGTGCTATTTAGTGCTTCTGCGCATGCGCAAGCACCGAAACCTGGAAGTAACCTGTTCCGGTACTTCTGGGTTCGGCGCAGTGCGCAACCCAAAATCGTACAACCCGAAGCGTCTGTAACCCGAGGTATGACTGTACATTTTGAGGAGCAGATCTGCCCACTATACTTAAAAAATTAGTACAAAGCCATTGATGGATTTAACTATCTTCCCAATTTAAAAACCAAAGGTAAACCCATCTAGCTGGGTTTCCCCAGCCACTCTGGGCGGCTTCCAACAAAATATTAAAATACAGTAATGCATCAAACATTAAGAGCTTCCCTAAACAGGGCTCCCTTCAGATGTCTTCTAAAAGTCTGGTAGTTGTGGTTCTCTTTGACATCTGGTGGGAGGGCGTTCCACAGGGCGGGTGCCACCACCGAGAAGGCCCTCTGCCTGGTTCCCTATAACTTGGCTTCTCGCAGTGAAGGAACCGCCAGAAGACCCTGGACCTCAGTGTCCAGGCAGAACGATGGAGGTGGAGACGCTCCTTCGGGTATACAGGACCGAGGCCGTTTAGGGCTTTAAAGGTCAGCACCAACACTTTGAATTGTGCTCAGAAACGTACTTTCAAGACCGGTGTTATATGGTCTCGGCGGCCACCAGTCACCAGTCTAGCTGCCGCATTCCGGATTAGTTGCAGTTTCCGGGTCACCTTCAAAGGTAGCCCCACAGAGAGTGCATTGCAGTAGTCCAAGTGAGAGATAACTAGAGCATGCACCACTCTGGCGAGACAGTCTGCGGGCAGGTAGGGTCTCTGTCTGCGGGCAGGTAGGGTCTCTGCCTGCGGGCAGGTAGGGTCTCTGCCTGCGTACCAGATGGAGCTGGTAGATAGCTGCCCTGGACACAGAATTGACCTGCGCCTCCATGGACAGCTGTGAGTCCAGAATGACTCCTAGGCTGCACACCTGGTCCTTCAGGGACACAGTTACCCCATTCAGGACCTGGGAGTCCTCCACACCAGCCCATCCCCTTCCCCCCAAAAACAGTACTTCTGTCTTGTCAGGATTCAACCTCAATCTGTTAGCCGCCATCCATCCTCCAACCTTTATCGCTTTATAAGCAAAAACAGAGCCTAGAAACCCCTTAGTTGCTGGTACAGTTGAGGCAGGATTGGTGTTTATGTGCTTAGACCCTGGTCTTCAATCTAAACCACTGAGTTCTGCACCAGCTACGGTTTCTGAACCGTCTTCAAGGGCAGCCCCAAGTATAGCACATTGCAGTGATCTAAGCCCGGAAGCCACCAGAGCATTGACAACAGAAGTTAGGTTCTATCTGTGCTGCGTTTTTGCATAGTGCTTCGAGACGTTTAAATATTAAGTGGCTTGGATACATGCCTTTAAATAAATAAATACATGAATAAGATACATAAATAAATAACATTAATTTGTTGGCGGCTCCGCTCTGTCTCTTGCATGCTTGCACTCATTAACAGCCCTTGCCCTCTGCTGATTTAAAAGCCAAGGAGGCCTTTGGTGGTTTTTAAAAAATATATATATTTGGAAGAATGCCAACAGGCTGTGCAGGCACAGTTCAAAAGGTACGTCAGCAGCTGCAGTGGGCGATGTGGCTGGCTGAGCATGGCGCATGGATCTAGTGTTCATGTGCAGTTCTGCGCATTTATGTCCATGTGCACTTCCCTGTTTAGGGAAGCATGTAATGTTTGATAGCTTTGATGATGATGATGATATTGGGAGCCACCCAGATGGGTGGGGTAACAACAATGTGCACTACATCTGACCTTTAAAGCCCTAAACGGCCTCGGTCCAGTATACCTGAAGGAGCGTCTCCACCCCCATCGTTCTACCCAGACACTGAGGTCCAGCACTAAGGGCCTTCTGGTGGTTCCCTCACTGCGAGAAGCCAAGTTACAGGGAACCAGGCAGAGGGTCTTCTTGGTAGTGGTGCCCGCCCTGTGGAACGCCCTCCCACCAGATGTCAAGGAAATAAACAGCTATGTGGCGTTGAGAAGACATCTGAAGGCAGCCCTGTTTAGGGAAGCTTTTAATGTTTAATAGGTTATTGTATTGTTAGTGTTCTGTTGGAAGCCGCCCAGAGTGGCTGGGGAAATCCAGCCAGATGGGCAGGGTATAAATAATAAATAATAATAATAATAATAATAGGGACGTGGGTGGCGCAGTTTGAATCCCCGTGACAGGGTGAGCTCCCGTTGCTCGGTCCCTGCGTTTGCCAACCTAGCAGTTCAAAATCACACAGTGCAAGTAGATAAATAGGTACTGCTCAGGCGGGAAGGTAAACGGCGTTTCCATGCGCTGCTCTGGTTGGCCAGAAGTGGCTTAGTCATGCTGGCCACATGACCCGGAAGCTGCACGCCGGCTCCCTCGGCCAGTAAAGCGAGATGAGCACCACAACCCCAGATTCAGCCACGACTGGACCTAATGGTCAGGGGTCCCTTTACCTTTTCCCCAAAGGCAAAACCAGGAGCTGTGGCAGGAAGCAGTAAATGAGGCCTTCCTGATACATAGGAACACAGGGAGCTGCCTTATACTGAATCAGACCATTGTTCCACCGGGCTCAGTATTGCCTACTCTAACTGGCAGTTTCAGATAGAGGTCTCTCCCAGCCCCAGCTGGAGATGCCAAGGATTGCATCTGATACTTTTTCCGTGCAAAGTACACGTCCCATCACAGAACCGCTGCATTTCCCCAAGTCCAGATAAGAGTGTGATAAGAACTTGCTCCCACAGTGGCCAACCAGATGTCTGTGGGAAACCCACAGGAAGCCCTCAAGCGCAAGAGTGCGCTCCTCACCTTTTTTCAGGACACATCTTTTTCATGAGTAGGGTCACCAGTCAGCAAATGTGTTTCCTTTTTTGCTCTTCACAATATGTGGGAATATGGCAACCCTGTCGTGGATGCATTAGCTGAGATTCCTGCATTGCGAGGGGTTGGACTAGATGACCCTCGGGGTCCCTTCCAACTCTACAATTCTATGAAGGTGTGTCCAAGTTAGACCAACCCGCCTATCTTTGCATCTCACCACCCTGCTTACCCGCCGCCCACAGATCACCCCACCTGCATCTGCAACTGCAGAGCGTGACGACAGCCTTTATTTTCTATGTATATAGGCAGAAAATCCATTTAAGATATAGGCACTGTGCATTTGATGACAGGTTATGCAGAACAGGAAAAAGAGGCACAGGATTTTCAGCTTCTGTGCAGGCCCCTGGTCCAGCACCTCTTGTTTTAGGAACGAATCGCTTTGAGTATGAAAATAAAGGATTTAGTAAGCAACCTAAGAAGAGAGAGATCCGTTTTACCTGAGCATAAACCCTTCTTAAGTAATGCTGTGTTATTCCAGCAGAGGGCGCAAAACGCCAAGGAATTGTGAGCAGGGAAGTATAGAAAAAAATACTTGTTTTCCCCAGCCTCAGCCACAGGGCTGCACTGGAACCCGAGTTATAACAGGCTGTGGTGGGCAGGAAGTGGTTACAAAGGGGTAATAGGTATAGGGGCACAGGGGAAAGGAAATCAAATGGAAGGTTAAAATAAGATAAAACTGGCTTGCACACAAATACATTAGACTGGTGACCGGGAGTGGCAGCCAAGACCATGTAACAACGGTTCTGAAAGACCTACATTGGTTCCCAGTACGTTTCTGAGCACAATTCAAAGTGTTGGTGCTGACCTTTAAAGCCCAAAGGCCTAGTATATCTGAAGGAGCGTCTCCACCCCCATCGTTCTGCCCGGATACTGAGGTCCAGCTCCGAGGGCCTTTTGGCGGTTCCCTCCCTGTGAGAAGTGAGGTTACAGGGAACTAGGCAGAGGGCCTTCTCGGTAGTGGCGCCCTCCCTGTGGAACGCTCTCCCATCAGACGTCAAAGAAATAAACAACTATCTGACTTTTAGAAGACATCTGAAGGCAACCCTATCTGTTGTTGTTGTTGTTTAGTTGTTTAGTCGTGTCCGACTCTTCATGACCCGCTGGACCAGAGCATGCCAGGTACTCCTGTCTTCCACTGCCTCCCGCAGTTTGGTCAAACTCATGATTGTAGCTTCAAGAACACTGTCCAACCATCTCGTCCTCTGTCGTCCCCTTCTCCTTGTGCCCTCCATCTTTCCCAGCATCAGGGTCTTTTCCAGGGAGTCTTCTCTTCTCATGAGGTGGCCAAAGTCTTGGAGCCTCAGCTTCAGGATCTGTCCTTCCAGTGAGCACTCAGGGCTGATTTCCTTCAGAATGGATAGGTTTGATCTTCTTGCAGTCCATGGGACTCTCAAGAGTCTCCTCCAGCACCATAATTCAAAAGCACCAGTTCTTTGGCGATGAATTGGTTGGCCAGTGTTCTCGAAGCTACCAGCATGAGTTTGACCAAACTGCGGGAGGCAGTGGAAGACAGGAGTGCCTGGCGTGCTCTGCTCCAGGGGGTCACGGAGAGTCGGACACGACTAAACAACTAAATGACAACAACAAGCAGATAAGTACAATTTTTCAATATTCAAGTTAGGCCCCCGATATTAATCCCACGTAAAGGAACCCAGAAATATGAAAGAAACCACCCTTGTATATCCATAATTTATTGATTCAAATAAACAGACTACAATTCATTTTAAAACCCAGCTGATTTCTTTACGCAACTGAAAAGCACAGCCTTTTGAAACACCCTCTAACAAACATGGAAGTCCCCTTACATTCACTTTTTACTCTCTCTCTTAAAAATTACGTTGCAAAAACAAAGCAAAGATTATTATTTCTTATTTTTTATACATATATAAAAAAATCTACTAAGGTAGATGGTTTCTGCAGGCCTGTTGTTAACTACGTTTCTTTTTTAAAAAAGCAAAAAAATAAAATAAAAAGGAAAACACAGAAAATGGACTGACAGCCACATTTGTCCCACCCCTTTCCACGTATATCTCCACTTCCCGGAACCATCGTCAACCTTCTGGGCAGAAAGTCCAGTCCGTCTCTTTAAAGTGCAAAGAGTCTGCAACCAGAGGCGGGAATGCAGTGTTCAGAGAATGAGAGAGCGCCCCCTGGGCTTCTGGAGGGGGAAAGCGCCATTCTTTGTCGGGGGAAGTCTATGGAGAGAGAAAGAGGGAGAGAAATTAAGTTCGGCGGAGGCTCACAATCCACCACCAGCCTGGTCACCTGCGGCGACTAAGAATCACATCTAGGCGAGTAGAAAGGGAGATATTGCACACGTGGCTTTTTCTTTCAGGATGCAAATGATCAACATAGGTAAGCTTTTTGTAGATTAGCAGTGCATAGTCCTGTGAGTTCGGCTGGGATGAGATTCAGCAAAGGTGAGCTTCACGGAAGAGCCGGGGTCACATATCTCCAGGGCCGGATTTAGATTTGATGAGGTCCTAAGCTACTGAAGGAACGCGGGTGGAGCTGTGGGTTAAACCACAGAGCCTAGGACTTCCCTACCATTAGGTCCAGTCGTGGCCGACTCTGGGGTTGCGGCGCTCATCTCGCTTTACTGGCCGAGGGAGCTGGTGTCCAGCTTCCGGGTCATGTGGCCAGCATGACTAAGCCGCTTCTGGCAAACCATGGAAACGCCGTTTACCTTCCCGCTGGAGTGGTACCTATTTATCTACTAGCACTTTGACGTGCTTTGGAACTGCTAGGTTGGCAGGAGCAGGGACCGAGCAACGGGAGCTCACCCCGTCGCGGGGATTCGAACCAGCAACCGTCTGATCGGCAAGTCCTAGGCTCTGTGGTTTAACCCACAGCACCACCAGCATCCCTAAACATACCCTGTGCCTAATCTGTTATAAAATAGCAGCTGAGTCTTTCGCAGAGGCGCCTATGGGACCCACACCCAGCCTTCAAAACTGACCCATCCTTAATTTCACATCCCCACGCTAGAGAGATAACCTGAATGCGAACGGAAAGTTTTTCAGACTGTCATTCTTTGCTCCTGAAGGTAGTTTCCAGAAACTTGTGCTACAGGCAGTGAATTAAATTGGGGAAGAGGAAAAACCAACCCGAAAGGCAGGGAGAAGCTCTGGGAGAATTAAGCAAGTGAAGAAAGGCAAAATTAAAATTTTGTCACTTATACATATCTGGTGGACCTGTAAAAAAATCAAAAGCTTCTGGGATATAGTATATGATGAACTTAAAAAAATATTTAAATACAACTTTGTGAAAATTACAGAAGCTTTCCTATTAGGAATAACAGACACAGGTATAGCAAAAGAAGATCGGAAAATATTCCTTTATGCCACAGGCGCGGTGAGGACCTTAATTGCCAGAAACTGGAAAAAAAGAATTTGTGCCAACAAAAATGGAATGGCAGGATAAATTATTAGATGATACTGAATTGGCCAGATTAACAGAGATTATTAGGGGACAGCCCAGACAAGGATTTCAAAAAGAATGGGGAAAATGTAGAGAATACTTTACCCAAAATATACACCTGGACTTGTTTCGATTAATTTCTACAGGAGACTTTGCGGTTTTTTAAAGTCATAATTAGGAAAAATTGTAATAATCACATGTAAAAGAAATAGTACACAAGAAGTAAATAAGGAGGCCATTTACAGGACAAAGGAAGTCTTTTATTTTTATATTATGTTTTCTTTGTGTAAGGGGATAGGAGTTTAATTTTGATAATTAAATTGGCAACGGCGGTGGGTTTGTTTGTTTGTATGTATGAGTTGTTGTGGACTATGTTGTAAATAAATGATATAAAATAAAACAAAATTTCGTCACCTGCATTGTGCGAAGTTAACAGGGAAAAAAAGAAACCTAAAGCATTTTAGACTTTAATTAGGGTTTCGAATCTCCCACTCGCAGTTGCAAGGAACAAGAAATCAATTTGCCCTGTTTGGAGAGGTGTGTAGAGCGTTTCAAGTTAACCTAATCAACCCCCCCCCTTTCTGCTCCGAGAAGAGTCGACGCTGCAAGCATTTTGCAGGCAACTGTGTTCAGCGCAGCTAATCCACGCTTAATCCACCAGAAGGAATTGCACAGAGTCCCCCTTTGTCTGCGATGGAAGCTGGTAGAGGGAGAGGCTGGAGCTGGATTTAAGTTATATGAGTGGGGTGGGGAAGGGTAGTTGGGGGGCGGTGGTGAGGCTTTCAGAGAGGAACAGTTTGTTCCAAGCCCTGGCAAATCTCAGAGGCTGACGAGGCTGCTGCTGGTGCCGCTGCTTTAGAGACCAGAGGCCAAGGAGATGGGCAAGGAATAATAATAATAATAATAATAATTTATTATTTATACCCCACTCATCTGGCTGGGTTTCCCCAGCCACGTTAGGCGGCTTCCAACAAAATATTAAAATACAATAATCTATCAAACATTAAAAGCTTCCCTAAACAGGGCTGCCTTCAGATGTCTTATAAATGTTTGGTAGTTATTTTTCTCTTTGACATCTGATGGGAGGGCATTCCACACAGCGGGTGCCACTACCGAGAAGGCCCTCTGCCTGGTTCCCTGTAACTTGGCTTCTCGCAGCAAGGAAACCGCCAGAAGGCCCTCAGCGCTGGACCTCCGTGTCTGGGCTGAACGATGGGGGTGGAGACGCTCCTTCAGGTATACTGGGCCTTTGAGGCCGTTTAGGGCTTTCAAGGTCAGCACCAACACTTTGAATTGTGCTCGGAAACGTACTGGGAGCCAGTGTAGGTCTTTCAAGACCGGTGTTATATGGTCTCGGCAGCCGCTCCCAGTCACCAGTCTAGCTGCCGCATTCTGGATTAAGGAAAGCCAGGTGACCAATTTGGAGGCAGAAAAACAGGGAGCTGGCTGAGCAAGTGAGAAGTTTCACAGGACTTAATTTAAATGCAATTTAAAATGCAGCCTCATTTTAAAAGTAGCCGATAAATCAAGACCATAAGGGGAGGGAAACATAAGGGCCAGACTGAGTCCAAACCAAAGGCCAGGCGGAACAGCTCTGTCTTGCAGGCCCTGCGGAAAGATGTCAAGTCCCGCAGGGCCCTAGTCTCTTGTGACAGAGCGTTCCGCCAAGTCGGGGCCACAGCTGAAAAGACCCTGGCCTTAGTTGAGACCAACCTAACCACCTTGTGACCTGGGACCTCCAAAATGTTGCCATTTGTGGACCTTAAGGTCCTCCGTGGGGCATACCAGGAGAGGCGGTCCCGTAGGTACGTGGGTCCTAGGCCGCTTAGGGCTTTAAAGGTTAAAACCAGCACCTTGAACCTGACCCTGTACTCCACCGGGAGCCAGTGCAGCTGGTGAAACACTGGATGAATGTGCTCCCCCTTTTAAACAGGGCAGTGTTGATGTGACTGGCCCAGGGCGGGGCCTGACAGGCCTATAAGAACTGCTGCTGCAGCTACCACCCAGGAGGACTCCCCTGCTCAGCGCCTGAGGACCCCAGTCCTGCCCTATAAAGGACTGCTGCCACTGCTGCTGCTGGGCAGAGAGGGCTCTGTTTTTTGGGGGGGGGGGTTGTTTGTTTTTTACCTATGTCATTTTAAACTCTGATATGAATGGTGTATTCTTAGTTTTAGATTTTGATTTCTGTGGAAATTGTTTCCCATTTGGTTGTGCATTTTTTTGATGTGGTTTATTTATTGTTTATGACTTTTGTAATTATGTAAATCTTGTTATGCTGTAAGCCGCCTTGAGCATTGTTTTTTTAACTGTCGCGGCATTCTGTACCTGCTGGAGTTAATAATAATAATAATAATAATGATAATGATAATAATAATAATGATATTGTGGAGTTACCAACAGGTGAGCGAGGGGCACGGGAGTGTACGTACCATGTGTGTCGGGCTAGCTCAGCCCCAGGCAGCCTTTGAGCTCATGCAGGGAGATGAGCTTGTTCTCATCCAGGTCGCAGTAGTTGAGGAACTTGCGGACGCAGCGCTTGGGTCGTGTGTTCCTCTTCATGTAGAGCTTGAGGGGCCGCAGCTCCCGCTCGCTGATGCTGTTGCTGAAGTCCTTGTCCAGGCGGACGAACTGCCAGCGCACCGCACGCTCCTCCAGGCTGGGCCCCGTCAGGCTGTCTGAAAACCTGTGGGTGGGGAGAAGGGGGGGTCAGGAGAGCCTTGCTGGATGAGGGAAACCTAGCTTGCGGTGGCCCAGGACATGTGCGTTCCTTGAAAAAGAGAAATGTCTTCGGTTCTTTTAAAGAAACGCATTGTAGCCTGTCACCCCAAACTCCAAGAGCGCAGGCTTGGAATCTAGCAAAAATTCCAGAATCATAGAATTCAAGAATTGGAAAGGATCCCAAGGGTCCTCTAGTCCAGGGCATAAGTAAAGGTAAAGGGACCCCTGACCATTAGGTCCAGTCGTGACCGACTCTGGGGTTGCGGCGCTCATCTTGCTTTACTGGCCGAGGGAGCCGGCGTACAGCTTCCGGGTCATGTGGCCAGCAGGACTAAGCCGCTTCTGGCGAACCAGAGCAGCGCACGGAAATGCTGTTTACCTTCCCGCCGGAGCGGTACCTATTTATCTACTTGCACTCTGACGTGCTTTCGAACCGCTAGGTTGGCAGGAGCAGGGACTGAGCAATGGGAGCTCACCCCGTCGCGGGGATTCGAACCACCAACCTTCTGATCGGCAAGCCCTAGGCTCTGTGGTTTAACCCACAGCGCCACCCGCGTCCCTAGTCCAGGGCATAGCTGTCAACTTTTCCCTTTTCTTGAGAGGAATTCTATTCGGAATAAGGGAATTTCCCTTTAAAAAAGGGAAATGTTGACAGCCGTGGTCCAGGGGTCAGAAATCTTTTTCAGCAGGGGGCCGGTCCACTGTCCTTCAGACCTTGTGGGGGGCCGGACTATATTTTTTGGGGGGGGGATGAACGAATTCCTATGCCCCACAAATAACCCAGAGGTGCATTTTAAATAAAAGGGCACATTCTACTCATTTAGAAAGTGTGATTTTATTTACATGAGTAGAATGTGTGCTTTTATTTAAAATGCATCTCTGGGTTATTTGTGGGGAATTCGTTCATTCCCCCCCCCCAAATATAGTCCGGCCCCCCACAAGGTCTGAGGGATAGTGGACCGGCCCCCTGCTGGAAAAGTTTGCTGACCCCTGCTCTAGACATACTGCCCAGACTTGCGTCCCAGGGAGGTCACTTTCATGCTGCTAATGATTGATAATAATAATTATAAATATTGTTTGTTGTTGTTGTTTAGTCATGTAGTCGTGTCCGCCTCTTCGTGACCCCCTGGACCAGAGCACGCCAGGCACTCCTGTCTTCCACTGCCTCCCACAGTTTGATCAAACTCATGCTGGTAGCTTCGAGAACACTGTCCAACCATCTCGTCCTCTGTCGTCCCCTTCTCCTTCTGCCCTCCATCTTTCCCAACAACATTCTCTTCTCATGAGGTGGCCAAAGTATTGGAGCCTCAGCTTCAGGATCTGTCCTTCCAGTGAGCACTCAGGGCTGATTTCCCTAAGAATGGATAGGTTTGATCTTCCTGCAGTCCATGGGACTCTCAAGAGTCTCCTCCAGCACCAGAATTCAAAAGCATCCATTCTTCGGCGATCAGCCTTCTTTATGGTCCAGCTCTCACTTCCATACATCACTACTGGGAAAACCATAGCTTTAACTATATGGACCTTTGCTGGCAAGGTGATGTCTCTGCTTTTTAAGATGCTGTCTAGGTTTGTCATTGCTTTTCTCCCAAGAAGCAGGCATCTTTTAATTTCGTGGCTGCTGTCACATCTGCAGTGATCATGGAGCCCAAGAAAGTAAAATCTCTCACTGCCATTATAAATATTATTATTTATTAACCCCAGGGGCTTACTCCATTGCTTCTCAAGACCGATCAGATGGCAACAACGAGGGGTGGTCCTTAGGTGGCAACTATGACCATTACCTCACAAGCAAACCTGTTTCTGGTTCAACAATGGAATCCTCCATTAGATTTCAACTCTTGCTTAAAACGTTTGGCAAAACGTGTTCTCCCTAGCAGAGAGCGCGTGTTGCGGTGGGGGATACAAGCCACCCCATTGTTGCTGGGCGAATTTGTGGCGGGACAAAGGGAGTGTATTGGTTAATCGGGTCGCTGTGGAGAATTGCTTGTTTCCAGTTTTGAAGGAGGGGGTCAGAGGTTTTAAATACTGGTCGCCCAACTTTGAGCGTTCTCTTGGCTGCTTGCACTGGATCACCCGCCCACCCTCCCTGTATTGGGGGGGTTGTTCGCTTGACCTTGCTATGCCTGTCATGGGGTCGTCTGCTTTGAGGCAGGGGCCTGGTAGGAATTTGTCCATTTGGCTGATTGGCTGGTGCCATTTGGTTTTGCCTACTGCGTAGCAAATCGTCACAACTTGTAAGGTTGGCGGTTAGGCATTGGTTCAAATTGGTTGGTGGAGGGGTAAGTGCCTACCCCTCCAATGGTGGTGTGGAAAGGGAATTCCGTTAAAGGAATCCAGGGGCTTGCCATTCTTTTCGTCCTTGTCCCTGGCATCGGTTGTGGGCCGTGCAAGCCACCAGGAGCATGAGGGTGAGAAGTGAGGGACTGAGGCCCAGCTTCATTTTCTCCCCAAAATTTGTTTCCCGCACTGGTTTTTGCTGGAATCCGGAAGTCAGTTCTGTCCCCTGGGCAAGGACAGATAGTCGGAACCAATGCCTAAGCAACCACTCACTTGGATGTATGTAAAGTTGTGGCCAAAATCATGCCAAAAACCCAAACCAAAATTGATGTGTGATGTGTGAGTTATTGGGGGGTGGCTGGGGGACCTCGACACGCAACAACTCTCCTCCCCTGTGCCCCTTCAGAGAGAGAGAGAGAGAGAGAGAGAGAGAGAGCAGTATTTACCTTCGGTATGGAACGGGCATCATCCTCGACTGCAACATGTCGGAGGCCAAGGCTTTGATCAGATTAGAGAGGAACTCTACCTTCTTGGAGCCTGGACAACCTAGCAGGAAAGAAGAAAGGGAACAGTTTGCCTCTCGAGACTCACACGGGTCTGTGCCATAGCTGTCAACGTTTCCCATTTTTTAAGGGAAATTCCCTTATTCGGAATAGGATTCCTCGCAAGTAAAGGGAAAAGTTGAGAGCTATGGTCTGTGCTCAGTGGCACCTGGGGGAAAAGTGTTTGGAAAGAAGCAGAGATTCAGGATTGTTGGCCCAGAAATGGAAGCAAGAAGAAATACGGCGGTACCTCGGCTTACATACGCTTCAGGTTACAGACGCTTCAGGTTACAGACTCTGCTAACCCAGAAATAGTACCTCAGGTTAAGAACTTTGCTTCAGGATGAGAACAGAAATCGCGCGGCGGCAGCAGGAGGCCCCATTAGCTAAAGCGGTGCTTCAGGTTAAGAACAGTTTCAGGTTAAGAATGGACCTCCGGAATGAATTAAGTACTTAACCCGAGGTACCACTGTACCGACGAAAGAAGAATGGCAGACAAAATTAATGGACTACGCAGACCTGGACAAAATGACAGGAAGGATTCGAAACCTGCAGGATCAGAGATTTATAGAAGATTGGAGGAAATATACGAATTATTTGAAGAGCAACTGTAATCAACAAATTACGCTAGTAGGACTACAAGAAGTTTTGTAAAGAGAAATATATGAAACATTGCAAAGAAGATAAAGAAGAGAGATGTTAGTTATTTAAATGTAATAGTGAAAGTAAGAAATGTAAATTAAGTGAAGCGATTGGAAAATTTTCGGATGTGATTGATGGAAGTCAAAAAAATGTATAAGATATAAAAGCATGTTTAATAATTGTTGAAAATTATATGTTAAAAAACTAATAAAATATTTATTAAAAAGAAAAAGAAAAAAAGAAGAAGCAGAGATTCATGATCCCACCTGGCAGAAGCCGATCCCGGAATAAGGAGCTCATTTCTGCATTCTTGGCCGCCGCATCTGCCTCGCAGTCCGGGGGGAAGTTCCTGCGAGAAAGAAAGACGAGAGATGCCGAGCGAATACTAACATCAACAAGAATACTAGCAATGACGGCAATAAGATTTATTTTTTAAAAATCCTACTCTTCAGTCAGAAAAGGCAGCTGCCCAAAAACTCAGCGACTGTCCCTGCCCTCAAGCTTACAATATGTGAGACGCAGCACAAAAGGAAAAGGGGCTGGAAAGGATGAGGAAAAAAGAAAGCTCAGGCACCAATTCCTACCAGGGCTGGGCGATCATCAGCTTTTCGACATCACGGGTGAGAGGGCAGAGCAGTTGAGTAGTTTCAAGATGCAGAGAGAGGAACAAGCTATCCGCACCTCGCTGATACAGCTTGTTTCTCCCTCCCCGTCGTATATATCACTGGTGAAACCGCCAGCACTCCTGCGTCCGCCCACTGGACGCTGCCAGCAAAGGAACGCAGGAGCGGCGGAGGTTTCACCGGCGATATATCGCTGAGTGAAACCGACATCGCAGTCTGCTGCTTCTACCAGTCCTGGGCAAAACAGTGGTACAGTGGTGCCTCGAAAGACGAAATTAATTCGTTCCGCGAGTTTTGTCGTCTTGCGATTTTTTTCGTCTTGCGAAGCACGATGTCGGGAAAGTTTTGGAAAAGCTTCAAAAATCACCAAAGTCTTTAAAAACCTCAAAAAAGGCTACCACACCGCGTTCTATGAGTTGCTCCTCAAAGTCAAGTCGCAACTGTATTAACGGTGTTAAGAAAAAGGAAACAAACTTGCAAGACGTTTCCGTCTTGCGAAGCAAGCCCATAGGGAAAATCGTCTTGCGAAGCAGCTCAAAAAACGAAAAACCCTTTCGTCTAGCGAGTTTTTCGTCTTGCGAGGCATTCGTCTTGCAGGGCACCACTGTACCTTGGTTTAAGAACAGCTTAGCTTATGAACAACTTGGATTGAGAACGCTGCAAACCCGGAAGTAGGTGTTTTGGTTTGTGGACTTTGCCTTGGAAGCAGAACGTGTTCCGCTTCCTGTTGAGTGTAAATTGAGTCCCCTGCTGCTATGGGAAAGCACGCCTTGGTTTAAGAACGCTTCGGTTTAAGAACGACTTCCGGAATGGATTCAGTTCGCAATCCAAGATACCACTGTATATCGATATATCGCCCTGGCCAAATTCCTACTTAACAGAAATATTGTGGGGAAGACCACAAACAAACAAAACAGGCTGAATGCTCAATAAGAAGGTTGTCTGGAGACATTGCTACATCTGTGGACAGCATAGGAAACCCCCCCCCCCCAAAAAAACCCCAACAACCTGAGAGCTGTAGTTTGTTAAGGGTGCTGGGAATTGTAGCTCTGAGGTGTGTAATCTATAGTTCCCAGGATTCACGTGAGGAGGCAGGAGGATGTGTTTTCAATGTACAGTGGTACCTCGGGTTACATACGCTTCAGGTTACATACGCTTCAGGTTACAGGCTCCGCTAACCCAGAAAAAGTGCTTCAGGTTAAGAACTTTGCTTCAGGATGAGAACAGAGATCGTGCTCTGGCGGCGTGGCAGCAGCAGGAGGCCCCATTAGCTAAAGTGGTGCTTCAGGTTAAGAACAGTTTCAGGTTAAGGACAGACCTCCGGAACGAATTAAGTACTTAACCTGAGGTACCACTGTACATAGCCTTCATGGCTTCATCAACTTTGTTGATGATGGGAGTACCCACTTAGAAGCACAGATCTGTAGAGGGTCGTTTAATCCCACTCCCTGCAGTGCAGGAATCTTCTGCCCAACATGGAACTCGAACTCGCAACCCTGAGATTAAGAGTCTCGTGCTCAACCGACTGAACCAGGACCCCTCATTCCGGACTTCACAAGTCGGGCGACACTGACCTCGTCGAAGTGCCAGGAACAGGCCGGCCAGTGTCCACCCTCACGCACCAGCAATACCCCGTGGCCTGGTGGCACTGCACGGCCTTATAGGTGCCGTCCCCCTCGCACTCCGGGATGAAGGTGCCCTCCTGTTGGTGCTGCCGGGCCTCATCAATAGCCTCTCGCCGCTCCTGCTCACATGAAGGCGGGTACTCTGCGGGGGTGAGTGGCACAAGCAGCCACCAATCGGAACAAAGAAGACAAGTTTAGCGTGTCGGCATCTAACCTCTGGAACTCCCTGCCAGTTGACATCAACAGGCTCCTTCACTGCACTCTTTTTGGCGTCAGTCCAAAACATTTCCCCCCCCCCTCAAAATTTGGTAGTTATTTTTCTCTTTGACATCTGGTGGGAGGGTGTTCCGCAGAATGCGGCAGCTAGACTGATAACTGCGAGCGGCCGCCGAGACCATATAACACTGGTCTTGAAAGACCTACACTGGCTCCCAGTACGTTTCCGAGCAGAATTCAAAGTGTTGGTGCTGACCTTTAAAGCCCTAAACGGCCTCAAAGGCCCAGTATACCTGAAGGAGCGTCTCCACCTCCATCGTTCTACCCGGACACTGAGATCCAGTGCTGAGGGCCTTCTGGCAGCTCCCTCCCTGCGAGAAGCCAAGTGGCAGGGAACCAGGCAGAGGGCCTTCTCGGTGGTGGCGCCCGCCCTGTGGAATGCCCTCCCATCAGATGTCAAAGAGATAAACAACTACCAGACTTTTAGAAGACATCTGAAGGCGGCCCTGTTTAGGGAAGCGTTTAATGTTTAATAGGTTATTGTATTTTAGTGTTTTGTTGCAAGCCGCCCAGAGTGTCTGGGGAAACCCAGCCAGATGGGCAGGGTATAAATAAATAAATAAATAAATAATAATAATAATAATAATAATAATAATAATAATTATGTTCAGCGAACTTCCCCCCTGAAATTCGACCCATTAAATGACAGCGACGGATCCTGACCCTCACCTGGAGCCTGCTTCACCGTGCGGCTGGGCTTGAAATCCGGAATGATGATGGGAATAAGGAACGGCAAGGAGGTGCCCTCTAGATGGAGACAGAAACACACACACACAAACACACACACATACAGAGGCACGGACGACAGGAGAGTAGATGTTATGGGGGGGGAACCTCTCCCACACCACCCATCTCTTTCGACACCCTCCCCATCCACTTTGCATTGCTAACAAGTTTCCCAGAAAAAACGAGACACCCCGCTTGCAAAAAAAGGAGAGAACTGCAGCCATTTTTGTTGCCGTGATCTCAGGCCATTACGGCGTGATTTCCCCCCAACAAAAACAGCTTTTGGGGGGGCTGTGACCTGAAAGCCTCAAGCAGGACCTCAGCACAAGAGGCCTATCCCATCCTGCAATTTCTAACAATTAGCTTTCAGAAGCATTACTTGCCTCAATGCTGTTGTTCCCCTTCTACCGCAAGGTAAGGTAAAGGTAAAGGGACCCCTGACCATTAGGTCCTGTCGTGGCCGACTCTGGGGTTGCGGTGCTCATCTCGCTTTACTGGCCAAGGGAGCTGGCGTACAGCTTTCCGGGTCATGTGGCCAGCAGGACTAAGCCGCTTCTGGTGAACCAGAGCAGCGCACAGAAACACCGTTTACCTTCCCGCCGGAGCGGTACCTATTTATCTACTTGCACTTCTGACGTGCTTTCGAACTGCTAGGTTGGCAGGAGCAGGGACCGAGCAACGGGAGCTCACCCCGTCGCGGGGATTCGAACCGCCGGCCTTCTGATCGGCAAGTCCTAGGCTCTCAGCGCCATCCACGTCCCTCCTACCGCAAGGAGAATCCTCTAAATGCCATTTCTCTTTTTCTATCTCACTACCCAAACGCAGGCGCAAACCTAATATTTTTACTGGTTGCCTCAGCTTTGTTTTAAAAAGGCTCATACAACCAATATTATATTTTTTAGGATTGCAAAGTTGATGCGAAGGATTAAAAGGCGTTTGATCGAGTAGAAAGTTACTCCCAATTAACAGAGGAACACTTTAAAAAAATATTATTGCAAGTCCCTTATGAAGCCAACCAGGCGCCGTGGACTATAACTCCCATCGGCCCCAGTCCATGGTCAGGGATAATGGGAGCTGTCATTCAAAACATCTGGAGGGGGCGCCACTATGGCTAGCCCTGGTTTATGCTTATTGTTTTCCTTCCAGGGTCACATCCAGACCTGACATTCATCAACTTTAACGGTCATGGCTTTCCCCCAAGATTTCTTGGAAGTGCAATTCGCGGGGAAAACTACAGATCCCAGAATTCCCCATGACTGTTAAAGCGGCAGGCAAGTGCTTTAAATGCCAGGTTTCAGTGTGGTCCAAAACAAGTGTTTTGCATGCTTTCCCATCTACTCAAAAGTAAACCCCCAGGAAGGATAAATGAGATTTGATCTCAGATAACGGTGGATGGCAGTCTGTACTGATTCATCAACTAAGGCTGCACACACAGAGTGCATTTAAAGTATGTTTGCCCCGTCCAAAGAATTCTGGGAACTGTTGTTTGCGACAGATGCTGGAAATCATAGCTCTACGATGGGGTAAACTACAGACAGACAGTGTGGTGCAGAGGTTAGAGTGTCGTCCTAGGACCTGGGAGAACTGGATTCAAATCCCCATTCAGCAATAAAGTTTGCTGGGGGACCTTGGGCCAGTCGCTGTCTTTCAGCCTAATTTACCTCGCAGGGTTGTTGTGGGCCTTAAATGAAGAGAACCACCTACGCCACCCTGAACGTGGAGGAAAAGCTGGTTTGTGGATGCAATAAATAAAGAAGTAAATAAATAAATAGTTCCCAGGATTCTTGTGGGGGGCAGGCGTGTTTTCAATGTATTAAATATACCAAGAAAAAAGCACACCAAGAACTCTGGCCAATGTAAGTTTCAAAAGTGGGAGTGGTCCCTACGCACAAATCAATAGTCAATAGTCACAAAAACTAATCCATTCAAAAGTATGTATTCTGACAAGGACTCAAATAGAGATTACAAACCCTAACAGAGATTACAAACTCAAATTCATAAAGATATGTATAACACAATAATTTGTTACAAAGATTTTCTCACTCGACAATAATGTTGATCCTTATAATTTATCAGCTTGCAGATGGAGACTCAGTTTCAATCACAGAGCAGAAGTCAGAAGTCAATTACGGATTAGAAACCAGGACAAGGGCCCTGTTTCGATGTATTCACCTTCATCAGCTAATTTTTAAAGAGTTGTGTAAGTTTGAGTCCCTGCTTATTTAACTTATATGCAGAATTCACCATGCGAAAGCCTGGGCTGGATGATTCCCAAGCCGGAATTAAGATCGCCGGAAGAAACACCAACAACCTCAGATATGCAGATGACACAACCTTGATGGCAGAAAGTGAGGAGGAATTAAAGAACCTTTTAATGGGGGTGAAAGAGGAGAGCACAAAATATGGTCTGAAGCTCAACATCAAAAAACGAAGATCATGGCCACTGGTCCCGTCACCTCCTGGCAAATAGAAGGGGAAGAAATGGAGGCAGTGAGAGATTTTACTTTCTTGGGCTCCATGATCACTGCAGATGGTGACAGCAGCCACGAAATTAAAAGACGCCTGCTTCTTGGGAGAGAAGCAATGACAAACCTAGACAGCATCTTAAAAAGCAAAGACATCACTTGCCAACCAAGGTCCGTATAGTTAAAGCTATGGTTTTCCCAGTAGTGATGTATGGAAGTGAGAGCTGGACCATAAAGAAGGCTGATCGCCGAAGAATGGATGCTTTTGAATTCTGGTGCTGGAGGAGACTCTTGAGAGTCCCATGGACTGCAAGAAGATCAGACCTATCCATTCCTTCAGAATGGAGGAAATCAGCCCTGAGTGCTCACTGGAAGGACAGATCCTGAAGCTGAGGCTCCAAGACTTTGGCCACCTCATGAGAAGAGAAGACTCCCTGGAAAAGACCCTGATGCTGGGAAAGATGGAGGGCACAAGGAGAAGGGGACGACAGAGGACAAGATGGTTGGATAGTGTTCTTGAATGAGTTTGACCAAACTGCGGGAGGCAGTGGAAGACAGGAGTGCCTGGCGTGCTCTGGTCCAGGGGGTCACGAAGTGTCGGACATGACTAAACAACAACAACAGTTTCTACGTTTCTCGGGGATAACAACTATGTGTGGGTAGATCAACGTTTGCACAGAAAAGCTCAAGATAAATGTGGTTTTTCTTACTATTGATTTGTGAGTAGGGACCACTCCCACTATGGAAACTTACATTGGCCTGAGTTTTTGGTGTGCGTTTTTCTTGGTGTTTTCAATGTACAGTGGTGCCTCGCAAGACGAAATTAATCCGTTCCGCGAGAGTCTTCGTCTAGCGGTTTTTTCGTCTTGCGAAGCAAGCCCATTGACGGATTAGCGCTATTAGCGCTATTAGCGGTTTAGCGGCTATTAAAGGCTTAAAGGCTTAGGGGATTAGCTGCTAAAAGGCTATTAAAGGCTATTAAAGGCTTAGCAGATTAGATAAAGCGGGGGGAAAAGCGATAAAAACGATCTCAAGACTCGCAAGGTATTTTCGTCTTGCGAAGCAAGCCCATAGGGGAATTCGTCCTGCGAAGCAACTTCAAAACGGAAAACCCTTTCGTCTAGCGGTTTTTCCGTCTTGCGAGGCATTCGTCTTGCGGGGCACCACTGTATGGCTTTTGTGTATATGAGAGAGAAGGAGCTCTTCCCCCATTTTGGGTTCTAACAATCATATAATCTTAGAGATGGAAGGGACCCTAAGACCTACAGCCTTGGCTTTGTCATCAACATCCCTCTAACCAATTGAGCTATTTCAGCACATCGTATCACAGGCCTTTTGTTAAGTTGTGGGTGAACATATCAGACGACACAGCGATTCTCCAAACAGCTCTTGTTTATTCACAGGCCAGAACAGAACTGAACTGAAGGGTTCAGCCAGCCTGCTTATACAGAGCTCCAGTACAACGTAACTGTAACAACTTTCTGTAACTATCCAATCACTGAACGTCACTTTCGATCCCTTATTTGCATATGTGGACCTGAACTATCTACAGTATCCCCCTGCTGGCCCAGGATGAGAACTTCAGTACTTAACACCTTTCATATGTGGGGAACCTTTGACCCTACAAGGTTCACTACAACCCCCATCAGCCCCAGCAAACCTGGCCAATGGTCGGGGTGATGGGAATTGTAGTTCGTCAACACCTGGAGGGTCAAAGGAGTCAACACATTTGCCATAGTGCAACCACTAGGCCACACTGCTCACCGCTGCAGCGGGGAAGTGGATTTTCGGGAGATGATGGGGCGGTTACACAAGAGGAGAGCCACTTACCTTCCTGCTTGTGGGGGAAGGGGCTTGGCTGGGTGGGCCGGGGCTTGGTGCCGTCTTCTGCGTTCAGGGAGGAAAAGAGTTCGAAGGCAACTATTACAGAGGTTTTAATGTCATCTACTCTGTCCAAAGAGCGGTGGAGTTCAGAGCTACAGGAGGGTCGGAGTCTGGGGTTATTATTAAGGTGATTACCGTATTTTTCGCTCTATAAGACGCACCAGACCATAAGACGCACCTAGTTTTTGGAGGAGGAAAACAAGAAAAAATAATATTCTGAATCTCAGAAGCCAGAACAGCAAGAGGGACCACTGCACAGCAATCCCTCTTGCTGTTCTGGCTTCTGGGATAGCTGCGCAGCCTGTATTCGCTCCATAAGATGCACACACATTTCCCCTTACTTTTTGGGAGGGAAAAAGTGAGTCTTATATAGCAAAAAATATGGTACTTGGCAGAGGATTCATGCCTCGGGAGAGGCGGAAATCCAAAACATGCAGGGAGCTGAACCTGTTGGATTTCTGCCTGCCGAGGGGCAGAAACGGGGGAGTGGAATGTGACAACTGGGCTTGGTCCTCTTCTTAGTAATAGCATCCCTCCAAGATCCATCTATTTAACCCGCCCCTCTCCCACGGCTGGAAATGGAACCCAGGACTCCGGGCTCTGCCTCCTGCCCTTCTTGGGCCAGTGGGGGCGGAGAGCAACTGTAGTCACAGAAGTGGATGTGCAGTACCCACACCTGCCTGCAGATGGAGCACCCTTCCTTCCGTAAAGGTAAAGGGACCCCTGACCATTAGGTCCAGTCGTGGCCAACTCTGGGGTTGCGGCGCTCATCTCGCTTTATTGGCTGAGGGAGCCGGCGTACAGCTTCCGGGTCATGTGGCCAGCATGACTAAGCCGATTCTGGCGAACCAGAGCAGCGTAAAGAAATGCCGTTTACCTTCCCACCAGAGCGGTACCTATTTATCTACTTGCACTTTGACGTGCTTTCGAACTGCTAGGTGGGCAGGAGCAGGGACCGAGCAATGGGAGCTCACCCCATCACGGGGATTCGAACCGCCGACCTTCTGATCTGCAAGCCCAAGGCTCTGTGGTTTAGACCACAGTGCCACCTGCATCCTTCCTTCCTTAAGGGACCCTAAAACCTATGTTGGAGGTTAGGGAGTAGGAAAATAGGAAACTGTCCTCTACTGAGTTTACACTAACTGACAGTAGCTCTCCAGGGTTAGGGGCAGGGTTCTCTCCCAGCCTTATCTGTTGATGTCAGGATTCGAACTCAGGACCCAAAGCAGACCTTCTACAGCCCTCCCCTCCCCGAGCCACAGTCCACCCCATAGCTCTGTAGGTCGGGATTTTAAAACATTATCCCCTTAGGTAGAAATTTTCTGGCCGAGGTGTGGGGTGTGCAACCGGGGGGAGAGGATCGGGGAGAAGGAGTCAGCCTTACCTTTCCGAGATGAGTTGGGATCTGGCCACGATGTCCGCACCGTGTAGGACCCTAGAGAAAGAGGGGGACAGAAATAGGCAGGGTTTTAAAAAATTAAAAAATAAGTCATCAATAGGTCCTGTTTTGTGTTTCAGGTCCCCTCTGCTCTAATCTGGATTGTTAAATTGTGGGTGAACATATCAGACGACACAGCGATTCTTCAAACAGCTCTTGTTTATTCACAGGCCAGAACAGAACTGAACTGAAGGGCTCAGTCAGTCTGCTTATATAGAGCTCCACTGCAACGCAACAGTAACAACTTTCTGTAACTAGCCAATCACTGAACTTCACTTTCAATTCCTTATTTGCATATGTGGACCTGAGTGAAAACTATCTACAGTATCCCCCTGCTGGCCCAGGGTGAGAACTTCAGTACATAACATGGATCACCTACTGTTTTTGGGTGGCGGACGCTATTCTTTCAGCTTAAAACAGCTGCACAGAAACTGAGTGAGTGGGAATCTGCGCCAGGAAAAGCTTCCCCAGTTGGATTTCTGCGAGTTAAAAAAACGCAGAAGCACCTCTCTCAACCTTCTTTCCATGAGCGTCCGTGGCAGGAACAAGGGGGATCACTTGCACCCCCTAGATCAGGGGTCAGCAATCTTTTTCAGCCGTGGGCCGGTCCACTGTCCCTCAGACCATGTGGGGGCCCGGACTATATTTTGAAACAAACAAAAATGAACGAATTCCTATGCCCCACAAATAACCCAGAGATGCATTTTAAATAAAAGGACACATTCTACTCATGTAAAAACACACTGATTCCCAGACCGTCCGCAGGCTGGATTTAGAAGGCGATTGGGCCGGATCGGGCCCACAGGCCTTAGGTTGCCCTAGATGAACAGCAACTCCCAGATTCCTAGCTTTCATGAAAAAAATCGCACAAGTTTCTAGCACTTGTGGAAACCGAGATACAGTATGAGGCAAAATACACAGGCACAAATCTTCTCACGTTTTTGTTAGCAACCAGCCACCTCCCCATTTCCAGTGATTTATTTCCCGCTATGGACAGATCTCTGCAGACGCCCATGTTTCCTACCTGACAAAGAAGTTGTAATGGGTAACTGATTGAGGTTGAATCCTGACAAGACGGAAGTACTGTTTTGGGGGGACAGGAGGCGGGCAGGTGTGGAGGACTCCCTGGTCCTGAATGGGGTAACTGTGCCCCTGAAGGACAAGGTGCGCAGCCTTGGAGTCATTTTGGACTCACAGCTGTCCATGGAGGCGCAGGTTAATTCTGTGTCCAGGGCAGCTGTCTCCCAGCTCCCTCTGGTACGCAGGCTAAGACCCTACCTGTCCGCGGACTGTCTGGCCAGAGTGGTGCATGCTCTGGTTATCTCCCGCTTGGACTACTGCAGTGCGCACTACGTGGGGCTACTTTTGAAGGTGACCCGGAAACTGCAATCAATCCAGAATGTGGCAGCTAGACTGGTGACTGGGAGCGGCCGCCGAGACCACATAACACTGGTCTTGAAAGACCTGCATTGGCTCCCAGTATGTTTCCGAGCACAATTCAAAGTGTTGGTGCTGACCTTGAAAGCCCTAAACAGCCTCAAAGACCCAGTATACCTGAAGGAGCGTCTCCACCCCCATCATTCAGCCTGGACACTGAGGTCCAGCGCCGAGGGCCTTCTGGCGGTTCCCTCGCTGCGAGAAGCCAAGTTACAGGGAACCAGGCAGAGAGCCTTCTTGGTAGTGACGCCCTCCCTGTGGAACGCCCTCCCATCAGATGTCAAGGAAATAAACAACTCTGTGACTTTTAGAAGACATCTGAAGGCAGCCCTGTTTAGGGAAGCTTTTAATGTTCGACGGACTATTGTATTTTAATATTTTGTTGGAAGCCTCCTAGAGTGGCTGGGGAAACCCAGCCAGATGGGCAGGGTATAAATAAATTATTTATTTTAATTATTATTATTATTATTATTATTATTGATGCAACCCAGGGTCACCTGCACCCAGAAGTGGGAAATCATACCTGTACAGTTTGGTGTTTCGTTGAGGACCGACGTTCCACTGATCGGTTTCCCTTCCGGTGTGGAGCACCAGCAATAGCCAGTCTGTTTATGGCACTGAACCTAGGAGGAGACAAAAGGGGTGAGTGCATTTCTAACAGGTAAAAAAAGGCAAAGGACCCCTGGACGGTTAAGTCCAGTCAAAGGCGACTCTGGAGTTGTGGCGCTCATCTCGCTTTCAGGCCGAGGGAGCCGGCGTTTGTCCACAGACAGCTTTCCGGGGCATGAGGCCAGCAGGACTAAACCGCTTCTGGCACAACGGGACACCATGACAGAAACCAGAGCGCACGGATACGCCATTTATCTTCCCGCCACAGCGGTATCTACAGACTTCCTGACACAGCTTTAAATGTGCATTATTTATCTATTTGTTTATTCAATTTATATACTGCCCCTTATCTGAGGATCCCAGGTGTACAATGCTAAAAACATAATTTATATAGCATAATAATACATAATATCAAAAATGGAGATGGAGTCCATGCCAGGGGAACACATCTAGTATCATGCCACTTTAAACCGTCATGGCTTCCTCCCAGAGCATCCTGGGAACTGTAGTTTGTTAAGGGTGCCAAGAGCTGTGAGGAGGCCCACCTCCCCTCAGAGAACTACAATTCCCAGAGTTCCCTAAGTACAGGGACTGCATGCACACCACGCATTGACCACACTACAATTCCACGCTAAACAGCCTTGGCTTCCCCCAAAGAATACTTTAAAAAAAAAAAAAATATTTATTGAATTTTAAAGGGTTACAAAAAGAAAGAATAAAAAAAAACAGCATATTTAAGAAATACAAAACATCACATCACGATAATAATAATAATAAAAAGGAACAGGAAAAAAGAAAGAAAGAGAAAAAAAATACAATAAATCTTCCCATAACTTATCTTTCATTTGCTTATTTCCTTGACCTCCTCACACCTCCCTTTTTTGTATTCTAGTTCAATTAGCTATTTCAGCAAATCCTTTCCATCTTTTCCAGTTTTTGTCCTCTATTCTATCTTAATATAATGTAACTTTACTTTCCCTCCTTCACCATTTAGCAATCTATTTTTCCTTAATCCTTTATAGCATTTCTGCTAAAACCGTATTATTTCATTCCCCAAAGAATACTTTTGTAAGTTATGTGGCCTTGTTGCTCAATTCAATATATCCTTTGCGTGCTGTGGTATTTTATATATTGCAATTTTGCTCTCTTTTTTACAGATTATGATTTAACTAACAATTTATTCGTAGACAGCAAATTTTCTGTTTAATTATTATTTGCTGATATTTTGACAGTTGGAATTGTAGAATCACATGTGAGGGGTGTGGCTTAGGGAGATTCCTGGGGGCCGGACAGAGTGTGCTGGGGGCCACATCTTCCCCCTACCCAGGCTTGAGATTCCCCGCACCTGTTCAAAACATTTAAAGATCATGGGGATAGCCAGGGTTGCCATATTTCAAAAAGTAAAAACCAGGACACCCCAAAATTGTTGAGGGTTTTTTTTTAAAGGAAACCCCCAAAATTGTTCAGCAACTGACTTTCTAAGATCCAGGACAGAGCACCACATTTCGGAAATCTCCCCCCGAACGTCATTTCTGCCCTAGGAGAGTCCCCTTTTTTATTTCAGGAAATTTACACTTTTTATTTTTTATTGGCAGATATGATATGGAACAACTGATTGGTTCAAAATTGGGAAAGGCGTACGACAAAGCTGTATATTGTCTCCCTACTTATTTAACTTATTTGCAGAATTGATCAAGCGAAAGGCTGGGCTGGATGAATCCGTAGCCGGAATTAAGATTGCCGGAAGAAATATCAACAACCTCAGATATGCAGATGACACAACCTTGATGGCAGAAAGTGAGGAGGAATTAAAGAACCTTTTAATGAGGGTGAAAGAGGAGAGCGCAAAATATGGTCTGAAGCTCAACATCAAAAAAACGAAGATCATGGCCACTGGTCCCATCACCTCCTGGCAAATAGAAGGGGAAGAAATGGAGGCAGTGAGAGATTTTATTTTCTTGGGCTCCGTGATCACTGCAGATGGTGACAGCAGCCACGAAATTAAAAGACACCTGCTTCTTGGGAGAGAAGCAATGACAAACCTAGACAGCATCTTAAAAAGCAGAGACATCACCTTGCCAACAAAGGTCCATATAGTAAAAGCTATGGTTTTCCCAGTAGTGATGTGTGGAAGTGAGAGCTGGACCATAAAGAAGGCTGATCGCCGAAGAATTGATGCTTTTGAATTCTGGTGCTGGAGGAGACTCTTGAGAGTCCCATGGACTGCAGGAAGATCAAACCTATCCATTCTGAAGGAAATCAGCCCTGAGTGCTCACTGGAAGGACAGATCCTGAAGCTGAGGCTCCAGGACTTTGGCCACCTCATGAGAAGAGACGACTCCCTGGAAAAGACCCTGACGCTGGGAAAGATGGAGGGCAGAAGGAGAAGGGGACGACAGAGGACGAGATGGTTGGACAGTGTTCTCGAAGCTACCAGCATGAGTTTGAGCAAACTGCGGGAGGCTGTGGAAGACAGAAGTGCCTGGCGTGCTCTGGTCCAGGGGGTCATGAAGAGTCAGACACAACTAAACGACTAAACAACAAGAATGGAGGTCCTACCTGCAAGAAGGAGCCGTCTTCGTTGCATTCCGGGACGTAGGTTGCATGAGACTGACGCCGGGACTGCGAGAGGGCGGTCGCCCGGTCCTCCTGGCACCGAGTGAGGTTGGTATCTGCACAGTGGGCGGGAGGAAAGACGCAGCATCAGAAATGGAGCCTGCTGGAGGCATCAAGGGTACCTCTGAGCATGTACAGAGAGCCCTTCTCTCACCACGGTACGGGAAAGATGGAGGATCTCAGGCCCAGAGGCGAAATGAGGAAGAAGCATAAACAGAAGGGATAACTTTAGGAAATCAGGATGGAAAACCATGGTAAATACAACAGGAAACAGGAACAGAAGATACAGAACTTGACGTGAACTAATGAATACATAGTAAGAAAATTAGGAAATAAGAGCATTAGGGAATATTATTTTAATATATGATCACAGCGGAGAGGTTCTTGGGTGGACAAAAATGGAAAGATTAATTGCTTGATAGGGATAAATTGTTGAAGTCTGATTAGAGAAAAACTATTGTGGAAATTTATTAATAACAATGGTTATTAATTAATTAGCAGCTGATTAATATACTACAGCCTTTTAAATGTGTTTTTTTGGGGGGGGCTATTATTTTTTGGGTTTTTTGTTTTAACTATCTATTTGTGTTTTTATCTTGTATTTTTATCTTGGGAACTGCCCTGTGACCTTTCGATGAAAGATAGTATATCAATATAATAAAACAACAACAACAACAACAATTGGAGAACTCCTACTGGACATTTTGTCTAAAAGGAAAATGAATTGATCTAAGACTTATAAGTTGGGAGATTGCGAATATATTGCCTAACAGAAAGTAGATCAGTTGGATGTTATCCTAGAGTGAATACTTCAAAAAAATTATTTTATGTAACGGACAGATGGCAGTCCCTTTTATTTTTCCTATTTTCTTCAACTTTTTGGTTTTTCCTTTGGTGTTTCCTTTCCATTTTTCTCTTTGCCTCTAGATTAGTTTCTTTTATGTTATAGCATTATGAAAAATCAAATTAAAAAAGTTTATATCATATTACAAAATCTGGAAGCAAGAATTGTTGGAGGAAATGTGGAGTGATGGGAACATACAGTCATATGTGGTGGGATTGTCCATTAGTTAATGAATTTTGGAAACGGATTGGTATAGAAATATCAGGAATTGTGGGTAGGAAGGTGGGAATATCTAAATTAATGGTTCTTATTAGTCTGAGTAGCACCGAGTTAAAAACAAAGGAGGAATGTAAATGGGTAAAATTGATGGTAACTGCAGCCAGACAGGCTATAGCGAGTAACTGGAAAAATGCAGAAGAGCTAGGGGTGAACCAATGGAGGAAAAAAACGAATAATATTATAATTTTAGAATATCTAACTGTGAAGATACACAGAATGAAAGGGTTTAAGGTCAGTGAGAAAGAAGAGGATTGGTTTAGAAGATTTTGAATTATTTGGGTAGGTTTGAACAATTTGGGGCAATTAAAATGTTAAAAGTTAAATAAACCTTGTGGATGGAGCATAGCTGTCAACTTACAGATTTGAAAATAAGGGACCAGCAGCCTCGAAAATAAGGGATCAGCAGCCAATATAAGGGATTTTCAGAGCACAGGTATGTTCAACTTCTGAGCCCCTCCGAGCCAAAGGCAGAAAGCCCAGCCAGCAGCCAAACAAAGCCTCAAGCGGTGGTTCCCACAGCGCAGCAACGCGGCAAAGGGAATGCAGCAAGGAGAACCACCGTCACCTCTCCGCTGGGAAGCGCTGAGCAAAGGCGAGTCCCCAGGCAACGCGGCCAATTTGATCGGCACAAGGCATGCAAGCTCCACCCCCCAGTCGTTCTTAGACTCCTTATTGGGTGAGCAACGCAGCCAAGCAACACAGTTGGAGCCTCCCTGGCCGGCAGGGAGGGAGGGGGAGGAGCTCCTTCCTTTGAAACCCGGGAAATTTAAGGGACATCATCAATAAGGGACAGCAGCGGGACACAGCGCTGGGATAAGGGACTTTCCCGCCAAATAAGGAACGGTTGACAGCTATGGGATGGAGGAGTATTAACGTATATAAAATTGTACATATGGTTGATTTGAATATGTTATTATTTATACCCAATGTATCAGTCACCCGGGGGTTTCACTGTTTGTGTTTTGGTTGTTGGTAAAAAATAAAAATGTTAAACATTTAAAAAAAATTTAAAAAGAGATTCCCTCTGCCCAGTCGCCCACCACTAGGCCACGCTGCCAAACCTTCTCTACCTACAGTTGGGCTCCCAGTGGGCTGCTCCACCACAGCGGAAGCGAGGCAGGGCTTCGAGGGAACGCTCGCGGCATCGAGCTTTCTGGAAGGCGCACGGGGACTTGTAGAGCTTGCCGTCGGTGGCGCAAACCGGGCGCCCGCGTTCGTGAGGACACTCCAGCGGGCATGCAGACTCCTCTGGGTCGCTCTCGGAGATGATGAACTGCAAAGGAGACAAGGCGGGCATCAAACAGGGCACAGAGCAACACCGATTATCTTGTTTTGTTTATCTACTTATTAAATTTCTGCACCGCCCTTCATTCGAGGTGGTTTGCGATATGTTGCAGGAATTTATGTATAGGTTTGGAGGGGGGGTTGCTCCTCCAGCAGATATCATGCACATGCAGCCCACTACCAAAACCAGAACAATCACTTCTGTGACTTTTGTGATTTGTCCCCACAAAACACTTCATCGCAGTTTCTTCCTATCTATTCAAAGGGCCTTTGCCGCACGATACCAAATGTAAGAATTCACTGATAAATGCATCTATGTACCTGCTCACTGTGCCAACCTAGCAGTTTAAAAGCACGTCAAAGTGCAAGTAGATAAATAGGTACCACTCCGGCGGGAAGGTAAACGGCGTTTCCGTGTGCTGCTCTGGTTCTCCAGAAGCGGCTTAGTCATGCTGGCCACGTGACCCGGAAGCTGTACGCCGGCTCCCTTGGCCAATAAAGCGAGATAAGCGCCGCAACACCAGAGTCGGCCACGACTGGACCTAATGGTCAGGGGTCCCTTTACCTTTACCGGCTCACTGGGAAAACTTCAGAAATTCATATAGACATATGAGCTCAGCTACTCAGCAGCCCCTCTGCCTGAGTGATAATCCCTGTCATCCTGATACCTGAGTGCCAGACAGGTAGCCATTCCAGAAATAGCAAACCCAGATGAAGACAAAAGGGTGTGATTAACTTGGCTGGGAAACAGGGAAATGTAAATATCTCTTTTGCTTCACTTGATGGGTGTTTGGTGGAGGACAAGGAAAACCATGGGGCAGGGTCCAGGATGCTCAGATTACTGCCACCAGACCTCCCCTTTCATGGTGTAACTGTGATATACGAGTGATGTAGTTTGGGGGGTGTAACATGGGGATTAGCAGCTAATAAAAGTTTGGGGGCTCTTTTGTTTGGGGCTTCCATCTTGTTCCACCTGGTGGCAGGTGGGAGTCCTGTCGTGACAGTCTTCAATAAAGACCAAGCCTACTGGCTGCTCTGGTATTCCTGGCTGGTGTCCTTGTTTTTTGTCCAAGGGAGCCCTCAGATTTCTCCCTTAAGAGTTACAAAAACACGCAAATGGACACCATAGCACCAAACAGCAGTTCAGGCCGGATTGCTCTGTACGTAGTTAAAACCGTTCCTGTTTATCAGTCACCGTGTCCAAGACAACAGACATTCTCATCATTATCACCCGAGATTCAATCGGCACCGTCTCAAGGCGAGTTACACATTAGCTGATTAAAGACAGTCAAAAGCACAAAACAATAACAAACACATTTAAAACAAGACTGAAACCCTAACAAAGCGGTCAAGTCCCGTTTATCCAGCTGAGAGAGCCTGCCAGAACTTTTAATGTCTTGCAACTGTTTCCGGAAATTGGAGATAGTGAGAACCGGCTATATCTCAAGAGGGATACTATTCCTCAGAAAAGATGTTGTTAAAGTTATTAGTAATAAGAATTTCACTTATCAATATAAAGCAATTGCATACATAACATTTGCAAGACATAACAGCAATTGCATATAAAAAGATTCAGATAAATGTAAGTCTTTAAGCAAAATGTTTTAGAAACCAGAGGCCTTTCTACTTGGAATAATAGGAATGGAACTGCCCAAAAAAGATGTCAAACTATTTTTGTATGCCACCACAGCGGCAAGACTGCTGTTAGCCAAAAATTGGAAATCCCAAGAAATCCCAGCTGTGGAAGAATGGCAGATGAAAATGTTGGACTTTTTGGAGAAAGCTGACTTGACTGGAAGAATCCGCGACCAGAAAGAAGAGGAATATCAAGAAGTTGGAAGAAATTTAAGGACTATTTGAATAAATATTGTAATATAAAATATTAGAAGTCACTTGAAAGCACCAAATAGGCCTAGGATTAAATTAGGATCTAATTGTAAGTAAGGTGGATTTAGAACTGTAAGAAAAGGGAAAATGATAGTTAATTGCTGGAAATAATTTTAGTAAGAGAAATTGGGTTTTTAAGGGATATGTGTTTAAGATTTCTTTTTAGTTTTTTAGTACTGTATTGTGTTTTCTTTTCTTTTTTCTATCTTATACTTGTTATAATTGTGGAAAATTAAATTTAATTTAAAAAAATGGGGGGGGGGATAAGCAAAATGTTTTGGTTTCTGCCTTCTTCAGCTGCTTTGTCTGGTGTCCAGGGCTGCCATAGGTCTGGGATTTCAAGGGCGGAATTGACATCCAGGGGGATTTCCAAAAGGCGGTGCTCTGTCAGGTATCTTAGAAAAGTCAATCGAAAAATGGAACAACTCTGGAGTTGGTCTGAAAAAAGCTGAACAATTTCAGTGGTTTCCTAAAATAAAAGATCAGTAATTTTGGGGACATCCTAAAATAAAGCTCCACAACTTTCTGGGTGTCCTGGTTTTTACTTTTTGAAAGATGGCAACCCTACTGGTGTCAATCAAAAGGTGACGGACAGAGGTGGCACCTATGGAACACTGAGGAACGAATATTCCGAAGCGTCTCATTGGCTGTAGCTGAGTGATGTTGGGTATAAAAATGGCCTGAGGGATAGCTCAGTTGGTAGAACATGAGACTCTTAACCTCAGGGTCGTGGGTTTGATCCCCAAGTTGAGAAAAATATTCCAGCATTTCAGGGGGTTGGACTCAGATGATCCTTGCGGTCCCTTCCAACTCAAAAATTCTATGATTAACACAAATCACAGCTGAATTAAAAGAGGCGGTTATAATTAGAACTTTTTTTGTGTGCAAAGGTCAGTAGAAGTCGTCGTTGTCAACCTCCAAGGAGCTCAAGTAGGCTTACCTGCTACTCCCTTCTGGATTTTATCCTCACAACAACCTTGTGAGGTAGGCTCAGAGACGGCGATTGGCCTATGGCCATGGGTGAATGGAGATTCGAACCCTGGCCTCCTCCAACTTGCAACACCCCGTGAGCGCTTTTGATTCAGATTTTTGTGGCATCAATTAAGTGTTTTAAATTTGTTGTTAGCCACCCTGAGCCCGGTTTTCTGAACTAGGAAGGGCAGGGTATAAATAAAATTATTATTATTATTATTAAATTGTGCTGGGTTTGCCCATGTTCGCCTTTGGCAATGCCACAACTCCATTTGGGGTGGTCTCTGAGCATGTGCAAAGTGCCCTTCCATCCCCACTAAATGACCCCAGAGAGTCTCCTGCACACAGAAAGAATTAGGAGGCTTCTTTCAGATTAGAGGGTGGTGGCTTGAGCTGAGAGACTCGGCCGCTACCTGATGCCCTCTGCTTTGGGAGTGCTGGGAGTTGTAGTCCGCAGCGCCTAGCCGGCACCAGGTAATGGCAAAGACCATGCTAGAAATTAGGCGCTGGGGAAGGGGCTGTACCAAGCAACCTGCTACCTCCGTCGAGGGTCCAAGAAGGCATCTTTTGACTGTGGAAAGGGGGACCAGGCCACCCACTTTTTCACTGTATCCCAACACTGAAGAAAAAACTGTGTTTTCCTAGCAGGATAGAGAGTGATTGTTGGAACACAGACTCTGAGCTGGTTTGTGTGCGTGTGTGTGTCTGAGTTGCGCGCATTCTCACAACAAGGAAACCGACTCGCACGCCCCTCTCCCCTCCCCAGAGCTTCCCATCTCTCCTTGCAATCGCTTACCTGGTCCTCTTTCCTCCACCCACCCCCCGCCCTGCCCCACTTTCCTTCTCTTCCCACCTCCCCTCGCTGCCATTCCGCCCTGCCCCTAGGGGGTGCCGTACGAACTGTGTACCTTGGCAAGCGTTAGGGCTGGCCGGTGAAAGGAATTGGTTTAACTAATTGCCGTGTAAATAAACACACAGGGGGAAGGCAGCCAATCAAAAGCCGGCGACGGCTCAAGACCTAATTTTTGTTTGATGTACAAGGAGACGTGGATTTTTTCCCCTCCTGGCAAGAGTCCAGACCGCAGGCGTGCATTTGGGGGGGGGCGCTAAGGGGTTATGGGGGGGCAGGGAGCTGGTGTGCCCGTGTGCAAAAACACAACCACTTTGAACAGCTGTAGAAAAGGCCATGGGCTTAACATTTTGCACACCCCTTGCTTCCATACCCCCTGACATTCGTCGGATGAAAATAGGGACATTTCTTCTTCTTCCTTGGCCATCAACTCTGCCAGGTGTGGCTGATGGTAGCTGGAGCCCAACCACATCTGGGACCCCCCCCCCCAGTTGTCTTGATAGAGCCATGTAAAAGGGTAAAGGGACCCCTGACCGTTAGGTCCAGTCGCGGACAACTCTGGGGTTGCGGCGCTCATCTCGCTTTACTGGCCGAGGGAGACGGTGTACAGCTTCCGGATCATGTGGCCAGCATGACTAAGCCGCTTCTGGCGAACCAGAGCAGCGCATGGAAACGCCATTTACCTTCCCGCCAGAGTGGTACCTATTTATCTACTTGCACTTTGACGTGCTTTCGAACTGCTAGGTTGGCAGGAGCTGGGACTGAGCAACGGGAGCTCACCCCGTCACGGGGATTCGAACCGCCGACCTTCTGATCGGCAAGTCCTAGGCTCTGTGGTTTAATCCACAGCACCACCCGCATCCCATTTTTCCTTAGGACGTCCCTATTTTCATTGGAAAATGTTGGATGGTACAGAGTTATCTGACCCCTGAGCCGTCTGAAGGCAGTCCTGTATGGGAGAGTTATTAAAAAATGCTTAATGTTTTATAATGTTTCTGTATATGTTGGAAGCTGCCTGGAATGGCTGGGGCAACCCAGTAAGATGTGTCGGTTATAAATAGTAAAAATATCATTATGGAATGGGGCCTCCCTATTTTCATCGGAGAAATGTTGGAGGGGATGCTCAGGAGCTTTGTGGCTGAATTCCCCTTACTGTTTTTATTATTAGTCTAGAATCACTTTGACGTGCTTTTGAACTGCTAGGTGGGCAGGAGCAGGGACCGAGCAACGGGAGTTCACCCCATCGCGGGGATTCGAACCGCCGACCTTCTGATCGACAAGCCCTAGGCTTGTGGTTTAACCCACAGCACCACCCGCGTCCCATGTACGTGCTTGCAAACAGCCGCAAGGCAGGCAGGAGCACAACAGGTGCAGTTCTTCCTGGCATGGAGACGCTGCCATGGGATATAGCACTCTGAAGCTGCTGAGCTTTTAAAGAAACCTTGGAGCTGCTGTTTGCTAAGGGTGCTGGGAGTTGTTAGGAGACCCCTACTCCCTTCCCAGAACTATAGTTACCAGAGTAGATTAATAATAATAATTATTATTATTTATTATTTGTACCCTGCCCATCTGGCTGGGTTTCCCCAGCCACTCTGGGCGGCTTCCATAGAAACAAAAAATACACTAAAATATCACAGATTAAAAACTTCCCTGAACAGGGCTGCCTTAAGATGTCTTCTGAATGTCAGGTAGTTATTTATCGCTTTGACATCTGATGGGAGGGCGTTCCACAGGGTGGGCGCCACTACCGAGAAGGCCCTCTGCCTGGTTCCCTGTAGCTTTGCTTCTCGCAATGAGGGAACCACCAGAAGGCCTCGGCGCTGGACCTCAGCGTCCGGGCAGAACGATGGGGGTGGAGACACTCCTTCAGGTATACTGGACCGAGGCCGTTTAGGGCTTTCAAGGTCAGCACCAACACTTTGAATTGTGCTCGGAAACGCACTGGGAGCCAATGTAGGTCTTTCAAGACCGGCATTATGTGGTCCCTGCGGCCGCCCCCAGTCACCAGTCTAGCTGCCGCATTCTGGATTAGTTGTAGTTTCCGAGTCACCTTCAAAGGTAGCCCCACGTAGAGCGCATTGCAGTAGTCCAAGCGGGAGATAACCAGAGCATGCACCACTCTGGCGAGACAGTCCGCGGGCAGGTAGGGTCTCAGCCTGCGTACCAGATGGAGCTGGTAGACAGCTGCCCTGGATACAGATTAACAGCTGGTCCTTCTTCCCAGGGAACTCTGAGCTAAATCCTGCCTCCGACGAAGTTAAGTATCAGCAAAAACCTTATGCCTCGGGGTGGAAAACTAATACCTACGGGACTGCTTCTCCTGGTATGCCCCGCGGAGGACCTTAAGGTCCACAAATGACCACGTTTTGGAGGTCTCAGGTCGCAAGGTGGTTAGATTGCTCTCAACTAGGGCCAGGGCCTTTTCAGTACTGGCCCCGACTTGGTGGAACGCTCTGTCACAAGAGACCAGGGCCCTGCGGGGCTTGACATCTTTCCGCAGGGCCTGCAAGACAGAGCTGTTCCGCCTGGCCTCTGCTTTGGACTCAGTCTGACCCTTATGTTTCCCTCCCCTATGGTTTTGATCTATGGGCTACTTTTAAAACGAGGCTGCATTTTAAATTGCATTTTAACCTGTATTTTAAATTGGTTTTTTTCTTTCTTTCTTTTACTGTTTTTACTGTTATTTTACTGGTGTTAGCTGCCCTGAGCCCGGCTCTGGTTGGGGAGGGCAGGGTATAAATAAAATTTATTATTGCTATTATTATTATTATTATTATTATTATACACGCACTCTCTCACTCCAGACCCAAGGGGGCAGACAACCCTCTTTCTCCCTTCCTGCCCCCGAACAGCCATCCATTTCAGCTGTGGGTTTCTCCAGCAAAGAGAAGCTTGTTCTGGATTCCCTCAGGGTGGGGTGGGATCAGGGGGAGCCCCCCTCCTTCTCTGCCAAAACCACCAGCCCAGCTCCCCTGCCGAGTGATTGGGGAGTCCTGCCAAAGCAGGCCGCTTGTCTTCTCTTTTCCACACAACCCAGCGCTGCTCAATTTTTGATTTACGGACCCGAGGAGTGTCTCTTAGCTCACTTGCCCGTGCGGAAAAGCAATGACGACATGCAGGCCGATACAGATGCGGTTCCCTGGGCTCGTCCTCTGTGTCCCCTCGCTGCCTCAAATACCCAGGAGGAGGGAACTATATATTTATTTCTGGGTCGGACAACATGGATATGCCCGGGCAACAAATTATTCCATTTCCCTGGCGTTTCTCCCATTGTTAGTTTTCACACCAAAAGCCACTTCTGGAAAACAAATGGAGCACAGTGTTCATTTCTGTGTTCTCTGATTCCAGAATCAAATATATCTGTTTAAGCCGGGGTGGAAAACTCTGGGTGTAGCGGGATGCAGTTCTTTCCTACTGTCTTAATGGGGGGGGGGTTATTTTGGGGGGGGGACAGAAGAACGCAGGTGCAAAAAGGGAGGGGGGAGAGGAGAGAAGCAACGTTGTCCAACGATGTCTGCCGTTGTGCCACAACACACCCGACTAGTGTGGATTAAATTTAGTGTGACATGCAAGTGTTGTTGTTTAGTCCTTTAGTCGTGTCCGACTCTTCGTGACCCCCTGGACCAGAGCACGCCAGGCACTCCTGTCTTCCACTGCCTCCCGCAGTTTGGTCAAACTCATGCTGCTAGCTTAGAGAACACTGTCCCACCATCTCGTCCTCTGTCGTCCTCTTCTCCTTGTGCCCTCCATCTTTCCCAACATCAAGGTCTTTCCCAGGGAGTCTTCTCTTCTCATGAGGTGGCCAAAGTACTGGAGCCTCAGCTTCACGATCTGTCCTTCCAGTGAGCACTCAGGGCTGATTTCCTTCAGAAAGGATAGGTTTGATCTTGATGGGACTCTCAAGAGTCTCCTCCAGCACCAGAATTCAAAAGCAGACATCCAAGTATATTGGTCAAAAAGCCACAGTTCTGTAGCGCACAGGTAGTGTAGTGGGAAAGGAACATTAGAAAATGAGGCAGAAGCACCAGAAGTATAATCAGGAAAACTAACACAATATTCCCCATCTCTGAATGCGCCCTAGATAGGCCTTTGGCCTGATCCAGCAAAGATGTTTTCACGTTCCTATGCGGTCACCAGGTCAGTGAAGACGACCAATCTAAGTTATTTGATCTGCTGACGCCTCCACTTTGTGTTGCTACGTTTAACGAAATTTTACCCTTCTATATCACTGTTCTTCAACCTCGGGTCCCCAGACGTGGTTGTTGGACTACAATTCCCATCATCCCCAGCTAATGGTCACAGATGATGGGAGTTGTAGTCCAACAACCATGTCTAGGGACCCGAGATTGAAGAACACTGTTATTATATCATTGGTAGCTCATCGTGGATATCTGCACCCTACCCAGCATGTTGGCGGAGGGCTGGATTGTGCTCGCTGCTCATTCCAAATACTAACCGATGCATTACAATACTGGGATACAATACAATATTGGGAGTCATTTTGGACTCACAGCTGACCATGGAGGTGCAGGTTAATTCTGTGTCCAGGGCGGCTGTCTACCAGCTCCATCAGGTACACAGGATGAGACCCTACCTGCCCACAGACTGTCTTGCCCCAGTGGTGCATGCTCTGGTTATCTCCCGCTTGGACTACTGCAGTTCGCTCTACGTGGGGCTACCTTTGAAGGTGACCCGGAAACTGCAATTAATCCAGAATGCAGCAGCTAGACTGGTGACTGGGAGCGGCCGCTGGGACCACATAACACCGGTCCTGAGATATCTGCATTGGCTCCCAGTACGTTTCCAAGCACAATTCAAAGTTTTGGTGCTGACGTTTAAAGATCTAAATGGCCTTGGTCTTGTATACCTGAAGGAGTGTCTCCACCCCCATCGTTCTGCCCGGACACTGAGGTCCAGTGCCGAGGGCCTTCTGGCAGTTCCCTCATTGCGAGAAGTGAGGTTACAGGGAACCAGGCAGAGGGCCTTCTCGGTAGTGGCGCCCGCCCTGTGGAACGCCCTCCCTTCAGATGTGAAGGAAATAAGTAGCCATCTTATCTTTAAAAGACATCTGAAGGCAGCCCAGTTTAGGGAAGTTTTTAATATTTAATGCTGTATTGTTTTTAACATTCGATTGGAAGCCGCCCAGAGTGGCTGGGGAAACTCAGCCAGATGGATGCGGTATAAATAATACATTATTATTATTATTATTATTTACTGAACACTGCTGCATGTCAACAATCGAACGCTGTCTGATGCCAACTATTTCATGTCACGGCCAAACAAAAATGGGGATTGGATGTCAAATACGGAAACCAAATATTCCACAAACGTTAGAATACGAGGGGAACATCTAGTGAGTATTCACCACTGTGATTCACAGAGGATAATCTTTGCAGAGCAAATTCTTTTGCTTGGCCTGAACCCAGGTCTGCCCATCCACCCCCCACCTGCCCCAAACCTAACTCTCAAACTCTATAACCACGATTCAGGCTTGGTGGGGGTCTCTTCCTCACACCGCAGACCCTGACGTGTCTTCGGCAGGATCTGCCGGCCCCCCATCGCACTTCTAAATCAAAGGAGTGTCTTTCAAGCTCCACCGTTGCTCTGCAGACATGATGTCATCCTCCCCACCCACCCCCAGGCAGATAGCTACCGTGTCCAAAAGGCGCCACGTCCCCCAGCCTAGTGCCGTTAAGTGCAGGGGGACAGAGCGTCCCTCAGACACAGATTCCGCCGCTCGCGACTGCCCAAGATCCCTTCCAAAGATTGCAAATGGTGGCACCCACTGCCAAGGGTTAAGTCACTCCAGGGGAAGGACAGAGTTGTGGCAACGAACACGGTGCCATGTTCAAGCCCGAAAAGCTGCTCGCCTTCACATGGGCAGAGGGGGTCAGGATCGGTGCGAGGGTTGTAGCAGCCTGGGATCCCTGAGGGGCGAAAGACTGGCCACTCTCTCAGGGACAGCGACATTCGTCCAGTTCACATGAAAGGGGAGCTTCTGGGATATGATATGCTCCGAAGCGGAGCATTTAGCAGAACTGAAACTGCCAAGGTGTTTTGGTTTCCGGAGTTCTGTTAAGTGTGATGGAAAACACAGCTTGAGTCACTCCAAAAGATGTTTTTGGAGCACTCCAAGCCATTTGCTCGTATGCCTATGGCGAAAACAGTAGATCTGGCTGAAACATGTAGAGATCTGCATCCTGACTAGTAGACATCAATAACCCTCTCCTCCACAAACTGGTCTAATCTAAGTTGGTGGGCTCCTGTGGGAGTGAGTTCCATAGCTCCAGGTCAATTCTGTGTCCAGGGCGGCTGTCTGCCAGTTCCATCCGGTACGCAGGATGAGACCCTACCTGCCCGCAGACTGTCTCTGGGAGAAGACCTTGCTAACATTCCCTTAAAGTGAGCTGCTGGAATCGCCATTCCCAGAGGCACCATTAGGACAGGACTTTGAGGCAGATGTTTTGGACTCTATATCTGCAGGGCACCAGGTTGGGGAACGCTGTTGTACACAACAGGGCTTTTCAAGTCCACCTTTCATATAAAGGTAAAGGTAAAGGGACCCCTGACCATTAGGTCCAGTCGTGGCTGACTCTGGGGTTGCGGCGCTCATCTCGCTTTATTGGCCGAGGGAGCCAGCGTACAGCTTCTAGGTCATGTGGCCAGTATGACTAAGCCGCTTCTGGCGAACCAGAGCAGCGCACGGAAACGCCGTTTACCTTCCCGCTGGAGCGGTACCTATTTATCTACTAGCACTTTGATGTGCTTTCGAACTGCTAGGTTGGCAGGAGCAGGGACCGAGCAACGGGAGCTCATCCCGTCACGGGGATTCGAACCGCTGACCTTCTGATCGGCAAGTCCTAGGCTCTGTGGTTTAACCCACAGCGCCACCCACGTCCCATGCCACCTTTCATAGAATAATACAATTTCAGAGGTGGAAGGGACCCCCAAGGTTCATCTAGTCTAACCTTCCCCAATGCAGGCATTGTAACTAAAGCATCCCCAGCAGGTGGCTCTCCAACCTCTGCTTTAAAAATCTACCATGAAAGGATCCACCATCTGAGCACTGGCTGACTTCCAGGTGCTTTTGATCACAATTCCCATCAGCCTGACCAGTTGATGGGTTTTGTAGTGCCAAAGCAGCTGGAAAGCAGCCAAGTCTGCTTTAACTGAACCAACGAAGTCTCCAATTCTTTTTAAATCATTGGAGCAAAAAGCTTAGGGTGGACAGTTGGTACAGAATAAGAATTTATTAAGTGTGGGGGTCAGAGCGTCCCTCAGACACAGACTCCGTCGCTTGCAACAGCCCAAGATCCCTTCCTGACCGTTAGGTCCAGTCGTGGCCGACTCTGGGGTTGCGGCGCTCATCTCGCTTTATTGGCCGAGGGAGCCAGCGTACAGCTTCCGGGTCATGTGGCCAGCATGACTAAGCCACTTCTGGCAAACCAGAGCAGCGCACGGAAACGCCGTTTACCTTCCCGCCAGAGTGGTACCTATTTATCTACTTGCACTTTGACATGCTTTCGAACTGCTAGGTTGGCAGGAGCAGGGACCGAGCAACGGGAGCTCACCCCGTCGCAGGGATTCGAACCGCCGACCTTCTGATCAGCAAGCCCTAGGCTCTGTGGTTTAAGCCACAGCACCACCCACATCCCTTTGTCCAGGTCGTAAGGCTTACATGTACTACGAATCGAATGTCATTCCCTATCCGGTGGGGAGGAGGGGGATAATTCCTCGGCTTGGGATGTGAAATGGAGTCTGCACATTGATGGTCAGTGTTCAGTGGGCGATGCTCGCTAAGAAAACCCATCGTGTGAGCCCCTCTTGCTGAAAGGCTCTTCTTAATGGCTGACGAAAGAAGGGAACAGCCCGCCACATGACATGGGATCACGGTTTGGTTATTCTCCTTCTCTCCTGTTACTTAAGACCACTCCATGAAACTGAAGAGTCAGGACAGGCAATAGAAAGCCTTTCTTCATGCAGAAGAGTTAAACAACAACAACAACAACTTATTATTATTTATACCCTGCCGGAAGGCCCTCGGCGCTGGACCTCAGTGTCCAGGCTGAATGATGGGGTTGGAGACGCTCCTTCAGGTATACTGGACCGAGGCCGTTTAGGGCTTTAAAAGTCAGCACCAACACTTTGAATTGTGCTCGGAAACGTACTGGGAGCCAATGTAGGTCTTACAGGACCAGTGTTAATACGGTCTCGGCGGCTGCTCCCAGTCACCAGTCTAGCTGCCGCATTCTGGATTAGTTGTAGTTTTCGGGTCACCTTCAAAGGTAGCCCCACGTAGAGCACGTTGCAGTAGTCCAAGCGGAAGATAACCAGAGCATGTACCACTCTGAGGAGACAGTGTGCAGGCAGGTAGGGTCTCATCCTGCGTACCAGATGGAGCTGGGATACATCCGCCCTGGACACAGAATTGACTCTGGGTGGCTCCCAACAGAATATTAAAAACACGATAAAACATCAAACATTAAAAACTTCAGATGTTTTCTAAAAATCAGAGTTCTTTATCTCCTTGACATCTGATGGGAGGGCGTTCCACGAGGTGGGCGCCACTACCGAGAAGGCCCTCTGCCTGGTCTCTGTAACCTCACTTCTCACAGGGTGAGTAAATTGAGATATTGAGGGACCTATGAAATAAATATACAGGTGTCTATAAATCTACAGGGATGGGGGTGGGGTGGGACTAGCCTGTTCTCCCAGGCCAGTTTTTAAAAATAATACCAAATCAAACTCGGCAACCATGAATGTTCCAAATCATTAAAAACGGAGCTTCAGATTCACTGGTACGACATCAAGCTCCGACGGTGAAAGTTCAATTGACAAACTGAAAGTTCAGTTGACAGATGGTTTGTGTGCAAACACACATTTGTACCTTTGTACATTAAGGGAGGGAGATGACTGTTCTGTTCAAAGCAGCCTTTCATCAATCTGGTGCCATCTAGATGTTTTGAACTACAACTCCCACCAGCCCCAGCCAGCATCCTAAATATCTGGACAGCACCAGGATGATGAAAGGCTGGCTTAAACTTTCCCCCCTGCATCCGCACCTCATGGTTAAAGCACTATGACACCACTTTAAACTGTCCCGGCTTCCCCCAAAGAATTCTGGGAGTTGTAGTTTGTTAAGGGTGCTGTTGTTAGGAGACCAACCCCCCCCCCAAAAAAAATCCCCCTCCCAGAGCTACAATTCTCAGTCAATCGCCCTTCACAGAGAATTCTGGGAATTGTAGCTCTGGGAGGGGAATAGGGAAGTCTCCTAACGACTCTCAGCAAACTACAGTTCCCAGAATTCTTTGCAGGAAACCATAATGGTTTAAAGTGGCATCACAGTGCTTTCAATGTGCGGTGTGAACATGGCCTAAGATGAAACAGGACGGATTCGGAACAGCGGTTAAGAGGCAGCTAACATCACATTGCAGCGTATTGATTGACACGGCAGCCTGCAGCCCTCACAGCCCAACAAATTGTGTGTGTGTGTGTGTGTGTGTGTGTGTGTGTGTACTAGCTACCCAAGTGCCTTCAAGCTTACATTGGCTCTCGCACGCCGCTGGTAACCACAGAGGCTTCGGCCAGGAAAATCTGAGTGTCGCGTCGACAGAGTAACTAGACCAGGGAAAGCTCTGTCCAGAAAGCATTCGGCCCAGGGGAGCTGGGTGATCTCTGCACCCTGAAGGAAAAGCCTTCAACTGATTGGTCGAGATCAGATTCTCTAGTATTTTGCTGGTGAAAAATAGGAGCAGGGAAACAGGCAGAGATAAATCGGCACCTATGGGGCGAGGCAGGGGGACAGATGGACAAAGGGGTACCTCCCCCCACTGGAAACCACAATCTCCAGACTATCATTTTTTAAAAGAGCAAGTTCCTAGCAATTGCAAAACCCATACCCTCCAACATTTCTCCTATGAAAATAGGGATGTCCTATTCCATTCTTCTTCTTCTTCTTCTTCTTCTCCTTCTTCTTCTTCTTCTTCTTCTTCCTCGCCCATCTCACTGGGTTGCCCCAGCCACTCGGGGCGACTAACAACACATAGAAAAACATAATAAAACAGTACAGTGGTACTTCGGGTTAAGTACTTAATTGGTTCCGGAGGTCCGTTCTTAACCTGAAACTGTTCTTAACCTGAAGCACCACTTTAGCTAATGGGGCCTCCTGCTGCTGCTGCGCTGCTGGAGCACGATTTCTGTTCTCATCCTGAAGCAAAGTTCTTAACCTGAAGCACTATTTCTGGGTTAGCGGAGTCTGTAACCTGAAGCGTATGTAACCTGAAGCGTATGTAATCCGAGGTACCGCTGTAAACAGTAAAAAAAAAAAGCCAAACACCTTCCCTGAACGAGGGTCGCGTTCAGATGGATCCAGGACAGTTTCTGTAAATCTGGGGGGACTGTCCCTGGAAAATAGGGAAACTTGGAGGGTCTGAAAACCTGAGTCAGGAGGTAAAATGTACAGGCACTATTATTCTCAATGTTTTTTTTAAAAAGGCCACTCTCCCCTTTCAGTGTTTGCCTTTGCCCCCACCCCTGGAAAAAATCTTGCAGATGGCCAAGCAGAAATAGTAGAGGGGCAGGGTTGGGGTGGGTGATCTTTGGGGGTCTGGCAGCGCCCCCCACCCCCTGCTGAGATACATGCCTTGGCAGTTGCCCAGCAATGCGACTCGTGAAGCTGCCAGCCTCCACCCATATCCACTGACTCTGTTGGCAACGGCTTGTCACATGCTGGATTTTGAAGCATTCAAGGAGTCCCACTAGTGGGCTGCAAGAGCAGCATCCATTATCACAACAACACACAGCGTAAGAGGACTGCAAAAGGGTACGATACGATACGATAACCTTTATTCTTATTTGTTAAGTTGTGGGTGAACATATCAGACGACACAGCGATTCTTCAACAGCTCTTGTTTATTCACAGGCCAGAACAGAACTGAACTGAAGGGCTCATCCAGCCTGCTCCACTACAACGCAACAGTAACAACTTTCTGTAACTATCCAATCACTGAACGTCACTTTCGATCCCTTATTTGCATATGTGGACCTGAGTGAAAACTATCTATAGTATCCCCTTGCTGGCCCAGGGTGAGAACTTCAGTACATAACATCATTGTCCCGTACAGAACAACGAAATTGGGGGGAAAAAAATCTACATAAGACATTCAAAACCAACAAGCCTGCTACCCCAGCTATCCCAACCTGGTTAGCCCCCTAAAAACTCTGACACCCCATTTTTAAAATACAATATACTCCCATAGAGACTCCTTAGGTAAAGGTAAAGGGACCCCTGACCATTAGGTCCAGTCGTGGCCGACACTGGAGTTGCGGCGCTCATCTCGCTTTATTGGCCGAGGGAGCCGGCGTACAGCTTCCGGGTCATGTGGCCAGCATGACTAAGCCGCTTCTGGCGAACCAGAGCAGCGCACAGAAACGCCGTTTACCTTCCCGCCGGAGCGGTATCTATTTATCTACTTGCACTTTGACGTGCTTTCGAACTGCGAGGTTGGCAGGAGCAGGGACCGAGCAACGGGAGCTCACCCCGTCCCGGGGATTTGAACCGCCGACCTTCCGATAGGCAATCCCTAGGCTCTGTGGTTTAACCCACAGTGCCACCCGCATCCCTAGAGACTCCTTACATTGCGTTTAAAACCAAAATCGCATTTGGATAGAAACTGTTTCTCAGGCGGCTAGTCCTAGTCTTTATAACCCTGTACCTTCTTCCAGAAGGCAGAAGCTGAAAGAGATCATTTCCGGGGTGCGCACTATCCTGCGCTATCTCTGCAGCTTTCTTATAGCACCTGGAAGCATAGATTTGATCCAAGGTGGGAAGAGTGCACCCAATTATTGCACTCTTTGCTTTCAGAGTTCGCCAGTGTCCATTCTTGCTCAAATTTGTTCAAATTCTTTCCCACTTTGTTGACCCCCAAGAACATAAGAAAAACCCTGCTAGATCCAATGCCCTGTTCTGAAAGCGGCCAAACAGATGCTGTGGAGAACCTGGAAGCAGGATCCGAGCACCAGAGCCCTCCCTTCCTGCAGTTTCCAGGAACTGGGATTCAGAAGTGGAGGCAGAGCCATTGTGGCTGGTAGCCACTGATACCTCCATGAGCTCCGTTGGAAGTTGTTGTAAACAGTCGGCCAAATGGTGTTAAAAAAGGATAGAACTTTCTTTATGTATGCAACAACAGCAGCAAGAATACTCATCGCAAAGTACTGGAAGACACAAGAACTTCCCACGCTGGAGGAATGGCAGATGAAACTGATGGACTATATGGAACTGGCGGAAATGACTGGCAGAATCCATGACCAGGGAGAAGAGTCGGTGGAGGAAGATTGGAAGAAATTCAAAGATTATCTACAGAAACACTGCAAAATTAATGAATGTTAGAGTGATGTTGGATTGAAAATAAGTGGTTTCCAGCTGTACAGGATAAAGTTATAGATAGATTAAGATTAAAGATTAGGATGAAAGAAGTTTAAGTTTAAGGAAATGGAAATTTGGTACTTAAGAGGTAAAATTTTAACATTATATTACAGTGAGATTAAAGATTAGGATTAAAGAAGTCCAAGGAAATGGAAATTTGGTACTTAAGAGGTAAAATTTTGATGTTATATTATATTAAGATTAAAGACTGGGATTAAAAAGTGGAAAAGAAATTGCTGGACAAACAATTTAGACTGGAATACAAAAGAGGGAGGTATGAGGAAGTCCAGAAAATAAGTAATTTAAAAACGGAAATGAAAAAGTGATATTGTTTTTAATTGTTCTGTTTTTTTTCCTGCTTTTTGGTTTTTTTGTGTTTTTCTTTCTTTTTTTGGATTATGTATTGTGTATTGTGTATTTGTGTATTTCTTTTTTATGTCTTTCTGTCTAACTTTTTATTGAAACCTTAATAAAAATCGTTTATTAAAAAAAAAAAAGGAAGTTGTTGTAAACAAAATCTGCCCTTCTTCCCTTATGGGGTATCCAAGAGCCCATATAGAGTCCTTACGTAGGTTCCCTATTGGTAGGAGAAAATAACAGAGGCCAACCAGAGAATATTGAGAAGCAAAGCAGCTCGTAAGCCTGATCTTTATTGAACTGTTGCAATAGGGTGCTCCCCTCACCTGCAGGAAAGGAGGAGGACCCCAAACAAAGGTGTACCTGCCCTTATATAGAAATTTTAAATTGCCCGCCCTGGAGCTCCAGACCACCCCTCCATACATCATACATACATCACAGAAGGGGTGTAACCCAAGACCACCACCCCCAAGATACATCATACCTACATCACAGAAAAGGCGGTCTACAGCAGAAATCTGAGTGCGTTGTTTATCTCATTTGACAGGTTTGCCTGTTAATGCTCACTTGATTGGATACCTTGGGGAGCCTGGCCAGTCTTTTGTAATGATAAATACTTAGTACCTGAGCCAGTTCACAGGCTCACCCTATTCAAACACAGACAGACATATCCTTAAGACAGGATTTGTGAAGGAAAAGACAATGGGGAGGCTTCTCCATTTTCCTTGCAGAGAAAACATTTGGTCGGTTTGGGAATCAAAAATGGTTTCAGGTCGGTGTTCCTGTGCTGATCTATGTACATGCTCGGTTGGTACATTTATGAACATTTATTATATATCTAAGACTTTAAAATCACAAAGTCCATGCATTTAGGTATTACGAGAGAGGAAGAAAACCTTCTCTCCACCCACTCTCTGCATGCCACACACCATTTCAGGTACGTCTAACATTTTGCCTCTTCCTCGCCTTTTCTCTAAACTGAAACCTCCCAAACGCTGCAGCCTTTGTCTGCGGGGGAGCCTCTGCCTCGCCAGGATCATGGCTGCCCTTCTACGAACTTTCCCCAGCATCCTTTTTGAGCGGAGGCACCCAGAACGGTCCACAGAACTCCAAACGCAGTTGCACCAACGATTCGTATCACAGCATACTAATACGAGAAGTCTTGTTTTCAATTCCTTCCTAATGGCACCTAGCACCAAATTCGGGTTTTTCACATGATATAACCACTCTGAAACCATCACAAGTGCAAATCGTCGTGAATGCACCACAAAAGGATGTCCAGAAGGACCCTAGGAGCCTATCCTCAAGATGCTGCTAACTGGCAGCTCCCCAAGCCCAGCCCTTGGGGGTTTGTTTGCTAGTAACAAGAAACTACACTCGACCTTAGCCCAAAGGCCAAGAAATCAAGATGTACAGTGGTACCTCTGGTTGTGAACGGGATCCGTTCCGGAGGCCCGTTCGCAACATGAGCAGAACGAACCCCACGTCTGCGCAGGTCGCGTTTCGCCACTTCTGCGCATGCACATGACGCCATTTTGCGCATCTGCGCATGTGCGAGCGGCAAAACCCGAAAAGAACCCTTTCTGGTACTTCTGGGTCGCCGCGGGACGCAACCTGAAAACGCGCAACCTGAAGCAAACGTAACATGAGGCATGACTGTACAGTGGTACCTCGGGTTACATACGCTCCAGGTTACAGACTCCGCTAACCCAGAAAGAGTACCTCGGGTTAAGAACTTTGCTTCAGGATGAGAACAGAAACTGTGCTCCGGTGGCACGGCAGCAGCGGGAGGCCCCATTAGCTAAAGTGGTGCTTCAGGTTAAGAAGTTTCAGGTTAAGAACGGACCTCCAGAACAAATTACCGTATTTTTTGCTCTATAAGACTCACTTTTTCCCTCCTAAAAAGTAAGGGGAAATGTGTCTGCGTCTTATGGAGCGAATGCAAGCTGTGCAGCTATCCCAGAAGCCAGAACAGCAACAGGGATTGCTGCTTTCACTGCGCAGCGATCCCTCTTGCTGTTCTGGCTTCTGAGATTCAGAATATTATTTTTTCTTGTTTTCCTCCTCCAAAAACTAGATGCGTCTTATGGTCTGGTGCGTCTTATAGAGCGAAAAGTACGGTAAGTACTTAACCCGAGGTACCACTGTACAGGCTAAAGCTCCTCTGTTGACTGGCAAGGCTGATCTTACACCTGAATTGTGGAGTGTAACATAAGCAGTCAAGTACAGCACTTCCCGTTTGCCCAGAGTGGACACACAAGGGGATGTTACTCCAGCCAGGAGGACTTCCTGTCACACCTGGTCTGGAGTGACCAGGTAGATGGGCGGGGCCCTGGGAGACCTCATAAAAGGGCTGGTCACGCAGCCAGGAGCACATGGGCTCATTTCCCTACATGGGATGAACCGACTCTCTCCTCTGTAATTCCAAGCTAAAGGCTGCCTTCAGGGAACCTACTGTGAACTGAATGCGAGTAAACTTCTTATCGTTACTTTTAAAAGAGGACTGTAGCGTCTTTTTTCTTTTTGAGCGGGATAAGAGGGGAATTTAGCAGGAACAAACCCAATCTCAGGGGTCAGCAAACTTTTTCAGCAGGGAGCCGGTCCACTGTCCCTTAGACCTTGTGGGGGACCGAACTATATTTTGAAAGGAAAAAAATGAACGAATTCCTATGCCCCACAAATAACCCAGAGATGCATTTTAAATAAAAGGGCACATTCTACTGATATAAAAACACACTTATTCCTGGACCGTCTGCGGGCCGGATTGAGAAGGTGATTGGGCCGGATCCAGCCCCCAGGCCTTAGTTTGGCTACCCATGCCCAATCTGGACAAAGCCAGATTGGATGGCTTAAGTAAAGAGATTCAAACGAATCTACCAACTAGCTTCCTACTAAGCACTCTGCTACTGCCTAGTGTGAGTGAGGAAGGATAATATTTAATCAATATATCCTCCCCTGCTATCCACAACGTTACCACATTAATAACCGTTGATATATACTATTGTACTGTGTAAGGACTGCAAGAAAGCTGTGTTTGAGTAATACGAATGCCTTCCTAGGCACCAGCCTTCGGTTGGGAAATCAACCTCACGGCACTGAATAAACCTCCGTCCCTTTCCACTTTATTTACTCTCCCCGGTCGCTACATCAACACGATGATGCCATCGCCTGTCAGCCCCTGCTTTAAAAATAGATGCCGCTGACAGGGACAGCCGACGGTCCCCAGGCTCGTAAAAAAATAATATTAAAATGAAATGATGCCTCAAAAACAATATTTTTCACACTCACAGGAGCAAGCAGGTCTTAATGAGCCCCCCGCAGGGAGGCGATAATTTGCCTCCCTGGTCAAATAGCGTGACAGGATTTTGGACGGGCTCCTGAACCGAGATCGGGTGGCCCTGAACACACGCCAAAAAAACGCTATGACGAGATGTGCACCTAGGGCCACTTTCAGATGACCTGAGACAAACTTGACCAAACGACAGCGGGGAAACATATTCTCCAATGTTTCTCTGGTGAAAATAGGAAAGTCCTATTGAATTCTGGTGCTGGAGGAGACTCTTGAGAGTCCCATGGACTGCAAGAAGATCCAACCTCTCCATTCTTAGGGAAATCAGCCCTGAGTGCTCACTGGAAGGACAGATCCTGAAGCTGAGGCTCCAATACTTTGGCCACCTCATGAGAAGAGAAGACCCTGGAAAAGACCCTGATGTTGGGAAAGATGGAGGGCACAAGGAGAAGGGGACAACAGAGGACGAGATGGTTGGACAGTGTTCTCGAAGCTACCAGCATGAGTTTGACCAAACTGCGGGAGGCAGTGGAAGACGGGAGTGCCTGGCGTGCTCTGGTCCAGGGGGGTCACGAAGAGTTGGACACGACTAAACGACTCAACAACAACAACAACATTCAACAACAACCACAATAATATTAGTAATATTTACACCCTTCCCACCTGACTGGGTTGCCCCAGACACTCTGGGCGGCTTCTGACATACATAAAAACATAATGAAACAATACAGTGGTACCTCGGGTTACAGATGCTTCAGGTTACAGACTCCACTAACCCAGAAATAGGACCTCGAGTTAAGAACTTTGCTTCAGGATGAGAACAGAAATTGTGCAGCAGCGGCGCAATAGCAGTGGGAGGCCCCATTAGCTAAAGTGGTACCTCAGGTTAAGAACAGTTTCAGGTTAAGAACGGACCTCCTGAACAAATTAAGTTCTTAACCCGAGGTACCACTGTATTAAAAAACTTCCCTATACAGTGGACGCTTGGGTTGTGAACGTGATCCGTGCAGGAGGCACGTTCGCAACCCAAAGCGCTGCGTCTGCGCACATGCGGGTTGTGATTCGGCGCTTCTGCGCATGTGCAAAGCGCGATTTAGCATTTCTGCACACATATGAGCACCGAAACCTGGAAGTAACCCGTTCCAGTACGTCCGGGTTTGGAGCGGTGCGCAACCCAAAAACGCTCAACCTGAAGCATCTGTAACCCGAGGTACGACTGTACAGGACTTCCTTCAGATGTCTTCTGAAGGTTGAATACAGTGGTACCTCGGGTTAAGTACTTAATTCGTTCTGGAGGTCCGTTCTTAACCTGAAACTGTTCTTAACCTGAAGCACCACTTTAGCTAACGGGACCTCCCGCTGTTGCCGCGCTGCCGGAGCACGATTTCTGTTCTCATTCTGAAGCAAAGTTCTTATCCTGAAGCACTATTTCTGGGTTAGCGGAGTCTGTAACCTGAAGCGTATGTAACCTGAGGTACCACTGTAGTTTCTTATCTCCTTGGCTCAGAGGTCAGATAACTCCACATCATTTCTCTGAAGAGAGAGCGAAATAACAGAAAGGAGATTCCAACTCAAGACCCGGAAGAACTTTCTGACAGTAAGAGCTGTTTGGAACAATGACAAGAGAAGCTGATGAACTATGCAGAACTGGCAAAAACGACAGACAGACTAAGAGAAAAAGACAAGAGTGGCTTTGAAAAAGAACGGGAACCATTTATATTATACTTGCAGAAACAAAGAAGGTCTATAGACTGGATGGCAGGATTTAAATAAACATTCACATTATTAGTATTAGAAAATGTGTGGAAGATAGAGAAATAATATGATGTATTCATTGTTATAGTTATGTTTTTAGGTTTGATGTTATTGTAGAAATATGTTATTAGTAGCCTTTTCTTTTAGGAGACAGCAAAGTGGGTGAAAGCAGAAACAAACCGGAAGTGGAAGGAAGGAATGCATAGTAAACGTTATGAATATGAGATGTATGTAATGAATGAAAAAGAAAATGAATAATTATTTTTTTTTAAAAAAAGACAGTGGAATGGACTCCCTCGGGAAGTGGTGGACTCTCCTTCCTTAGAGGTTGGGTGGCCATTTGTCAGGGGTATTCTAGTTGAGATTTCTGCATCGCAGGGGGTTGGTTTGGATGACCCCTGGGGTCCCTCGCAACTCTGCAACTCCATGATTACACAAAATGATATTGTCTGAAGCATATGGGATGCTGTAAAAAGCAGAGACATCACCTTGCCAACAAAGGTCCATATAGTTAAAGTTGTGGTTTTCCCAGTAGTGATGTATGGAAGTGAGAGCTGGACCATAAAGAAGGCTGATCGCAGAAGAATTGATGCTTTTGAATTCTGGTGCTGGAGGAGACTCTTGAGAGTCCCATGGACTGCAAGAAGATCAAACCTCTCCATTCTGAAGGAAATCAGTCCTGAGTGCTCACTGGAAGGACAGATCCTGAAGCTGAGGCTCCAATACTTTGGCCACCTCATGAGAAGAGAAGACCCTGGAAAAGACCCTGATGTTGGGAAAGATGGAGGGCACAAGGAGAAGGGGACGACAGAGGACGAGATGGTTGGACAGTGTTCTCGAAGATACCAACATGAGTTTGACCAAACTGCGGGAGGCAGTGGAAGACAGGAGTGCCTGGCGTGCTCTGGTCCAGGGGGTCACGAAGAGTCGGACACGACTAAACGACTAAACAACAACAACAAGGCTTTAGACACGATGCTTGCTGCCCCACAGGCCTTCTCTGCTTTCCTAGTCACACAGACACCCCACCCCAAGGCTACTGCCCAGTCTGCCCCACTGAATCGGGCCAAGACACACACAAACGTCTTTCAGCTGTCAGGCGGAGTAATTTGTTAGCGCCTGCAGCAAACATGGCAAAAGAGGCTTCACTCGGAGCAAACTCCCTTGCCAGATTCAAAGCCTCATTGTGGGGCGCCCTCCCTCGCTTCCCCCCGAGACGACAAAAGCCTTTGGTTAGCGAGGGAGCGCGGCTCGGCGGCTTATGAAGGGGGCTTTATTTGAAAGAGGGGAAAGCCGCAGGAAGGCAGCCAAAACACATCAGTCTTCTTTTTTATATATATAAATATAATTACAAAAAATAAAAATTAATACAGGCCTCTAACAACCTGCACTCCCCTCCTTGTCCGTCCCCCCCAACCGTACGGTTTCGGCAAAAAACACATTTTCTCGCAATAAAAAAAGAGATGGGGGTTATTTGTTTTGGTTAGAACCACGTATAAAAAGGGATATCCAAAACAGATCATGCCTGAGGGGGTGTCAGAAGATCAGCTAGCCCGGCCGGTGCTGGTGCAAGTCGTCGCACAACATTTATTGTGGCCGAGGGGCGGGGAAGGCTGGAGGAGTCCGATACCCAGGAAACAAGACGCTTTCTTCATTTTAGGGGGCTGTGATTCACACGACAAGTTTTGGGGAGTCAGGAGCGAGCCAGCAGTGGTGTAGCGTGGGGGGTGCAGTGGGTGCCGGCCGCACCGGGCGCAACATCTGGGGGGGGGGGCGCTCGCACTCGCAGCTCTCTGCCCCTACCTGGCTCACTCACTCTCTCTCACTGCAGTGCTGGCTGTGCGAATCCGATCGGAGCCGCTGGGTCGCCGCCCACTGTGGAGGGGGTGGGTGCCAGGCGTGCGGTGCGGAGAGAGAGCGAGGGACTATCTGGGGGAGGGACAGTGCAGCGGCCGCCCAGCGCAGCGCGGAGCGCGGGAGAGAACCACACCAGACCAGACCAGGCAGCAGCAAGAAGAAGCTGGCAGCGGCGGCAGGTTAGGGGTTAGGGGGCGTAAATTACTTGCCTTGACCCGGGTTAGGGGGTGCAAATTACTTGCCTTGCCCCGGGTTAGGGGGCGCAAATTACTTGCCTTGCCCCGGGTGCTGACAACCCACACTACGCCGCTGCGAGCCAGCAATAAATCACACTGAGCAAGTTGGTGTTAACTCTTTATTAGCAAGAACACGATCTGCACAGACTTGGTGGAGTGTCGGGCCTAATGGACAGCTCTCCCTGCTAGGTCTCACCCCATGGATCAGTTGCTGAGACTGAAAATCCCTGCCACCCCACAGCTGCTTAAGTCTCCTCCTCTCCAGAGCTTTCCCCAAGCAATCGGAGACTGCGCCTGCCTGCATCCAACCACCCCTCTGCCCTTTTCATGCCTCTTCTGGTTCTGGGAGACAAGGAGGGAAGGGAGCTTGTTGCAGCATGAGGGGAAGACAGCTGTGTCTCTTCACCAACTGGACTCATCTCTGCCTCTTGACATCCCTCCTTTCCTGCTTCAGTTTCTGCCTCTTAATTCTGGACTTCTCTCTGCCACAGACTCTCCCTGCTCACTACACCATGTTAAAGGTAAAGGGACCCCTGACCATTAGGTCCAGTCGTGGCCGACTCTGGGGTTGCGGCGCTCATCTCGCTTTATTGGCCGAGGGAGCCAGCGTACAGCTTCTGGATCATGTGGCCAGCATGACTAAGCCACTTCTGGTGAACCAGAGCAGCGCACAGAAACGCCGTTTACCTTCCAGCCAGAGTGGTATCTATTTATCTACTTGCACTTTGACGTGCTTTTGAACTGCTAGTTTGGCAGGAGCAGGGACCAAGCAACGGGAGCTCACCCCGTCGTGGGGATTCGAACCGCCAAGCTTCTGATCGGCAAGTCCTAGGCTCTGTGGTTTAACCCACAGCGCCACCCGCGTCCCTACACCATGTTACCCTTTCATTATTATAATTTTTTATTAGTTTTTTTAACATATCATTTTCAACAGTAATTAAACATACTTTTACATCTTATTCAGATTTTTGACTTCCATCAATCCTGTCTGAAAATTTTTCAATCTAATCTCTCAGTATGCATTTCTTATCTTCCCTATTACATTTCAAACTCATAACCAATATCTCTATCTTTTTCTACTTTATAACACTTCGTATATCTCTCCTTACAAAACTTCTTGTAGTTCTACTAGCGTAATTTGTTGATTACAGTTGCTCTTCAAATAATTCATATACTTCTTCCAATCTTCTGTAAATCTCTGGTCCTGCAGGTTTCGAATCCTTCCTGTCATTTTGTCCAATTCTGCACAGTCCATTAATTTTGTCTGCCATTCTTCTTTCGTCGTAATTTCTTCTTGTTTTCATTTCTGGGCTAACAACACTCTTGCCACAGTTGTTGCATATAAAAACAATTTAACATTTGCCTATTAATGTCCTGACCTATAATACCAAGTAAAAATGTTTCTGGTTTTTAAAAAACATCTTTTTCAGCTCATTATATATCATTTCCCAGAAGTTTTTCCTTTTTTACATTCCCACCACATATGATAAAATGTTCCTTCTTTTTCTTTACATTTCCAACATTTATTATTTGTCTTATACCTTTTAGCTAATTTCACTGGTGTAATACACCATCTATACATCATTTTCATCATATTCTCTTTCAAAGCATTACGCCATGTTACCCTTTCAGCTTCCGACAGCTCCTCTCCCCAGTCTTCCCCCTCTGACCATTCCTGATCATCCCACCACCACTCCCCGGGCTCTCAGCCTTCTTCCCTCAGTGGTTCCTCAGCTGGTTCCCCAGTTGCACCCAGCCAGTCCACTACAGAGTCTCTCCTAGTCAACCTAAAGATCCTGGAGATCTGACCAGATGCTTGGAAGCTGTGTCCGGATGGTTTCATGGGAGCCGATTGAAACTAAATCCTTCGAAGACAGAGGTCCTATGGCTGGGTCGGGATGGCATGGAGATGAAGGACCAACTCCCTTCTCTTGCGGGGGCCCAATTAGTGCCATTGCCTTCCATTAAGAGTTTGGGTGTAATCCTTGACGCCTCCCTTTCCATGGAGGCGCAGGTTACAGCAACAGCCAAGGTGACATTTTTCCACCTTCGCCGCATCAAGCAGTTGGTCCCTGACCTTTCCCGCCCCGACCTGGCCACAGTGATCCATGCGACAGTCACCTCCAGGCTTGACTACTGTAATTCGCTCTACGCGGGGCTGCCCTTGAAGCTGTCCCAGAAACTCCAGCGGGTGCAGAATGCTGCAGCGAGGCTCCTCACAGGGTCTCTGCCATGGGAGCATATTCACCCAGTGCTTTTCCAGCTGCATTGGCTCCCGGTGGAGTACAGGGTCTGGTTCAAGGTGCTGGTTTTGACCTTTAAAGCCCTTCACAGCCTAGGACCATCGTACCTACGGGACCGCCTCTCCCGGTATGCCCCACGGAGGACCTTAAGGTCCATAAATAGCAACACCCTAGAGGTCCCGGGCCCTAAGGAAGTCAGATTAGCCTCAACCAGAGGCAGGGCCTTTTCAACACTGGCCCCAGCCTGGTGGAACGCTCTGTCTCATGAGACCAGGGCCCTGCAGGATCTGATTTCTTTCCGCAGGGCCTGTAAGACAGAGTTGTTCCACCTGGCCTTTGGCTTGGAATCAGTTTGATTCCCTCCCCCTCTTTCTTTTTCCTTTCTCCTCCTGTGAAGAGGCTGCATCCTGTTTTAATGTTGTATTTTAATCTTGTTTTTAAATTGTATTTTAATCAATTTGTTTTTATTATTGGTTGTTAGCTGCCCTGAGCCCGGTCTTCTTCTTCTTCTTCTTCTTCTTCTTCTTCTTCTTAACTTTCATGCTCAAATGCAGAAGTTGGTACTGCAACATCTGGAGCAAGACTCCATCCACCCATCTCATTTTATCTCAGTTTCTCGTTTTTCCAGTCACTTCTCCACATTTCCACAACATTTTAAGGCTTTCTTTAAAAATCTCATGAAAATCCGCCAGCATTTTAGTGTGAATTTCCCCCCCAACACGTGTTTTTCTACGCAGTTTTACTAAGTGGACACCTTTCTCCAGAGCAATTTTTCCCAAGGGTAATGCAAAGTTGTGTCCTATTTTCCAGTAATGTGTGCATTTCTATGCACACTTTACTCTAACAAATGCTCCCTCCCTCTTTTTTGACACACAATCTGCCTAGACGCAGGGGACGGCAAACTTTTTCAGAATGGGGCCGGTCCACTGTCCCTCAGACCTTGTGGGGGGCCGGACTATATTTTGAAGGAGGAAAAATGAACAAATTCCTACGCCCCACAAATAACCCAGAGATGTGTTTTAAATAAAAGGACACATTCTACTCATGTAAAAACATGCCGATTCTCAGACTGTCCGTGGGCCGGATTTAGAAGGCGATTGGGCCGGATCCGGCCCACAGGCCTTAGTTTGCCTACGCAGCCTTTCTCAAATTATGGTTCCCCAGATGTTGTTGAACTACAACTCCCATCACCCCTAGCTAGCAAGGCCAGAGCTCAGGGATGATGGGAGTTGTAGTCCAACAACATCTGGGGACCCAGCTAGAGGACTGAACTGCAAACCTTGGAGAAGGGTGAATTTCAGAGAGAGGCCTGCGTTTCGCTTTTCGCATTGTTTCGGAGCACGCAGGTTAGCTTCCGGTTCAGGTTCAGGTGCGAAAAGGATCAAATTTCTTCCCCACCCCTCACCCCCAAAGCTAAGTAGTGTCCAACTCAGTCCTGAAGAACGAAACTTCCCACAGCAACAGTGCCAAGTAGCAGAAATCAGTGGGTAGCTTGCGTCCTCCCCCCCCCTCCCACAACACAGGTGTGCAACCCTTAGGCGCTCTCCGCTTCCTCTGATGATGGGAACTTGGAACGAAAAACCAGCTCTCTTTTAGACGTGTCCTTACACCTCCCTCTCTGCTCCTTTTCTATTTCATTTTTTGGCTGCCTGGGGTTTGCTGCTTTTTAAAAAAATATATTTACGAAGGATTTGGCTGAGCTGCCAAATTCCTACATGAAATTGTCTGCCTAAAGAAACTCTCTTCCCCCACAAAAGGGAGCTCAAGTCTGGAAACGAACAGGAGGAATTCCTGGTGCAGTCGAGAGGCCGCAAATAGCCAAACTTCTTTATTACTTTTCCGTTTGTGCTTACCTGAAGGAGCCTCTCCACTCCCATCGTTCAGCCCGGACACTGAGGTCCAGCGCCGAGGACCTTCTGGTGGTTCCCTCACTGCGAGAAACCAAGTTACAGGGAACCAGGCAGAGGGCCTTCTCTGTGGTGGCTCCCTCACTGTGGAACGCCCTCCCACCAGATGTCAAAGAGAACAACAACTACCAGGCTTTTAGAAAACATCTGAAGGCAGCCCTGTTTAGGGAAACTTTTAATGTTTAACAGACTACTGTATTTTAATACTTTGTTGGAAGCCGCCCAGAGTGGCTGGGGAAACCCAGCCAGATGGGCGGTGTATAAATAAATTATTATTATTATTATTATTATTATTATTATTATTACTACAACAAAACAATCCTAAAAGAATGGCATCGGCGCGACGAGATCGCTTCTGAAATTGCTTCTGAATTGCAACTGCTGGAGAGAGGGCTTTGTGCGTGGGATCCTTTAGGGAAGGAATTTTGGGGCAGAAGACCAGGGTCGCATTTGGCTGAACTGGCAGCATACACCTCCACACAAAAAAACATGGGTTTCCAAATTGTACGCATTACTGTCTGAACAGGAGACCTCGAATAGGATAGCTCAGTCCACAGTTTTGACATTGCCTGTCAAAAACTGAACAGATTCTTCAAGCTAGCAAAGCCAGCGGTCACGGATGATGGGAGTTGTAGTCCTGCGATATGTAGAGAGCAAACACAATGGGTAAACCTGCCTTAAAAGATAATAATAATAATAATAATAATAATAATTTATTTGTACCCCGCCCATAGGGACACGGGTGGCGCTGTGGGTTAAACCACAGAGCCTAGGACTTGCCAATCAGAAGGTCGGCGGTTCGAATCCCCGTGACGGGGTGAGCTACCGTTGCTCGGTCCCTGCTCCTGCCCACCTAGCAGTTTGAAAGCACGTCAAAGTGCAAGTAGATAAATAGGTACCACTCCGGCGGGAAGGTAAATGGCGTTTCCGTGCGCTGCTCTGGTTCGCCAGAAGCAGCTTAGTCATGCTGGCCACATGACCCAGAAGCTGTACGCCGGCTCCCTCGGCCAATAAAGCGAGATGAGCGCCGCAACCCCAGAGTTGGCCACGACTGGACCTAACGGTCAGGGGACCCTTTACCTTTACTTTACCCCGCCCATCTGGCTGGGTTTCCCCAGCCATTCTGGGCGGCTTCCAACAAAAGACCAAGCATACACTAAGATGTCACACATTAAAAACTTCCCTGAACAGGGCTGCCTTCAGATGTCTTCTGAATGTCAGGTAGTTGTTTATCTCCTTGACATCTGGTGGGAGGGCGTTCCACAGGGCGGGCGCCACCACCAAGAAGGCCCTCTGCCTGGTTCCCTGTAACTTTGCTTCTCGCAACGAGGGAACTGCCAGAAGGCCCTCGGCACTGGACCTCAGTGTCCGGGCAGAATGATGGAGGTGGAGACGCTCCTTCAAATATTCTGGGCCGAGGCCATTTAGGGCTTTAAAGATCAACACTTTGAATTGTGCTCGGAAACGTAAAAGTAGGGACTCGCGTGCCCTATGCACTTACAGCTGTCTCATATCACTGAATCTCAACTGCGATGCTACTTACACTGAGACTGGGAGTGGGAGTTTAAGTTGGTAGAGCATGAGACTTTTAACCTCAAAGTCCCACATGTCAGGGACTGGCTGGATGCAGAGGAGCGATGGGAGGAGTTGGCTGTGGAGCCTCCAGGGGAAGAAGGCTCAGAGACCATGGAGTGATGGTGGGACAATTACAGGTCAGAAGAGGGAGTAGCCTGGAAATAGGAGGTGTCAGAAGCTGAGAAGGTACCGTATTTTTCACTCTATAAGATGCACCAGACCACAAGACGCACCTAGTTTTCGGAGGAGGAAAACAAGAAAAAATATATTCTGAATCTCAGAAGCCAGAACAGCAATAGGGATCGCAGCGCAGTGAAAGCAGCAATCCCTCTTGCTGTTCTGGCTTCTGGGATAGCTGTGCAGCCTGCATTCGCTTCACAAGACACACACACATTTCCCCTTACTTTTTAGGAGGGAAAAAGTGAGTCTTATAGAGCAAAAAATACGGTAACAGGTTGCCATATGTCTGGACATATCTGGATTACTGCAGCCGCAAGCAGCATCTGAGCGGAATTCGGGGAAATGTCCAGGAAAATCTGGACGTATGGCAGCAGTGTCGTTTTGGACAATTGTTTCCGTCTGAATTTTCACTTTTTGAAATATGGCAACCCTACTGGTGTCAATTAAAAGGTGACAGACCGAGGTGGCACCGAGGAACGAATATTCCGAAGAGTCTCACTGGCTGTAGCTGAGTGATGTTGGGTATAAAAATGGCCTGAGGGATAGCTCAGTTGGTAGAACATGAGACTCTTAAACTCAGGGTCTGGGGTTTGAGCCCCATGTGGAGAAAAATATTCTGGCATCGCAGGGGGTTGGACTAGATGATCCTTGCGGTCCCTTCCAACTCTGCAATTCTATGATTAAGGTAAAGGTAAAGGTACCCCTGACCGTTAGGTCCAGTCACAGACGACTCTGGGGTTGCAGCACTCATCTCGCTTTACTGGCCGAGGGAGCCGGCGTACAGCTTCCAGGTCATGTGGCCAGCATGACTAAGCCACTTCTGGCGAACCAGAGCAGCGCATGGAAACGCCGTTTACTTTCCTGCTAGAGTTGTACCTATTTATCTACTTGCACTGGTGTGCTTTCGAACTGCTAGGTTGGCAGGAGCAGGGACCGAGCAACAGGAGCTCACCCGGTCACAGGGATTCGAACCACGACCTTTTGATCGGCAAGCCCAAGGCTCAGTGGTTTAGACCACAGCGCCACCCATGTCCCATATTCTATGATTATGTATACACAAATCACAGCTGAATTAAAAGGGGGGTTATAACTGGAACTTTTTGTGTATGCAAAGGTCAGTAGAGGTTGTTGTCATCAGTAGAAGTAGTAGTAGTAGTAGTAGTGTTGTTTAGTCGTTTAGTTGTGTCCAACTCTTCGCGACCCCCTGGACCAGAGTACGCCAGGCCCTCCTGTCTTCCACTGCCTCCCGCAGTTTGGTCAAACTCATGCTGGCAGCTTCAAGAACACTGTCCAACCATCTCGTCCTCTGTCGTCCCCTTCTCCTTGTGCCCTCCATCTTTCCCAACATCAGGGTCTTTTCCAGGGAGTCTTCTCTTCTCATGAGGTGGCCAAAGTACTGGAGTTGCAGCTTCACAATCTGTCCTTCCAGTGAGCACTCAGGGCTGATTTCCTTCAGAATGGAGAGGTTTGATCTTCTTGCATTCCATGGGACTCTCAAGAGTCTCCTCCGGCACCATAATTCAAAAGCATCCATTCTTCGGCGATCAGCCTTCTTTGTGGTCCAGCTCTCACTTCCATACATCACTACTGGGAAAACCACAGCCTTAACTATACAGAAGTAGTAGCAGTCTACTCCCAAGGAGCTCAAGTAGGCTTACCTGCTTCTCCCCTCCAGACTTTATCCTCACAACAACCCTGTGAGCAGGGAGAGTCTGTGGCAGAGAGAAGTCCAGAAACAGGAGGAGGGAGGCCAAGAGGCAGAGATGAGTAAAAAGTAATGGGTGTCTCCCCCTCCTGCTGCGTCAAGCTCCTCTCCCCACTTGTCTCCCAGTACCAGGAGAGGCATGAAAAGAGCAGAGGGGAGGTTGGATGCAGGCAGGCGCAGTCTCTGATTGCTTGGGGGGAAATCCTGGAGAGGAGGGGACTTCAGCAGCTGTGGGGAGAGGCAGGGACCTTCAGTCTCAGCAACTGCTTCATGGAAGCAAGACCGGCCGGAGATCAGTTACTGTGCTCCTTGGGACTGACCTTCCTGTGTTTGCTAGTAAAGAGTTAACTCCAGGTCACTCGCTGTGATTTATTGCTGGCTCGCTTCTGTCACAGATGCCCCAATGGGAAGAACGACAACAGCATCCGAGCTCAACACTGCTTTCTTTTTTTTTATTCAAAATTATAACAGGACATATTATGCAAAAACACATCATCCTTGTTTCCCCCCACATTTTTCCTCCCTCCCCCCTCCCACACAAAACCCACCCACCCCCCGACTTCCCTCAGTTCCAGTCTTTGATTTTTCTAAAAATGCTGTTTTCTGCATGTTACAAAGTTGTATAGATCCTCAAACTATTTAGCTGATTATTATCAATAAAAAGTTTGTCAATGTTTATTCAAACCCAGCCAAGGAGTCCAGTTCGCTTTGTTGCGTCTTCAGATACTTTGTAAAGGGTTCCCATTCATCCTTAAAGCCACAGTTATCCTTGTCCCGTAGCTTATATGTCAGTTTTGCCAGTTCTGCATAGTCCGTCAATTTTTCTTGCCATGATTCCTTAGTTGGGGTTTCTTCAGTCTTCCATCCTTGTGCAACCAGAACTCTCGCGGCCGTTGTCGCATACACGAAGATGCTTTTCAACTTTTTTGGCAGGTCTTTCCCTACAATCCCCAACAAAAATGCCCCGGATTTTTTAAACAAATGTTAAATGGAACATTTTCTTCAATTCGTTGTATATCATTTCCCAATTTTTTAAAATTACCTTACACTGCTTTCCCTACTTCTGAATCCCCAGCAGCTGGTATTCAGAGGTCTTCCCTGACACTCCCCACCGGGCAAAAGAGGACCATTGCGCCGCCAGGGTTCTCCTCTACATCCCCACCAGGGTGCTGTGGAAGATGCAGCCACCACTGGTCTCCTTGGTCCGGGAGCCGTTCCAAATCCAGACTCGTCCTCTCGGGCCAACCGTGTGTCCTCCTGGCTCAGGAATAGGTCACGCTTTCACATGCTGTGAAACAGAGGCCGCCAGATGGGGAACGACCGACATCCATATTTAGTTCCCGGTGGTTGCCTGCAGGAGCTAATTTTACTCTGCCCTGGCAGGGCCAAGCCCCTCGGGGACTGATGTCATCCCCTCTCCAGGGACTTAAAAAAAGATCAGTATTAGTCAGCTGGAAAGCCAGCCAGCACGACCCACAGATCGATAGCCCTCTCGTCCCCGCACCTCGCTCGGACGTGACAGGTGGAGGGTTGGGAAGAGATAACATCTCGGGGCCTGCACAGGGCGGGTCGATTTAATGGGAATCACCCCAACCCAAATTTTAAAGGAGGGGGACTTCTGGATCAGTTCCTGGCTCGTGTCTCCGGGGTGGAGATGAGGCATACGACTTGGGCACTTGGTCTGCAGGAGAGCAGCAAGGGGCTGTAAACTAATCTCCAAAAAGCCATTCTGCCTGGGAGCCTCTCTCCTCTGCCTGCTCGAACAGGGTTGGACGGTGCCCACGTTCGCACCTTGCTTTGAAAGCACTGCGACTTTAAACAGTAGCAGCCTCCCCCCAAATAATTTTGGGAGTTGTAGTTTGGCAAGGGCGCCCAGAGTTGCCCCTTCCCGCTCCCCTCGCAGAGCTACAATTCTCTGGGAAGACAGAATGGCTGTTAAACCGCTCTGGGAATTGTAGTTCTGGGAGGGCAACAGGGGTCTCCTAAGCACTCTCAGCGCCCTTTAAAAAAACTACAGCTCCCAAGATTCTTCAGGAGAAACCGTGACTGTTCAAAGTGCTTTAAATGTACAGTGTATTATGTGACTTTTTTCCGCAGTCTAGGCTCCTCTGAAGGAAGCTGGGTCTGAAGAGAAGCACCTGAAATGTGGTCAGAGGAGCAAAAATCTGTTCCCCACCCACCCACAAAAAAATCATTCAGATATTGTTAATCATCTTCATCAACAGATGCACAACCTTCCGTTTATTGGATTGTCTTTTTTTGTTTTGTTTCGTATTTTGTGGTATTGTCATTTTATTTTGAGATGTACGGGTATAGGGTGGTATACAAATTTACAAAATAATAATAATAATTATTATTATTATTTATTAAATTTGTATACTGCCCCTCATCTGCAGATCTCAGGGCGCTTCACAACCATGAAGGGGGGCGGGTATTTGAATATACACCCCCATCAAGCTTGGCTCTCCTAACGGAAGGGTTGTATGGTGTTGAGAAAGTTGTGGTCCCAGGTGCAATTTGAGTGTTATAGGGGTTGTGGTTCTCCTAAACAAGATGGCTGCCAAGGCTATAGAAACAGAGGACGCTCCCTTACACCGAGTCAGGCCATTGGTCCACCCAGGTCAGTAATGTCCACACTGACTGGTAGCATTTCTTCAAAGTTCCAGGCAGGGGATGTTCCCAGCCCTAACTGGAGACACTGGGGCTCGAACCTGGAACCTTCTGCATGTGAAAAAGGTGCTCCACCAGAGGGAATCAGCCAAACATTCTTCCGGGCCTAGAACAAGTTGTGCGGGGTAGCAAAACCAGCTGGTGGTTGCTAGACAACCATCAAGCGTCCTCTTTCTCGCGCCAAAGACTCAGGAGGCAAATGGGACAATGGCGTCATTTGGGCTTTGTTAAGTTGTGGGTGAACATATCAGACGACACAGCGATTCTTCAAACAGCTCTTGTTTATTCACAGGCCAGAATGGAACCAAAACTTCAATATATAACATTCCTCCCCACCGAGATAAGGCATTAGTTACAATCATAGCGGTTCCATTCCATACAGCAATACCCTTATTGGTTTCCGTAAGGAACATAAGCATATAAATTGACCCTATTCACCATACAGCTTTACATGTGCAGTTTGTCCAGTGAACATAGTCTTTTAAATACACTGGGCGCTTGGAAACCCTGCTGGATCACCGAGGGCCAGTACCAGGGTCCGGGTGGCCTTGCGGATTTCCTGGGCGGAGAGTTCAGCAGCTTCCGAGGCCACGGCCTCCTCAATGGCTTTCTGCAGCGTGAGGTCTGGCTTGGCGAGGAGACGCCGTTGCAGACGGATGTCCCAGACCCCGCAGACGATTCGATCCATCAGGGCATCGTCTAAGTCTCGGAACTCACAGCGCACTGCAGCCTGTCGGAGGGCGGCGGTGTAGTTGTTAATTGACTCCCCCTCTGCCTGGTTCCGGTGGTAAAACGCATGGCGGGCAGCAATCTTGGACGGCTTTGGCGCGTAGTGGTTGCGGAGCTTCTCTTGAATCGTGTCCCACGGTGTTGCCTGGACTGCTACTGGTGCAACCAATGCTCGGGCCGTCTTGAACACCTTAGGCCCACAGAGGTTGAGGAATAGCCCCCGCTTACGCTCCTGTGATACTTCCGTCAGCTCGTTGGCTTGGAGGTAGCAGTCGAACCGAGCGAGGTAGGAGTCCCATGATTCAGAGGCTGGCGCAAACGGCGGTAGAGGCACAAGTGAAGCCATGATTCCGATGCCAGCATGGAGGGCGATGGATGGAACTCAGTGCTCTAGCCAGAACGGTCAGCTCTGAATTGGTTCTGTTCAGTGATTTCGCTCGGTGTTTCAGCTCAGTGATTCCGCTCCGCTCAGAGGGTGGCTGCATCTGGCTGTGCTCCGATGTCCATCCATCCCATCCTTGTTGCCAGTGTTAAGTTGTGGGTGAACATATCAGACGACACAGCGATTCTTCAAACAGCTCTTGTTTATTCACAGGCCAGAACAGAACTGAAACTTCAATACATAACAGGCTTCCTTTGCAGCAAAACTCGACGATTATTAACATTGCGTTATCCTTGATGGAAAGGCAAAAGTGGTGGAGGAGGTCTCCGCTCTCACAAGCTTAGGGTTGTATGCAGAGTAGACCCATTCATTCCAATGGATCTACTCTTGAGTCGGACAGAGCTTAGCCACAACCCTGATAAGCTACATTTCAATGCTGCGGGGAGGAGGAGGAGGCGAGAGAAGGCAGGTGCAAGGCTATAATGGGAAGGATATGCCCAAATGAGTTGAGTGGGCTTTTTCAGAAGGGCGAGAAAGGGTCAAGGAGGAGAGATTCAGAGTGGCATAGTGGGATCTCTGGGTTGTGGGTTCAAGCCCCATGTTGAGCAAAAGATCCCTGCATCGCAGGGGGGCTGGACTTGATGAGCTTCATGGTCCCTTCCGACTCTGCAATTCTATGAAAGGATTAGGAGAGCAGTGGAGAGGCCATAGTGGGTTCTGGGGAGGTGGGACAGAGTTTCGGGCCAAAGGCACATCAGGGAAAATCAAAGTAGAGTGCCTTGCAAGAGCTCAGCTGCTCCGTCAGCTGATACAAGCAGCACGAGCTTTGCAAGAGGTCAGCTGCCCATCCAATAAGGTCAGAACTTTGTAAACAGAGCAGCAGAAGACAACTGCATCAGATTTAAAGTTGTGAATCGGCCTTGGCACATGCAGGAACGAAATGTCACCGTGTCCCTGGCACATGTAAACATGCAAGCGAAGCATGTTGTCTTTGGATGCCCAGATAAACACGGCGAAGCAATAATCATCGTTGCGCTGACTGGCAAATCTTTCCCCGCCACACTGGACTACAACTCCCATCAGCCCCTGCAAGCACAGCCAACGGCCAGGGATGATGGGAACTGTAGTTCGACAACATCTGGAGGACCAGAGATCCCTCACGCTTGCCTAAGAACATGAGAACAGGCCTGCTGAGTCAGGTCAAAGATCCATGAGGACCAGCAACTTGCTCCTCACCTAGCCGAGTGGGTCTCTCTCTCTGTTTTATGTACATTATAAAAAGAAGTAATAGCAGGAAGCAAAAGGGTGCCCCTAGGAAGCTCACCATGTAGGTGTTGAAAGAATACTCCTGCCCCACTGCTTCTCCCTGCAGCCAGCATTTAGTGGTAAACTGCTCCTGACCATGGAGGTTCGATACAGACGTTGTGACCGATAGCCATTGATAAACCATTAGCTGCAAGGTGTGGCCTTAAGGCCACCGGAGGCCCCTCACCTTGCAGGGGCTAAGAAGGCCTAGGCCTGGATAGGTGGCTGTCAGAGGTTCTGTGGTGTAGTGGTTAGAACACTGTACTAGGACCTGGGAGATCAGGGTTCAAATCCACACACAACATAACTATAAGTGCCTCTTCAACGTTTAGGAATGCGGGTATGTTTTTGTCAATGCAGTACTGACGTACAGTGGTGCCTCGCAAGACGAAATTAATCCGTTCCGTGAGTGTCTTCGTCTAGCGGTTTTTTCGTCTTGCGAGGCAACCCTATTAGCGGCTTAGCGCTATTAGCGGTTTAGCGGCTATTAAAGGCTTAGCGGCTTAGCGGCTTAGCTGCTAAAAGGCTATTAAAGGCTTAGCGGCTTAGAAAAAGGGGGGGGGCGGAAAAAAAATCTCAAGACTCGCAAGACATTTTCGTCTTGCGAAGCAAGTCCATAGGGAAATTCGTCCTGCGAAGCAACTCAAAAACGGAAAACCCTTTCGTCTAGCGGGTTTTCCGTCTTGCAAGGCATTCGTCTTGCAGGGCACCACTGTATTTGTTAACGCTGGCGATGATTTCTGCATTGCAGGGGGTTGGACTAGACAACCCCCGGGTCCCTTCCAACTCTACAATTCTATGATTCTAGACTAATAATAAAAACAGTAAGGGGAATTCAGCCACAAAGCTCCTGAGCATCCCCTCCAACATTTCTCTGATGAAAATAGGGAGGCCCCATTCCATAATGATATTTTTACTATTTATAACCGACACATCTTACTGGGTTGCCCCAGGCATTCTGGGCAGCTTCCAACATATATAGAAACATTATACAGTGGTGCCTCGCAAGACGAAATTAATTCGTTCCGCAAGTTTTTTCTTCTTGCGAGTTTTTCGTCTTGCGATGCACGGTTTCCCATAGGAATGCATTGAAAATCAATTAATGCGTTCCTAGGGAAACCGACTTCAGACCAGGTCCGGGGACAGTCTGTCCCCCGACCTCTTCTGAAGGCTGGGGGGGGGGGGACAAGGGCTTTTCTTCCCACCCACCCCAGCATTTTAAAAAACCCCGGACAGCGGAGGGCTTCTCCGCTGTCCGGGGCGATCTTAAAATGCTGGCGGGCGGTATTTAAAATTGCCCCGGGACAGCAGTGGACTTCTCCGCTGTCCGGGGCAATTTAAAAGCCCCTGGGAAGGCCGGCAGGGGAGACAAAGAATTTCGCCCCCCCCGCCAACCTTCAGAAGAGGGACCTCTTCTGAAGGCTGGCGGGGGGCGAAAGTCTTTGTCCCCCCCCCACCTGCCTTCAAAAGCTGTCCAGCCAAGGCTTCGCGGACCTCTCCGCAAGCAGCGGCAGCACTGCCGCTGCTTGCGGAGAGTTGCCGGCATGCCGAGCCTGCGCGCGCTGAGATCAGCGCGCCCAGGCTTCGCGGACCTCTCCGCGAGCAGCGGCAGCGCTGCCGCTGCTTGCGGAGAGTTGCCGGCATGCCGAAGCCTGCGCGCGCTGAGATCAGCGCGCCCAGGCTTCGCGGACCTCTCCTCGAGCAGCGGCAGCGCTGCCGCTGATTGCGGAGAGTTGCCGGCATTCCGAAGACTGCTCGCGCTGAGATCAGAGCGCCCACGCTTCGCGGACCTCTCCGCGAGCAGCGGCAGCGCTGCCGCTGCTTGCGGAGAGCTGCCGGCATGCCGAAGCCTGCGCGCGCTGAGATCAGCGCGCCCAGGCTCGCGGACCTCTCCGCGAGCAGCGGCAGCGCTGCCGCTGCTTGCGGAGAGTTGCCGGCATGCCGAAGCCTGCGCGCGCTGAGATCAGCGCGCCCAGGCTTCGCGGACCTCTCCTGCCTTCAAAGCCGTCCGGGATAGCGGGAAGCGCTTCCCTGCTATCCCGGACTGCTTTTAAACGGCGGGCGGTGGGGAGCAACGCCTTGCGGCCCCCGCCCGCCTTCCTGCACCTCTACTTCTGGCGGGTGGGGGGGGGGAAGGCTTTGCACCCCACCGCTAGCATTTAAAAGAGGTCCCCGGAGATTTCCCTATGGGCTTTCGTCTTGCGAAGCAAGCCCATAGGGAAATTCGTTTTGCGAAGCGCCTCCAAAACGGAAAACCCTTTCGTCTAGCGGGTTTTCCGTCTTGCGAGGCGTTCGTCTTGCGGGGCACCACTGTAAAACATTAAGCATTTTTTAAAAAAAACTCTCCTATACAGGACTGCCTTCAGACGGCTCAGGGGTCGGATAACTCCGTACCATCCAACATTTCTCCAATGAAAATAGGGACGTCCTAAGGGAAAATGGGACATTCTGGGATCAAATCAGAAACCGGGACAGCTTCTCTAAATCAGGGGCATCCCTGGAAAATAGGGACATTTGGAAGGTATGTATGGGGTGACTTTGGGCCAGTCACAGCCTAACCTACTTCGCAAGGTTGTTGTCTGGGAGGTGCAGAACCACATACACCACCTAGAGTTCATCGGGGGAAAGGTGAGAGATAAATATAATAATAAAAAGAGCAAAAGGTGGGAAATAAATGGAAGGAAATGTTTTTAAACGAAGAAAACACCAGCTTTTTTTATAAACCTGTTTTAATGCGTTTTATGCTACACATCTGCTTTTACAATTGATCAGAAGGTCGGTGGTTTGAATCCCCGCGACGGGGTGAGCTCCTGTTGCTCGGTCCTGCCCACCTAGTAGTTCGAAAGCACGTCAAAGTGCAAGTAGATAAATAGGTACCGCTGTGGCGGGAAGGTAAACGGCGTTTCCGTGCGCTGCTCTGGTTCGCCAGAAGCGGCTTAGTCATGCTGGCCACATGACCCGGAAGCTGTACGCCGGCTCCCTCGGCCAATAAAGCGAGATGAGCGCCACAACCCCAGAGTCGGCCACGACTGGACCTAATGGTCAGGGGTCCCTTTACCTTTACTATATTGCATCTACCTCAGAGGGTTCTTGTGGGGATCAGATAGGTACACCACTTGAGAAAAAGATGGCCTATAAATGTAGGAAATCAATAAATAACTGTGCCAAATCAATTTCAGGGGATACAGTCCAAGGGTGCTGACCGCGATCCTAACTCCAGAGCCCTTTGGAAAGCCTCAGCCTTATCAGAGCCCAAGGCTGAGGAGAAGTCAGACTGACCCAAATACCATGGAAAAGCAACGACAAGCAAAAGCTGTACCTGGTGAATTTCTGCCTGCCCCGCAGCTGTTCGAGAGACCTGCTAACAAACAAAGGTGCAAAACTGCTGAGCCCAGGCAGTAAAAGTCTGCTGTATTGACACGATTGTACCCCCTGAGTCCAAACCGCTGCCCGCCTTTTCTACAAGATCATCTTCGACTTCTCAAAAGGGACATTCATTCTTCGGGTGTCTGTGGTCTCGGGAAGCTAAGGAACGCCAAAACCTCAGCCCTCCTGCTAAGAGGAGGCAAGTTAAGCTCTTGCTGTCAGAACCAAGCCAATACAAGAGCGGCTCATGCTTGCAAAGTGATTTTTGGCCAGTTGGGATAAACCACCAAAGTTGCAACCCTCAGCGGACGTCAAGCTCCAAACCAGATTTTATAAAAACTACTTGACTGGAGGCAGTTAGAGGAAGTCTCCAGAAAGGAGTTCTGCGCCACCAAAATGAATGTGCGAATTTCAGAAGAGAAATAAAAAATAAAATCAGGACACAACTGCTTTGTTTCGTCAGGCATTCTGGCTTTCCAGACACAGTGTGAGACTCTTCCTAAGTGTATGTGTGCATATTATAAAAGTAAAATGTCAGCTCTACGGCTTTCTGCGGCTTCTGGGAAGGAAAGATTTGCAGAGAGCAAAAACACTTTGCATTAGGGGTTCTGTAGCTTGTGGATTGTAAACTGGAGTTAAGCCAAAATAAACCAAATGTCGTGCCAGGCATTGATTGCCGTAACTTCTCTTTTTTAAAAATAAAACACCCACGTTTGACATTTCAGGTGCTGTGGCATCCAAACCTTCATGAATCCGCGTCCTATCTGCCACAGAGCCAAAATCAGGAAGATGTCGATCTCAGTTGCTGATAAATTCCCCCCACCCCAATCCCACAGTTAGGATGTTGTCGGTTTAGGTGCATTTCTTTGTTAGATATCGACAGCTGCTGTTCTGAGCCGTTTTGTGTGCTCTTAAACTTACAATAACAACATTAATATTACCAATAATAGTAATACAAGTAAGAGGTCCCGTGAACCTTTCGCTTCACTGCAAGCCGCCTAGAGACTCCCCTGTGTTAGGCAACTAATAAATTCAATAATAGCATTATGAACGGTGATAATATAAGGAAGAGGACCAGCAAACTATTTGCTTGATGGTGAATTGCCCAGAGATTTCCCCCTGTGTTAGGCAACTACTAAGTTAAATAATAGGGGTGCAGCAATGAAATTGTCTAGCACATTTGCAGAGCTAAGTATGGTTTCAAATGGGATGGTGGACCACGTGTTGAGATACTTGTATTGAAGGGGGTTGGTCTAGAGGATCTTCGGGTGTCCCTTTCTACTCTACAGATCTATGATTCTAACAATATAAGCAAGAGGGTGAGTGCATTTTTCACTCAAGGTTCAGTGCATGCCCCCTAAAAAAAACCAAACCAAAAAACCCCGCACCCTTAAATCCCACTATAGTAGTAATAATACCATTTTTGTCTCTTTTTTACCCCAGATCGGTACAGTGGTACCTCGGGTTAAGAACTTAATTCATTCTGGAGGTCCGTTCTTAACCTGAAACTGTTCTTAACCATGAAGCACCACTTTAGCTAATGGGGTTTCCCGCTGCCGCTGCGCGATTTCTGTTCTCATCCTGAAGCGAAGTGCTTAACCCGAGGTACTATTTCTGGGTTAGGGGAGTCTGTAACCTGAAGCGTCTGTAACCCGAGGTCCCGCTGTATTTCTGAAGCCGCGGCTTTCTGAAACCTTCCTCCAAACTTTACGCACGACTTTTGGTTCTGGAACAAGCCCCATGCGCCGATCTCCCCTGTCTCCAAAAACGCACAGACAGACTCACAAACACCCCACAACCTTCCCCATCGCTCTGTTGCCTTGCTTCCCCCCCCCCCCTCCAAAAAAGGTCCCCCTTACCGGCGAGGTGTCCAAACGAAAAGGTGTCACCGCCGCCACAGCCAGCAGCCACAACAGCAGCAGCTCCGGGACGAGGCGCGTCCGGGGGCGCGCACAGCGCATGGTGGGGCCGATCGGGGCTGCCGGGCTCGCCCTTTCCTCGGCGGGGGCCACTGGACGCCGCGGGCGCGCTGCATGGAGGTTTTATAAAGCGGCGGGGGTGCCAGCCCTACCTCCGCCTCCCCTGCGCGCCGCATGTCCTTGCACTTTCCCCTAAGGTGGTCCAAACCACGTGGACCCAGAACAGCTGGGGAGGCGCCACGCCCCCTGCGGAGGGAAGAGACCCGCCTCCCTTCCCATATGGAGGCTCCCGGGCAGAAAGTTTGCAGCGTTGGGGTTGAGTTTTTTCCCAAGGCGACATGGAATCAAAAGACTTGGAGAGTGCCCCAAAAGTCATCCAGGGTAGGCCAACTTTCTGCAATGCAGGAATTATTTTTTTGCCCGAGGTAGGACTCGAACCCGGGACACGGGTGGCACTGTGGTCTAAACCACAGAGCCTAGGACTTGCCGATCAGAAGGTCGGCGGTTCCAATCCCTGTGACGGGGTGAGCTCCCGTTGCTCGGTCCCTGCTCCTGCCATCCAGGTGCTATAAGAAAGCTGCAGAGATAGCGCAGGATAGTGCGCACCCCGGAAATGATCTCTTTCAGCTTCTGCCTTCTGGAAGAAGGTACAGGGTTATAAAGACTAGGACTACCCCACCTGAGAAACAGTTTCTATCCAAATGCGATTTTGACGCGGGTGGCGCTGTGGGTTAAACCACAGAGCCTAGGGCTTGCCGATCAGAAGGTTGGCGGTTCGAATCCCCGCGACGGGGTGAGCTCCTGTTGCTCGGTCCCTGCTCCTGCCAACCTAGCAGTTCGAAAGCACATCAGAGTGCAAGTAGATAAATAGGTACCGCTCCGGCGGGAAGGTAAACGGTGTTTCCGTGTGTTGCTTTTCTGGTTCGCCAGAAGCGGCTTAGTCATGCTGGCCACATGACCTGGAAGCTGTACACCGGCTCCCTCGGCCAATAAAGCGAGATGAGCGCTGCAACCCCAGAGTCCTAACGGTCAGAGTCCCCTTTACCTTTACCTAGGACTCGAACCCACAACCCTGAAATTAAGAGCCTCGAGCTCTACCGACTGAGCTGTGATAGAACTTTATGCATGGCACGGTTTTTTCTGTCTGGAGAAAAGGCAACAGAATCATATATTTGCAGAGTTGGAAGAGAGACTGAGGGTCATCTAGACCAGGGGTAGGCAACCTAAGGCCTGGGGGCCGGATCTGGCCCTATCGCCTTCTCAATCCGGCCCACGGACGGTCTGGGAATCAGCGTATTTTTACATGAGCAGAATGTGTCCTTTTCTTTAAAACGCATCTCTGGGTTATTTGTGGGGCTTAGGAATTTATTCATTTTTTTTTTTTCAAAATATAGTCCGGCCCCCCACATGGTCTGAGGGATGGTGGACTGGCCCACGGCTGAAAAAGGTTGCTGACCCCTGATCTAGACCAAACCACTGCAGTGCAGGGATCTTTTGCCCAAGGTGGGGTTCAAACCCACAACCCTGAGATTCATGCTTGACCAACTGAGCTGTGATAGAAGTTTGTGAAATGATGCATGCCTCTGGGAGGATAAAGAAAAGCTTTTTCTCCTGCTCTCATCGTGACACTTAGGACTTGTGGATATCCCATGAAGCTGAACTGCATACTCTCCAACATTTCTCCGATGAAAATAGGGACGTCCCGTTCCATAATGATAACTTTCCTATTCCTCGCACATCGCACTGGTTTGCCCCAGCCACTCTGGGCAGCTTCCAACATATATATAAAAAATTAAACCATTACAAATTTTTTAAAAACTTCCTTATACACTGATACAGTGGTACCTCGGGTTACATGCGCTTCAGGTTACTTACGCTTCAGGTTACAGACTCCGCTAACCCAGAAATAGTGCTTGAGGTTAAGAACTTTGCTTCAGGATGTGAACAGAAATCGTGCTCCGGCAGCAGGAGGCCCCATTAGCTAAAGTGGTGCTTCAGGTTAAGAACAGTTTCAGCTTTAGAATGGACCTCTGGAACGAATTAAGTACTTAACCCGAGGTACCACTGTACAGGATTGTCTTCGGACGGCTCAGGGGTCAGATAGCTCCATACCCTCCAACATTTCTCCAGTGAAAATAGGGACATCCTAAGGAAAAAAGGGACATTCTGGGATCAAATCAGAAACCGAGACGGCTTCTGTAAATCAGGGATGTCCCTGGAAAATAGGGACATGTGGAGGGTCTGGGATATGTACATGCTTTTGTTTATTTCATCCAAGTTGGCGGTTTGAATCCCCGCGACGGGGTGAGCTCCCGTTGCTCGGTCCCTGCTCCTGCCCACCTAGCAGTTCAAAAGCACATCAAAGTGCAAGTAGATAAATAGGTGCCACTCCGGCGGGAAGGTAAACGGCGTTTCCGTGCGCTGCTCTGGTTCACCAGAAGCGGCTTAGTCATGCTGGCCACATGACCCGGAAGGCGTACACTGGCTCCCTCGGCCAGTAAAGCGAGATGATCGCCGCAACCCCAGAGTCGGTCAGAACTGGACCTAATGGTCAGGGGTCCCTTTACCTTTACCTTTATACAAGGTTGGCCACTGTGAGCACAGGATGCTGGACTAGACAGACCAGTGGCCTGATTCAGCAAGCTCTTCTCATGTTTTATTGGCCTAAATCAGAGTTGGGTCCAATTGGCTCAATGCAGACAGTTTAACAAGAAATGAGCAGTAGCTGGCTGGCTCCTGCAGGGTCACACCTATGCCATACATTTAAAGTGTTCTTAGGCCACTTTGAACAATCACATGGCTTCCCCTCAGTGGGTTCTGGAAACTGTAGTTTGTTCCGGGTGCTGAGAGTTCTTAAGGGAGGCCTCCCTCCCAGAGCTACAGTTCCTCGCAGCCTGAGCAATCTACAGTTCCCACGATTCTCCTCTTTGGGGTGGGGTGGGCAGCCACGGCTGTTGAAGTGCCCTGAGATTGCTTTAAATACGTGGTGTGGGTTTATTTATTCCTTGAATTTATAACCTGCCCTTCCTCCCCAAGGAGACCAGGACTAGCAAATGCATCCACATTAAAAAACAAATTCTAAAACATTTTAAGCCCTTCTAAAAATAGTGATGGTTAAAAACAGCTAAAGCTGTTAAAAAACGTTCTGAAAACAGTTTCAGTGAAAAACATTCGGAAAGTAGTTTTGGTTAAAAAGATGTGAACTAGTAAGGTATGGAAAGATGTGGTGGTATTGTGCGCCCGCTCGCCCCGGTCACCTATTGAAAGCAAGGGTCAAATTCCTTGCAATATTTCTGCCTCCAAAGGTGGGGTCGTTGTTGGCATCCGTCTGTCTCGGGGAGACAATGGAGAAGTAATAATAATAATAATAATAATAATAATAATAATAATAATAATTTATTATTTATACCCCGCCCATCTGGCTGGGCTTCCCCAGTATTAAAATACTGTAATACATCAAACATTAAAAGCTTCTCTAAACAGGGCTGCCTTCAGATGTCTTCTAAAAGTCTGGTAGTTGTTCTCTTTGACATCTGGTGGGAGGGCATTCCACAGGGAGGGTGCCACTACCGAGAAGGCCCTCTGCCTGGTTCCCTGTAACTTGGCTTCTCGCAGTGAGTGCTGGACCTCCTCAGTGCTGGACCTCAGGAGGAGTGCGAAGATGTTGTGAATCTGGGCTTGGGAGAGCACATATTTGTTTGAGACTCTGTCCTGCCATGTGATGCCCAAAATCTTCCTGACGCGACACGTGTGGACGGCGTTGATGGTTTTAAGTTGCCCATTCCACAAAGCGGTGTGCTCAGCATGTAGGGCTGGCAGACCTTCATCTTAGTATTGGATATTAGTGTCCTACGCGCCATAAATAAACAACAAACACCTAAAAGAGATCGGTAAGAGTGACAGGGAGAGTCCATGAGCCCCATCTAGTGACCATTGAGCTTGTAGCAGACGCTGCCTTCTCTCTCTCTCTCTCTCTCTCTCTCTCTCTCTCACACACACACACACACACACCACCCTCCATGGGGGGGGGACATGGAGGTGGGGGCAAGTCCCTGCCCAGCAACCAGCTTTGCAAGAGAGGACCCCACCAAACAGCAGTATTGTCCCTTCATGATAGTCAAGGACACACCCCTTCTACGATTATATTATTGCATAAGATAATGCAATAATAATAATTATTCAGAATGCATTGTGACAACCAGCGCAGATAGATCTGCTATTTTGTCTGCACGTACATTGGCAAATGATTTGGAGTGTTCCAGTATCTTTTTCCAGAGTGACTTAAATAACAGAACGTGTGCGCTTTTGAAAGAGAAGCCCCTTGCATTTTGTGTCCCTAAATGCTTAGCTTTTGGAGCATATGGCAGCTAAAAAGCCCACCTTTTGTTATATAAGTTAAGTGATGTTTAACATCTACAATTTCGAATTGAAAAGATATAAGGATGTTAATGGACTAAGTTAAGTTACATTCCTATATTTCATGCTCCTCAACCATCCCAATTTGAGCAGGATAACCCAGAATTTACAACTCTGAGAGCTGGACCCTAAAGAAGGCTGATTGCCAAAGAATTGATGCTTTTGAATTCTGGTGCTGGAGGAGACTCTTGAGAGTCCCATGGACTGCAAGAAGATCAAACCTCTCCATTCTTAAGAAAATCAGCCCTGAGTGCTCACTGGAAGGGCAGATCCTGAAGCTGAGGCTCCAATACTTTGGCCACCTCATGAGAAGAGAAGACTCCCTGGAAAAGACCCTGATGTTGGGAAAGATGGAGGGCACAAGGAGAAGGGGACGACAGAGGACGAGATGGTTGGACAGTGTTCTCGAAGCTACCAGCATGAGTCTGACCAAACTGCGGGAGGCAGTGGAAGACAGGAGTGCCTGGCGTGCTCTGGTCCATGGGGTCACAAAGAGTCGGACACGACTAAATGACTAAACAACAACCCCAGAATTACAAAAGCCATCCCAGCTTTTGATTGGATTCCAGAATGTCCCTTTTTGGTCCAGTGTGAGTCAGCTGCCTTGCACCAGAGCACCGGACCAAGAGACTCTCTTTTTTGGTCTGTCGTGCAAGGCAGCTGCCTCCCATGAGAGCCAGTGTGGTGTAGTGGTTGAGAGCGGTAGTCTCGTAATCTGGGGAACCGGGTTCGCGTCTCCGCTCCTCCACATGCAGCTGCTGGGTGACCTTGGGCTTGTCACACTTCTCTGAAGTCTCTCAGCCCCTCTCACCTCACAGAGTGTTTGTTGTGGGGGAGGAAGGGAAAGGAGAATGTTAGCCACTTTGAGACTCCTTAGGGTAGTGATAAAGTGGGATATCAAATCCAAACTCCTCCTCCTCTTCTTCTTCTTCTTCTTCTTCTTCTTCTTCTTCGGAACCAAAAGAAAATTAGCACCCCAATTTTGATCAGATGTTGGAGGGTGTGATATTGGTTCAGGAACTGTCTGTAGCAGAGTTTATTCCACAAGAGGCTTTAGCTGCTCAGGATCATTGCAGAATAGCGACGGGGATCTGTAATCTGCAGCTCTCACTTTGTTGTTTGATTTCAAAAAACTCGACATCAGCAGCTCTTGAAGCCCAAGAACATAAACATCGAAGTAATAAATTTGCAGATTGTTGGCTCAAAGCCAGGGAATAACTTGGCCAGCGTTTCTCTTCTCTTCTCTTCTCCCTGCCTCTTACCAGGAAGCAGCCATCCCTAGGGCAGGGCTTGGTAGCTAACTGTTTTGGGATCATTATTGTTTGTAAATTCATTTTATATAATTCTTAATTGCCCATTAACCTATTCCTTAAGGCAACCACCCTTCTCGACATACTGAAAGCCACATTTGCCACGTAACGTTTTCCCAAGGGAGTATTTCCCCCTTCAGTTCACAGACTTAAAGTTGCCTTGCTCCCGATCTTCATTATTAAGTGGGTTATAAATGTTGTTTAATTAAACGAGCCATGTTTTATTTATTATTGAGTTTGCATCCCACACTTTCCTCCAAGGAGATGAAGGTGGCATAAATGAGCGTCTCTCTTTCCCTATTATCCTTCCAGTAATAAGCCTTTGAGGCAGGTTGGTATCAGCAGCCGATGCAAAGTCACCCCATGAGTCTCATTGCCAAGTACTGATTC